CATGGAGCTGTGAATGTTTCAGAGGGAGGGATAAAGGGGATGCACAGGTGAGATGATGAATCCTGAATTTCATAGTATGACAAAAGAAACAGACAAAAGGGTGAGATGCAGGCGGCTGTCCATCTGCAGCCACTTTAAGACACGGTAATAAGATAACCTCTAAATAAATCATGAAAACAGTCCACAGTCTAACAGTCCCTTGCTGCTATTCAGTGGTTCATTTTTGAGCAGGTTTTGTACAATTTAAACCTTTGAAGTCCCTGTAACCCAAGTAATTAGCCAACAACACCTCTGATACAAACACTGCCAGTGTGACTCTTGTGTATTTGCCATCCAAGTCATGTTCATCCGGTGCAGTGAAAAATCATCAGAGTGAGGACTCTGCTGCTCCTGAGGATCATTCCTCTGAGACACAGAGAGCTCCTGGAGACACTCGACCTTTTTAAATATTAACATTTACTCTTTTGTTCATTTTATCCACCAGACTCTGTCACATCAGGGACTGAGGAAATAAATAGATAAAAGTATGTGAGGGTCTTTCTGGCCCACCCTTGCTCACATCAACCTCTAGAGAGTCTAAAGGCCTGATCTACGAAGATCCCAAATAGCAAATGCTAAATTGCGGCTCAAATTGCGCGTGCAAACTAGAAAATTGCATGTGCTATTAGTGGGCGTGTTGCGGGTGATATACTATCATTGCGTGCGCAATTGATAAAAGGTGCAAAAGTCGTGCAGACTGCCCTCTTTAAACGAGGATTTTGTGTGCACTATCGGCTGTCACCACAAAGAGTTTGTTAGAGCAGAGTGATTGTAGATGAAAAATGAAGTTTGAAGCCATGGAGTTGCACATATTGTTTTGGGAACTGCATAAAAGGCGAGGCAAGTTTATTTGTAAAGCACCATTAAAGTGCTTTACAGATGCAAGAAAATGTATTTGAAATAAAAAAAAAGAGGTTCAATAAATTTTAAATCACTAAGACAAAGAGATACGTTTTTTCAACTGTTCTGTGTTTGACCAAACTATTTACGAAAACCATCATTTACCAGAAAAACAAAATAAATCACAAGCTTTTGGACCTGGAGCTCCGCAGCACTCAGTCTACAAGACGCGACAGAACCCCAAGACCTGCCATGTTTTCTGTTATTTACTACATCCCGAGTGCGTAGGAAGTGTACATATACTTGCCCATCCTGCGTGACATAGCATTCAACACTTGGGACAACACACCAGAAAAACTACTCTGGAAGATGCACTAACTACAATGGTGCGCTGGAATTATGCAGATTCAGGAAAATGCCTTGTTACAAGGAGTCTTTCAACAGGAGATATAGCATGGATCATTTTTGTGACTGGCTCCATATTAGCTCTTGGTCACCCAGCAGCTCAAAAATATCATTAATATTACTTTACTGTTTCTATTTCTGTCTGTCCAAATAGGTTGACACGTGCACGGAAGATTCTCTCTCTGTCGTCTATCATTGCACTTTTGCCCCACAATAACTGCAGCCATTTGTGCATAACGTTTTCCAGTTTGCACCTGCCTTCCAAACATTTTAAATATGGACGCAAAACAGTGACCCCAATCGGTTTCCGGGTTTGATAAATCACATTGCAGGTGCTAAAGGATTCCATTTGCATCTGCTCCTCCCAGAATTTTGCGCGGTCTGATGAGGTTAACACGCTAAATGGATTGCGCGTGCTGTTTTGCTCATTTGACAGACGCAATCCTCAGTGCACCCGGTTAGTAGATCAGCTTTGCGCTCTATCAGGTTTGCACATGTTTTTGCACAGGCAAACCTTTAGTAGATCCAGCCCTATATGTGTTCTCCTTACCTGTGAGGATAAAACCTTCGCCTATAACACAGCTGACCTATACACAGCTCTTGATTCTTAACCTTGCAAGTTAAAATATCAAAGTCTAAAGTCTATTGACCTTAGACTGTTGAGAGCAGGAGTCTGCAAAGGGTAACTTTGGCCACTGATATCACCTTCTTTCCCAGGAACAGCTGTGATCCAATTTCCTGCTGTGTGAGCTTGCAGAGCTTCACTGTGTTTGCAATGTAGACAGCACATGTGCTCCACCTGCTTTTGCTCTCTATACCCACTATTTCTCCTCCAGGTGCCAAACCACCCAGACTGCAAACAGAGCCAGGACTCTTAAAAGACTCTGATCCAGTCCCACAGAGGTAGGAAAGGAACAGTTCCTGCTGCAGATCAACAGCTGCTCCAGCAACACATGTGCACTTCAAAAGTTGTGTGTTTGTGTGTTGTTGTTGTTGTCTACTCTGTGCATGTGTTTGTTTTCTACATTTAAGTGCATCCATGTCTCTCTCACAGGAGGATCTTCACCACTCTTAATGAAGTCCCAGTGTATGTGTGTGTGTGTGTGTGTGTGTGTGTGTGTGTGTGTGTGTGTGTGTGTGTGTGTGTGTGTGTGTGTGTGTGTGTGTGTGTGTGTGTGTGTGTGTGTGTGTGTGTGAGTGAGAGAGAGAGAGAGAGAGAGAGTCCTGGCCTTAATTGGGGGCTCGGGTGTCCAATTAACAGAGGGTTAGTATGGTCGTTTTGGTATGGCAAACATGTGGTGGCCGAATATAATGCCCCACCACCACCACCTCCCCTGCTCCCTCCCCCAGGAGGGTTCACGAGGGAGGAGAGGGTTAACAAGTTTCCCACTCGCACCTTGTCCACTTCACACCTCCGAGAGAGGTGAGCTCCTGTGTCCTTTGTCAAGCGTCCTGCATATAGGTCACAAACAAGGATAAGGCGGGGGGGGGGGGGGTGATGATGGTGGAGGAAGAGGACAGACTGCTGGGGACTCCCTCGGTCCCTACTTCATTAAAACCAAATAAAAAAGGGAGGTCATTTATCTCCTTCCCTGCAAAGCCATAAACACAACCCCCCCCCCCGGCCTGTGAGTATATATCACAGCAGATAAAGGCGGCCTGTAATGATAGCTGGTATTCAATTGGAATGTAAGTGAAATTTGAGAGTACAGATATGAGTGGAGGTGTGTGCGTCGCTGCCTGTGCTTGTATGTTTGCTGTTTTTTTTTCTGTGTGTGTGTGTTCTTGTGTGTGCGGGCGTGCTTGTGTGTGATGAACCTGCAGCTTCTTTTCTTATTTCCTCGTCAGGGACAAACATTAAATCTCTGCTCGCTCTGACTGATGAGCTTTGCTGCTCTCCATTCTGCATGCAGGTGTGGTGAGGCTGCTGACATGTGAGCTATTAAGGTGAGGGCCGTGCTGTATTGTTGTACACCATGCTGCAGAAAATCCCCATGTTTCTACACTTGCTTCACCTGGATTATTTTATCTCAGTATGATTATACATTTGAATCTGTGTGGTTAAGGATAGGAATTGATCAGATTTATTGGTATATATGTTATTATTGATTCCTGTGGATGTCTACCTGTTCAGGTTTGTCATGTCAACTACACAAATTTCATGACAAATTGTATCACATTCATTACTGAGATAAGGACGCCTGGCTTTTGGCTGGGCTTTTTACAAGTCATTTACAGATCCAGCCTCTGATTGGTTGACAGACCAAAACCAAGATGTCAGCCTCTGTTAAGCACAGTCAGCAAACAACAGAAATGACAGTCGCTGCGTCCGAATTGCCAAGTAGTAGTCGAAGTAGTATGTAGCATGTCCAAATACACAGCGAGTAGCATGCTACTACAGATACTAGACACGCCCACATTGTAGGATGGTCGCGGTGCATCCTACGGGCATGCTACTGACCCAAAATGCACCGCAGGCTTCTTCTTCGTCCTCTTAAAAGTTGTAGAAGCGCATGTGATGCTAACGCCACCAGCTGCTGCCTATTTAGATGTGTCGCGAACGCCGGCTGGCCACAGCAGCGCGCACAATGGCGGAGCAGCAGCAGCAGGCAGGACCACAGCAGTACAGATGTAAGTTTCATGTAACTTCGCACACTGTCCTCAAAAATGTGCGGTTGTATCTCTTTGTCATGTCATGGTGTCATATTTGCCCAAGTAATCATTTTATGAGCAAATATGTGGCGACATCATGGAGGTAAAGCTCACTTATTCCATCATTAAACTGCACAGCTGCAGTAATCAGGCAGATCTCATTGAACAAACGATCACCACGTGAGTGAATGAAGGCTAAAAGTAATGGAAAAGCTTCTTTGTGAATTTCTAAAGCAGTGCAGGAATATAATACAGCAGCATCCATCACTTGCACAATTACCATTCAAAGAGTCTAAAACGGGCTCAGTACCTACTCTCTGCCTGCGGGGGTCGTCTTTCCCCACTGCTCGTCTAGTGTGTCCGAATTGGGCCAACGTGTTTAGTATGTAGGAGTAGGATCTAGCAGTAGTATGTAGTATGCAAGCGGGCAATTCGGACACAGCAAGTATGTTAGTTAAATTTATGCACAAATCCCCTCAGATTACCTTCACTTTTGAGGGTTCAGATCTGTACAGTCTCTTAAGTACTCTGATCTGCTCTGTGGGATAGAAAAGCCCATAAATATGGCAGAAACACTCGGTTTATTGCCAGAAAGCTGCAGATCTCAAGAAGCAAGAAGATTTTACAGTGCTTCTTGCTATGCATCACGTCCTTGTTGTCAAGTCAGACAAAACAACATACATCCTGTACATTAGAGGGGTAACAGAAATCATCCAAAGACCACTGAGCATGTCAGTTAAAGCACACATCAAACTGAAACAGTTTCTGGTTCATCCAAAGGACTCTGATAGGAGATGGAATGCAAATGGAATCATTTAGCACCCACAATATGATTTATCAAACCCAGAAACTGATTGGGGTCGCTGTTTGAGTCTATATTTAGCACGTTTGAAAGGCAGGTGTAAACTGGCACAGCATTATGCATGGTCATTGAGGGGAGAAGGATGCAAAAGTGCCATGACAGACGCCATGATCCTCTTTCAAAAGCTTGTGATTTATATTGTTTTTCTGGTAAATGACGATTTTCATAAATAATAAGGTCGGGTAACGACTTCGGGTTATGGCCGAGGCAGAATAGACGTTTCTCCCCTGCTCTCCCACACTTTGTTTAAATGGGACCTGCCATCAAAAATGTAATTTTGTGTGTTTTTTGTGTCAGATTAGGTCCATATCATGTTCGTCTTATGTTGTAAATGTGAAAATAAACCGTTACGTCGTTTGCATTCTGTAAAGGTTTAAAATAAAGAAACGGGTAAACCAGGCCAATTGAAAAAGCAGATCATTCTGACATCGCGCTGACCTTGCTCATTATTATTCACAAGCGCATCCTCGGTGAGCCACGCCCACTCTCTCGTTCTCTTACTCATTCACAGTCAACATCACTCTCCGGCCAGAGCAAGACCCAGCTACCACTGTATCCACTATTGGTCTCTTCCAAACGACCGGTGCTTCCTTGGGTTCACTGCCGGGAAAATGAACTTAAAGCAGGGCAGAATGAATGTAAACACCGCTGGAGATCTCTGGCTTCTTCTTCAACTTCCACCTCCTCTTCGGGCTCGGGGTCTAAAATATATGGTTTAATACCTGCCATTTTTAGCCTTTAGCATAAGGTGACCAGACATCCCAGATTTCCGGGGACAGTCCCCGAATTGGATGACCTGTCCCCGGCAAAAGCTGTCCCCGAAAATGTCCCCGATTTAAGCATTTCATGAATGAGAGCAACAATGTTGCGTGTGGGCTCGAACAACGGTTCTTACAGTAGCCAAATAGGTAGGAAGCACAAGTAAGCAGTCCTGAACAACAGTTCTTACGGGGGTTATTACAAAGGGCATGCGCTGCTACTAAATAGTACCGAGATTTTGTCTGTGATCACGCAGCCCCTGCACCCTCCCCGCCGCTGCCACCGCACCAAATATCCCTGGATATCATTACAGACATCTGGGCACCTTACTTTAGCACACATTAGCAAAATGGATAAACCGAAATCCGAACCTCCACTGCTGAGCCAATCAGAGCACAGCAGGCTTCACGCAGCGATCCAATCAGAGCAAGCTCATTACCATAAATGTTAATGGGCCAAAATCAGTTGGTTTTCCTGTAAGGTTTTTTAGGCATACTAAAAACAAACCATCAAATAACTTTTCAGCTAAAATTATGTTGCAAACATGATCAGAGGACATCAAGGATTATGAAAAAATGATTAAAATGGGTATGAAATTTTGATGGCAGGTTCCCTTTAAACTTCATGTTTTCAAGTCCTCTCTACACCTCCTTCTACTAAACAAGCCAAAAAAGACTCTGCGCCCTCCGGCACCACAGCTGCTAAGGAACTTAGCATGGACGCGCTAACTAGCCTCTTAAGTCAACATAGGGCCAAGTTGGCTTCGGAGTTGAAGACATCGTTCTTGATACTCAAGACCAAAATAGACTTCCTCCAAACCACTGTGTCGAGTCACGGCCAGCGTATCATTTCTCTGGAGACCAACGCAAACTCGGTGGATGATCAGCTGCAGAGCCTCGAGGCTAGATGCTCCGAGCTAACCGTGACTAACGAGAAGCTAAAGGCAAAAACAGCAGACCTGGGGCCTTATGTATCAATACTTGCGTGGAACTCATACCAGAAACGAGCGCACGCAAGGTCCATCACGCTGAAAAAAATCCGTATGTATCAATGTGTGCGGGCGCCGAAATCCACGTGTGTTTCCTTGATAAATCCCAATCAGCGTGGAATTGAGCGCAGATGTCGGAGTGACTGGGCCAGCCCCCGTTACGCCCTCCTATAAATATGCAGATTTATTTAAATCTGGTCTCCCTGCAGACAAAATGACAAGAAAAACTAAATTTACGGCGTGTGAGGTGGAGGTGCTGGTGGCGGAGGTGGAGGAGCGACAACCTGTTTTGTTTGGCAGCCTGTCCAGTGGCGTCAGTGCAAAACAAAAACGCTTGGAGTGGGAGAAAGTTCGCGAGAGGGTGAACGCGGTGGGTTCCGAGACACGCACCCCCGCGGAGATTAAAAAAAAGTGGTCGGACCTCAAGGTGGAGGTCAAGCGGCGTACAGCTGCCCTCCGGAGGAGTACCGGCCAGACAGGTGGGGTTCCGGGGGAGGAGACCCTCACGCCATTTGAGCAGCGGGTGGTGGCGATTATTATTATAGGGTAAGTGGCGTGTCACACAAATGTCCACATGCTTTGCCATCCCACTGAGCAAAAGACGTATATTAGACGTCTAGTCTAAGTTTATACTTCATTTCAACGTCGGGATTCAGTCTATTTTTAGACAGGATTTATACTTCGCCCTTAACTTCATTTTTCGATAACTTTTTATGCAATAAACAACTGTAATGTGCATAACTGACCTCTAAATACTGGATTACATTACCTACGATACCGTGGAGAGAGATGTAAACGCAACAGATACACAGAAGCAGGAATTGAAATGAACCAATATTTTTATTGTGTCACAGAAATCAATGTGTCGGCCATGTCGCCGGCTTGCGGAACCCCGGCCTGCGGCAGCCCGTCCGCCGGCATTCGGGCCACCCCGGCCCCCGGCCCCAGCATCAGCATCAGCATCAGCACCAGCGCGCCGACAAGCGGTGGAGCGTCCACCAGCCGCGGCGCTTCCGCTGGACCACCCGGAAGCAGTGGAAGGGTCCTCACGGAGGCGGTCCTGCAATCGCAGGAAGAAATCATCAGGGGGATCGCGGGGATCAACGAGCGGCTGGAGGCGAAAATAAATTAATTTGGCTCATTGAACTGTGTATTCACTTCTTACCCATTCACACTGTGGCGATGAGATTCTCCCGCGCGAGAACGGCGGCCGGCAGTGATCAGCTCGCATCCCTCCGTCTGCTGCTGGTTCGTCATGTGGGGCGACGTGCTGCTCCGCCACGGGGATATGGTGCAGCTTGTCACATAGTGAGTCACCAAACACCGCCACACAGCGTCGCCAAAGTGCGAATCACAGTCAACGCAAGTATCCGCTCAACGCCAATTTCTACACCACCTCCTGACTTTGCGTTGATTAGCGCTGGAACCGACGCTCGTTTCGCGATGATAAATCTGGACGTGTGCGCCGATTTTGGTGTACGCAAGGTTTTCTTGCGCCGCAAGCGTTGATACATAAGGCCCCTGGAGGCTTGTAGCCGCCGCAATTATGGTCGGATTATAGGACTTCCTGAGTCCATTGAAGGCCCACGACCAACCGACTTCTTCTCCAAACTGCTGTGCCAACTTATGGGCGAGGAAATACTCCCCACGCCGCCTGTGCTGGATTGAGTGCACCGGTCCCTAGCCCCGAAACCGAAACCAGGCGAGCGTCCACGACCCGTAATCGTCTGGTTTCACAACTACCAAACCAGGGAAAAGGTCCTCCGTGAAGCCCGCAAGAGAAGGCCTAATCTACCACATCTGGGGAAACTTGTGGCTATCTTCAAAGACTTCTCCCCCTCTCCCCCCTCATGTCCCTCCTCTATAACCGCGGGTTGAAACCCAGCCTCCGGCGAAGCTGTATATTACCGTGAACGAGGGGGAAAAGATCCTACTTTCGTTGGTGGATAAGGCTAAAGAATATCTCACCAGTGGAGACGCCTAAAGAGATCCTATTACACGGTAATAGTGCCTGGTTATGGCTTGTCTACCATCCATAAACATTAGAAATGTTGGACTGGATAACGTCAACGGCATAAACTCATAATTAATAAGTTGTTTATTTTGCTAAATTGTTTACATATAATCAATCCATTCTGTGCTCAGTGCATCTTATGTTCGGTCTGGTTACACCGATTGTTTCATAGTAGCTGCTTCATAGAGGTGTCTTTATCACACTTTGTTCTTAGCTTTTACTAAGGTAATATCCCAAGGTTGTGTGGACGCTTACAATTTTTGTCAACACTGCTTTTGTTGCCAATTTTGGTATATACTGACCCCCTGCTGCAATCTATGTCTGTGTTTATATATACTTAGATCTGGGCTGCCCTGCAGGTGGGCATTTACAAGTTAATTTGTCGAGTCTTGACAAATTATGACAAATTTTGTCTTGCCTCAGTTGAAGCTCTTTTACTCTCATGATTTGGAGAGAGGCTGAAACAGTGTTTTTTTTTCCTTCTGCAATGGGAAAGGGGTAGTTTAGAAGCAAGTTCTACATGGTATCTAGGGAGATACTCAGGCTAGGTTTGATTTTTTTTTCTATTGTATTTTTGTACGTAAATATGACTCTGTGGGTGTGTACGAAAGCTTTCTTTTTTTTTTTTTCACATGTTCATAGGTCTTATTCTCGGATTGATTTCTTTCTACTCGATAATAGATTATTAGACAACACGCAGTCATGCGAGTACCACAGCATAGTAATCTCTGACGATTCTCCTGTCTCTCTAAACATAAACCTTGCCCAGGGCAGACTACCTAACAAACCCTGGAGGTTCAATTTGCACATGCTATCTGAACCAAAGTTCAAGGACCTTTCATCCACTTTTTTTTTTATATCAATGATACACCGGATGTTAGTCGCAATGTACTTTGGGAGTCCTTCAAGGCTTACTTGCGTGGACAAATTATTTCTTTTATCTCTAGCCGCAGGAAGTTGGAGCGCTCTGAATTAAATCAAATATCACATGAAATACAAAGTTAGATGCTCGATATTCAGTCGACCCTTCAGATGCCCTGTATAAAAAACGTGTGCAGCTCTAATCGCAGTATAACTTACTAATGTCTGGCCGAATTGAGAAACAACTTTTGAACACCAAGCAACGCTTCTTTGAGCAAGGGGACAGAGCTGGAAAACTCCTGGCTTACCAAGCTTGAACTGCGGCTGCATCCAGACTTATACCTAGGATTAAGCTAACCTCTGATGTTACCACTTCAAATCCTACTGCTATTAACAATGCATTTGTCAACTTCTTTTCTGAGCTATATTCTTCCAAAACCTCTCAGTGCCTCTGGGATGGCCCAAACCCTCTGGACCTCCTCTCTTACCCTCAGATTGACCCGACGGCCCGGACTGATTTGGGTGCACAAATCTTCAAATAGATTTTAAAGTATTAGCAAAAGTCCTAGCTGGCCGGCTTCAGGGAGTCATTTCCTCCTTGATTAACCCAGACCAGACTGGCTTCGTCTCTGGGAGACACTCATCTTCAAACACACGCAGGTTATTTAATATACTTCACTCCCCCTCCACCAACTCTCCCGAACTGGTTTTGTCTCTAGATGCTGAAAAAGCGTTTGACCGCTTAGAGTGGAGATATCTTTTCCATGTCCTGGATAAATTCGTCCTCAGCCCTAATTTTATCGAGTGGATACAACTTCTTTATGCTTCTCCCTCAGCTTCTGTCAGCACTAATGGCATTAAATCCCACTCGTTTCCTTTGCACAGAGGTACGCGACAGGGTTGCCCTCTTTCCCCACTGCTGTTTGCTTTGGCAATCGAACCCCTTGGCATCTGGTTGCATGGAGAGAGTGGGGTTGAGGGCATCAAACGCTATGGACAGCTTCACAAAACTTCTTTTTATGCTGACAATCTCTTGCTTTATATATCCAATCCAACATCCAGTCTCCCTTTAATTTTAGGTATTTTTGGGAAAAAGCGACTACATGCCAATAAACCCTGCCACTGACCTTCTCCTGCCTGGTCTCCCTCCCTTTAGGAAAGCCACTGATGGTCTTAAATATCTTGGAATCCAGGTGACAAGATCATATCTTGATTTGTTTGATAAAAACTTCAACCTTTTGATCGAGCATTGCAAATTAGTTCTCACCAGATGGTCCTCGCTCCCCCCTCTCTGATTGGACGAGTCAGTCTGGTTAAAATGTCACTACTTCCACAATTTCTTTACCTTTTCCAACATGTACCTGTCTTCATTAGAAAATCTTTTTTTTTGTAACCTTGATCAATACATTAGCTCATTTCTTTGGAGCAATAAACGGGCACGTATTGGTTGAGCAGCCATCCGACTTCCCAGATCCCTGGGAGGGTTAGCGCTCCCAGACTTTCGCTATTATTATTGGGTCTGCAATATCACCAAACTCCTCTTTTGGAACACTAATAAAGCAATGCCTGACTGTCCACGCTGGGCTCTGATTGAAACTTCCTCCTCACAACTCTGCCTTTGTTCTGTGGTGTGCTCCCAACTGCCCCTGTTGCCTAAACAGGTTAGCCCCAATCCAATTGTATCAAACACGCTGAGGATTTGGATTGAGTTCAGAAAAGTGTTTGGTCTTCATACTCAGTCATGTCAATCACCAATTTTTCAAAATCACCATTTTGCTCCCTCATGCACTGACCCAGCGTTCCGTATCTGGTCTGAGAAGGATCCCAGCATCCCCCATACTCTCTCACTGACCAATTTTTAGCCCTCAATCCTAGGAAGAAGGGACTCATTGGGATCGCATACAAACAGATTCACACCTTGTCCTCGACTCCTCTAACCTGACTTAGGGCTGCGTGGGGTCAAGATCTTGGCAACCCCTTTTACAGATGTGCAATGGGAGGGGGTACTAAATAATGTCCACTTTTCCTTTATTTGTGCCAGGCATAGCCTTCTCCAATTTAAAATACTGCATAGAGCCTATCTCACGAATGCTAAACTGGCAAAAATATATCCAGGCAGAGCTGACGTATGCAACAGATTTAGACAGGGCCCTGCTGATTTGGTTCACATGTTTTTGTATTGGCCTAAACTGTCAGAGTTTTGGGATGCGATATTTGACTCACTAAGTAAGGTAACAGGTCGAACCATACCATTCGATCCCCTCACTGCTCTCTTTGGAGTTTATTCTCACTGCAGTGCGTCTATAGCAACGCGAAAAATTTTAGCATTCACTACATTACTTGCTCGAATGGTCCCACCCTTCCGCCGCGACTCATAATAAATTGATTCAGGAGGTACTTCATTGTATTACGCTTGAGAAGATTAGGCTCTCCTTAAAGGGGTCCATAAGCAGCTTCTATAAAATGTGGCAGCCCTTCATCTCATACAATGAGTCTACTGCCATCATAGCAGAGACCAACTGAGCCCTCCCCCCTCCCCTCTTTTCTTTTTATTTATCCTTATTTGATTTATTTTTTTTATCGTCGTCAGTATTATTACGACAGTTTTTTTTTTTTTGCTTTCGGTTTCATTGTTTACTATCTGTGCCTTGTGCTTGTCTGTTGTGAGAATGGTAGGATTGAATGTGTGTACTCTGGGTTTGGTGGGTGGGGGGGATAGGTAGGTAGTCTGCTACCACACCTGGGATGACTTGGGTTAACACAGGCTGGTTCCCATGATTTATTCTGAACTACTGTCCAATGTAAGAACTGTAACCCAGGCTACTATTAAAAAATTCAATAAAGATATTTTGAAGGATAAATAATAAGTTCAAGCACGGAACAGACAAAAAAAAATATTTGTTTGTCTTAGTGAGTTAAATTGTTTTATTCCCTTTTTTAAATTTCTAGTATATCTTCTTTTATCTGTAAAGCACTTTGAGTTGCCTTATGTATAAATGGTGCTCTACAAATAAACTTGCCTTGCCTTTTATGCAGTTCCCCAAAACGATATGTGCAACTCCATGGCTTCAAACTTCATTTTTTTTTTACCTACGATCACTTTGCTCTCACAAACTCTCCATGGTGATGGCCAATAGGGCACGCAAAATCCTTGGGCTCTATTTTCTCCCCCCTTTTTCTGTCTTCCTCTTCCTCTTATTCCTTGTGCAGCTCGACCTGGACATGTCTCTGTGTCCTCTCCCTGTCCTGCTGCTGCTGCGGCAGCTGGACAGATGATTTATTTCAGTGATCAGATGAGTTATTTACTTTAAGACTACATACAAATATTATAATATTCAGTTTTGTGAGCCAAATTTATTTTATACGCCAACATCTATGAAAGAAACAGCCAGGCCACGGAGCGTGATGCGTCATTTACGCACAGGTGGTTCCAATTATTAGATTTCATTATTTTTTCATTTCATTTCATTGTTAGAATTTATGTTGTGATCTGTGCGCACAACCCACCTTTGTCGCATGAAGTTTGAATACATGCAACTTTATGTGAGTGTCTTTATTTGTGGAAAAGGGTGTTTGTCTTACCAGTGGGTCCAACATTACACACATCAAATCCCTCTGTGCTTATATGAGACAGTGTGGAGGACGCTCTCCGCAGTGCTTACAGGGACACTTGTTGAGGGGCTGCCTTCTGTCGCCATCGTGTGGCATAGCTGTCTTCAGATATCTCTTGATCTCTTTGACTACTTCATGAAAATTGTTATACTCCTCGCCGGTGGCGGATTTAAAGGTGAGGAGAGGAGCTTATGTGAATGATGAAAACAGGTCTGTGTCTATACCACTCTGTGTTAAACCCACTCCACGCCTTATCCTCTCCCCCTCTACTACTTACGCCACTGGGAGGAGCTGAGTTAGGGAGGGAGGATACTTACGCCGGGCTGCGCCACTCACCAAAATACCAAAGTGTGCTTGGGCATGCCTTGTCGGCGTGGCAGACCTGACTTACGCGCCTGCGCCACGCCATAGGTGAGGCACGAAAATAGAGCCCCTTGTGTAAAGAGGTCATTCCACTCCACTTTTGCACCTGTTATCAATTGCGCATGCAATGATAGTAGATCACCAGCAACACGCCCACTTATAGCACGTGCAATTTCTTAGTTTGCACACACAATTAGCGTTCGCTATTCGGGGTCTTAGTAGAACAGGTCCTAAGAGTACAAGCAAAGACTCAGCACAGGCCAGTCCTCCCTCTGTGATCAGTCTCAGCTGAAGGTTTTTTGAATTCTCATTGACAATCCTAAATTTAACCTGAAAGTACCTCGCTCATCAGCTCTACCTTCACAGCTCATGTAAGTCTTTGTATCTCTCTGAGTCTCTCTCTGTCTAAGATGTCAGCGAATCGTTTGCGTCCCAGTCTCTCAGACAGTCCAACGGTAGATCTGAATCACTGGTATCTCTGTGTATAAACCCTCTGTGTGTGCCTGACCTCTGCCTCCTAAAGACTGAATCTCTGCCTCACCCAGGCTCCAGTCCTCAGGCCTCACTCTCACCTCTGCCCCTCCCCCTTACCTCTGCACACCAGGTGTATAAGTGGGTTAGTGCTCGGCTAAGCTACCTGCTCCTCAGGTCGGTTGCAGCAGGACGTCCTTCTTTAAATGTCATCCATATTCTCCTGAGCGTGGGAGAACACGTAGCCGGGGAGGAGATCAGGATCAGAGGGGAGAAAGAGCACTCCTCTGGATGTGAACTTCAACTTGACCTCTGACCTCCCTTTGCCTGGCTCAGATATCAAAACACAGAACCATCTGCCTGTGGGAGCAGGGCAGCGGGAAGTGCGGGGTTAATATCATACACTCACAGAGCAGAATACAGACCCTAATTTTCTCCCATACTCACACACAATCCGTTTATTTGATCTTGGAGCCGCGACAGATGGATGGGGGCCGCACACTTCCACCCTCTCTCTCTCTCTGCTGCCATTCCTGTGCAGAGCGAGCAAGGAGGGGCACATAATGGTGAGAGAGGGCAAGAAAGGGTGAGAAAGGGCGCAGGGTGAGGCAGAAAAAAGGAGGAGGAGGGAAATCTGAACCTGCAGGGGTCGGCCTCCTCCTTTATCTCTCTGTCAATCACAATGGGAGAGGAGTGTTTGAGGGATGAAAAAGTGATGGAGAGACAAGAAAGAGAAGGAGGAGGAGAAGAGGTGGACAGCTGGGGCAAGATTCAGTTTCTTCACCTGATAATTATCTATTTTATAACCAAATCTGCATAAATAATCTAAAACTGTCCAAAATACTTTATATCAACAGAAGATTCAAGCAATATGCAGTACCATACCAGCAATATGTATTCATCTGCTTCACAGAGTTCTGGCCTCATTCAGCTCATTGTTTTGGCTCCACAGATTAGGGAGAATAGGGACAGGGAGACCTTTTAATCTCTCTTATAGTGTGTGATTGACTTTTAATTATCAACTGTATAACTTTAGTGTTTTGTACTGTAAATGGACATGGAAGTGCCCCCAAAAATACAAAAAACACAAATGAGTTATATCGATTCATGCTAAATCCCCTGAAACAATCTGGGACTTTCTAAATGACTGATATTGAATATTTGTGCAGAGGACAGGGCAGAGTAACTGTTCCACTTCAGGACACACTGACCATTTGGTCATCTTTTGTTACAGGGTGAAATAAATGCAGCAATGCTGTCACTTTACCATACTGTAAGTCCTCTAATAGAGACCGCCAGGCCCCTCATAATGAACAGGATCAAGTCCTTTAGGAGTGAATAAATACTGGATCTCATTTAGTGGCCGGGACAGTTTCATATTTCTATCATAGAGAACAGCTTACTGTTGAGATCACGATGATCACACACACTAGCCAGACTGTCTGTACACTTATAACATCTGTTTTGTAGTGAAATATTTCAAAGACCAACTCTACGCAGTCTGCTGCAGGTTTTTATGGCACTAGTGATGGAAAGAACAGTTCTCTTGACTGTACTGAATCTTTAGAATCCGTACATTAAAATGATTTGTTCAAGTGTTTAAGTGAGTGACACAGCTGCAAGTTCGTTGACCGAAGGAGCCCATCCCCTCCCCTGCTGCTGAAGTCACAGCATCGTTCACTGGGTGACACATGTCGTTCATTCACCAAGTCGTGAAGGAAGAATCACTCCCCTGCCTTGAAAAACTCACTTCTCCGTTTGTCGCCGGTGGCGGAAACAACACAGCAGCAAGCAGCACACCTGCTAAACGAGCACGAGTCGTCATTCTTTTATATGGTGGAAAAGTGGAGAGATTAAAAATTAAAAAAACTTACAGCAGTAGCAGGTATTCTGCTCCTTTTAAAGATATTAGCGCATTGCTTTAAATCTGCTGAAACTAAATTCTTCTTGCAGGAAAGTTTATACACGTGTATTAATGTAAAGGTGCTATAATGCACTGTTTTATCTTAGCCTCAGTGAATAAACCAGTGCTCAGCAGTAAGTGAACGACACTACACCCCTCCCTTCTCTGCCTTACCTAAGTCGTTCCGAAGTCGTTCGCATTGTTCACAGTCTGACCAATACATGTCATTCTTTCGCTGTGAGCAAATCACAAGACTCTGCCCACCCACTGGCTGGCTGGCTGGCTGGTTCGCCGCACCCCCCTCCCTACACAGTTTGACACGACTCAACTTCGAAATGAAAGAATTTAACTACGGGCTAAAAATGAGTCATTACCTTTGACAAAGTGGTCACAGCACACACGGGCATTATCAGCTCCTCCAGACCGTAGGCGGAGATTAAAAAGCCATTTTTGCCAGCGTTTTTCAGTCAGCTTCTTACACTTTACTCTTTGTGTAACACTACTTTGGGCACATGATAAGAGCTGTTCGATCGATTCAAGCAGCCGTAAACGGAGCAAAACATCGGCATGTTGCTGGTCTCTATAGCAGCAACTCACTTCCTGCCCTCCATCTGTATTACGCGCGTGCCGCGTAACATGAAAGTGACGTCAAGTGAAAACCACCTATACACGGTAAAATAGGGGAATAGGGTGCTTCATTTATGATGCTTGTTTGCACAGAGAGAGATATTTCTTTTATTTTATGCATAATGGACCGTTTAAATAAACATGTACTTAACTGGTGCACAGAGACACTAATTCGATATGAAGACCTACCCTCTATACAAGCCTGCTTCGTATTACAGCCTGGTACCTTCACCACCTGAGGCAAGAAGGGGACCTGGGTCAAAACCCTTATGCTGTCACAAAAAAATTGTGAAAATTAGATGCTATATTATTTTTTGTTACTAAATGTAGCAGAGATTCACTGAAGCTTTGTATAAAGGAAATACAATGAGGCCTCAGAAACACAGGGGTCTGCCCCAGTGTGAGTGGAGGGACGGATGAAGATGAACGTGTCAGGCTGCTCAACTTTTTCATGCAAACATACAAAACTCAATCAAGAGCTCCACGTTATCATAAGTTACATCATTAAGAGATGAAACACATTGCTGCAGCTGTGAGCTCTGATGGAATATTATAATAGCACCATTCAATGATGTGTTTTCAGCTTATAGTATTTATATGATCTAATAAAGGTGTATAAGTAAATAATGTATAATCAAGTATCATTTCGACTTGTTATAGGTTTGGAGGACTGGTCTTGGGTCCAACCTCTGACTCTAAAACTGGAAACAGTTTTCAGTGACAGGGATTTTCTCACAAACTGTGTGCATGAACAAAAACCTGGTACATGAGTGAATCCTGGTCAGATCAGTGGGTTCAGTTGGTCTGGCTCTGAGGACTGAGGGACAGTCTCGTCTTGGTGGATCTGTTCTCTGACTGACCACAGCTCTGATGTTTCTGAACTTACAGACTTTCACCACAACATTGTTCTGCGGCCCCACAGTGGGACGTTGCCCCAGGCTGCCCACCAGCCCACTGAGCAAGACGTCCCCAAGGACCCCCAACAACAAACCTGCGAACAAACCGGCTGTGCCTGGCCCTGGTCAGAGGGAGCACTGCCTGAGGCCAGTCTACCAGCCGGACCCTGAACCTCCTCCAGACAGCAAGAGGAAAGAGACTCCCTGAGGTCCCAGACCTCTCCCTGTTATGACTCATGGCCTGTCTGAGGGTCTAAGAGAGTTAGGGAGCAGACAAATGAAAGATGCAAAGAACAAACGGAACAGAAAGAGAGATTAGAGGACAGTCACTAAGGCTAAATCCTCTTTTTTCTCTGGTGTCTCTGATGTTCTGTCAAAGCACTGCAGAACCTGGGTGCTTAAACTAAACACAGACTGAGAGAAATGGATTCAAAGAGGACAACTAAGAGGACCTTCAGATCCTTAGTCTGAATGTTTTTAAGTCTTTACCGTAGAGGCAATGACTCTTACAGCAGCAGAAACAAACTTTGCCTGTTAGTTTCTGTGAGCGATGACTCTTCTTGGATCACAGCAGCTAATAGCCAACATGCCGAGAGAGCGATTAAGAGGAAATAAACCTGCATGGACATATTTATAAAGTCATTTACACCACGGGTCATAGAGCGTCTATTAAAGGATCATCAGGGGAGCACTTCACTAAACTGTCTGATGTATGATTCTAACTGTAAGTCCGTATATACGTTTTTTTTAATGCTTAAAAAAAAAAAACAGCTGGAGGAACATCTGATGAGCTGAATTTCCAACAGGTTACTAACATGACAGGGTATAAAAAAGACATTCAGAAGAGCTGGGTCTCTCAGAAGGAAAGATGGAGAAAAGGTTCACCACTCAGAGAGAGACTGTGTGAGCTAATAGTTCAACAGTTTCAGAATAAAGTTCTTCAATATCAAACTGTAGATTTTTTTCAGTTTAAAGTTAAAAAAGTTCTTCTTTCAGAAGCATTACAATTTACTCAAACTTCGCAGCGATCCTACATCAACTACGTGTCACTGCGCTGACATGTAGGTGATGTAGGACTGACTTTATTGGTCCAACTCTAGACCAATACAGTCAGCATCGTTCACTTACAGTCAGTCTCAGACTGTACAGGTCCATGTCACAGATTCACCTGTGATTAGTTCATTGGTTCACGATCCACAAATGGCATATTTTAGAGAGATGCTCACGCCAAGTCGAGGTTAGTTGTCTCACTGAGTGGTGCGGCGTTTGTTCATTTACCTGTCATAAGTCCATGTGTTGTGTTGCTCCTGCTTGTAGTCGAGCATATCAATTCAAATATGAGACAAGCTGAACTGAAAAAAAATGGGTTCATCTTAGTTTATCGGAGTTTAGTGTTTTTAGTGCCAGTATACATTTTTGTCAGTAGATGGCACCATCGTTTTCAGGACAAGTGTACCCCAATGCCTGATGACAACCATTGATCACAACCACCATGACTGGAGATCAAAAGATGGAGAGACAAGGTGATCATCCAAAACAAAGAGGCTAAAAAGGGGGTCACGTTAACCGGTGACTGAGGAGGAGTTATGATGCAGATTTAAGGTCATTTTTATTTAGGGCAGCCTCAGCAGTGCCATTAGTTAACCAGCATGAAATGTATGGCAGAGTTTTAGGGTCACATTAAAGAAGAAGAAAAATAAACATTTTTAGCGTCATTTTAAAGTCATTTCTCTGCAAGAACAATGTGGTGAAATATTTTCTCGAAGTCGTAAAGTCACTAGAATCAAAAAATCTGACAGATTTACCCAGTACTGGAATTTCTGAAAGGACTTTTTCCATCATCAGATTTTCTAATAACACCTGAACAAACTGAATTTGACTGTTTGAGGTTGATGTTGCTGTTCGGTTTTGTCAATATTGGATTCAAGAACATTTTTTTATCACTTCTCCGGACTTTTGTCAGTTGACTAAAAGCCTAAGAGACCACCCTGTTTACTGAACCTACATTGCTGCAGCCTGTCAGCAGACTGTTACAACCTGGTGCAAACAAGACACCACTAACTCCAGTGTGTGTGTGTGTGTGTGTGTGTGTGTGTGTGTGTGTGTTTGGAGGATTGGGGACTGATGAATTTGTCTTCTTGATGACTGCTGAGCTCTCCTTCAGTCATGAATCAAATGAAAGCGTCATTTAGTCGGCGATCGGCCGACCTGAGGACCTGAGCTGACTCTGCTGCTGCTGCTGCTGGAGGATCCACTGACACCAGTCCTAAACCCCCCCCCCCCCCCCCACACACACACACACACACACACACATGGATAATCATCAAGAATCCTTTCACTTGTTCTCTGCGTCTTCTCTTCTGCAGAAAAAAGAAAATGTGAAATTAGCGTTGTGTGTACATTTTATCATGTCTGCTATCGCCTTTTGAAAATTGCAGGTAGCAGAGTGTTTAACATTCTCTTGTCAGGCGTCCTCCTGCTGGGACAATAAATGCCTGTCCAGTTTTGCTCACAGCGGCAGCGGCAGATTACAAACAGCAGGAGCACACCGCCGTCTGAACACAAAACCGATAAGGACGGCCGTCTTCACGCCGCCACTCTGGCTGGCTTCTTTTCACGCCAGGAACCTGCTGCTTTCTAATATTTACACACAACTACAGCAGCAAATGTAGCGTAACTTCACCCACATGTCCCCCCCACACCTGGAGCCGCTGTGCATATTTCTGTGTTTTTGTCTTCTGGGAGCGGGGGGCTGTTTTTCTGACAATAACAGAGGAGCGGGGGCTAAATTACAGCACAAACAGTGAAATTTTCCATCACAGCTTTTCCCCCGAAGTTTCAGGAAGAGGTGGGTGTGGATGATTGGAACTGTCTCAGAGTTCTTCTTTGACTTTTTTAAGGAGGAGGTGGGTGAGTGAAGGAGAGTTTGTGGTTTTTGGAGGAGGGCGGAGGGTGAAATGCAGATTTACTGTCTGAGCTGTGACAATTGAAGAGGCAGAGGATATGGAGAGAGATGCAGGAGGCCACTGACACAGCAGATTATTCACCACCGCAAGACATATAAGACTGTAAGATTTATGTTAAAAGTAATGAGAGAAAACACAGCTTCACAGGTGCATGCATGCTGTAAGATAGATGTGCAATTTTCCTAAAAAATAACAGTATTTTCATGTTTTCGAAATTACTACTTTTAGGTAGAAGAGCCCTGCTTGTCACTCTTTCTCCGAACACACTGCAAGAGACTTTTGGCCATTAGGGGTCAGCACATCATTCATCAAACACATTTTTGACATAATATCTTTTAAGGGGTTATTGTTCTGTAGTATCAGGATCAGATTTAGCATCAATAGAGCAATGATTGTGTTCACTTAATGCAACCCAGTCTGAAACTCTGTTTTTGGTCTTCACCTGCTTCTCAGGGAAATTAACTCACCCTGAATGTGTCTGCTGTCTGCAGTTTGCTACAGAGGAGGTCAATTTCGGTTGCTCATTAGAGGTTTTTTTTTTTTTGTTTGTTTTTTAACAGTGTGCATGCCATGTATTGAAAATAACAAACAGAAAAACTTCCCAAAGTCACACAGACAGTTGAGATTTTATATTTGTGGATTTATTGTTTGCAGCAACTTTGAGCTTCTGGGACAAGAAGCTCCTGAAAGCCATGATAAGTATGAGTCTCCTGTTGTTAAGTTTTTTCTATCAATACATATTATTATGCATTACAAACAGGATGAGAGCTGAGACATTCTGACTCTGTGGCTGTGGTTTCCTGTACACACCCAAAGAGGGATCATAGTGGCATTGGAACCACAGTCATCGCACTGCTGCTGAGCGCTCAGATGGACCCTCTAATGCAGAAGTATGTGGTCTGAAGCCACGAGTGGGCCTGATGTCGTCTAGTCATCAGCCAATCAAACGTGTGTTTGAGGAAAAAAAATGGACCGGCACATTCAACAAGTGAAAAGGGGTAAATGTAAGTCAGAACATAATGAAAATAATTCACTTAATAATGGTAGGGTCGATTCTATCTTTACAAAATATGGGAAGACAATCTAAATTACCTATATAACTGCACTCATTATACAATGCAATTAAGGTTGCTCAAAAGTTGGTGGGAACAATTTGAGCACCCTGAAAAGTTGGTAGTGTTATGTCCCTACCGTCCCTATGCAAACCTACGCCCTTGGGTCACTTAGAAAGGAGTCAGGATCCTTCCTAGTCTCCCTCTGAATATCTGCCTCTCTGGCCTCACCTCCATAGACACCTCTCAGTAAAAGCAATACATAGGCCTGTATGGATGTAGTGGAAACTTTATTTCCTTGGTTTAATGAGACCTCATCCTGTTCCTGGTCTTTCTGACTTCAACAGACTCACAGATACACAAGAGCTTCAGGTCATATGCAGATACAGGAACATAAAAACCCTGATTCCCTTACCCTTATTCTGGATCTCCAGCCTGTGAGCTCCACAACAAACTGTCTATGAGCTCAGAATGGAGAAATTCTTCTGCTCCTTTCCTCAAGCATTTTGGACCCTGTCACCTGCCTGAGTGGTCCTTAAATTCCAGTCTGAACACTTTGGCCCCCTCCCTTCAAAACACCGACAATTGTCACAAACACAGGAATGCCACCGGCCAGGAAACTGTTATCCAGTTATCGGCATGCAGGCTGGGGGGTTATCATACTCGAGGTGGTTAGGCAACCGCTGTGAGGCGTTCACAGTCCGTGGGCTTGACTCCTGAAGGCCAACCACTGCAAACAGATGGACATCAACTTCCTGCAGGGCCCGGCGCCAGATGACACGCCGTGATGGAGGAGTGCGGACAGGGTGGGGTAAAAATGTGCTGCTGTTGTGTTTAAGTGCTGTCCTTTTCACCCTGCATCCTCCACACACAAACACACACACATGCACGCACGCACACACACACACACACACACACACACACACACACACACCTATTTGCTGCCATTATGTACTGCCCCCTACTGTCTGCAGCGCCCTGAGGTCAGTGTGTGTGTGTGTGTGTGTGTGCGTGTGTGTGTGTGTGTGTGTGTGTGTGTTGGCTGGCGGGGGGGCTCTTTACTTCTGACGAGGCTGAACAATCGATGGAGAGCCACCAGCCGCCACAGGGGCCCCCGAGGGCCCTCACAGCACTAATATTAGAGGAGACGTGTTCCTCCGTGGAGTAGGTGAGCGTGGGGGAGGTGTTGTTGGGGAAGGTTAAGGACAGCAGTGGATGGAGGGGAAGTGGACGTCCTGTCAGGAGCTGTCCAGGCATGAAAAACTCCTGTGTTTGCTCACAGAGTGAAAATAAAACAGAGATGATTGGACATAAGTTTCAAACAGTTGGGAGATGTTTCTGACAGAGCATCACTTAGGGATATCTCTGCAGGAGGTCGTAGAAGAGCAAAGACAGGCCAAAAACTCAGAGTCCATATTCACAGAGCTTCTAAAGCACTATTCATACAAGGTTATCATTATTATTGATCTTATATGGGGACCTCTGCTAAATCCTGGAGTCCAAGTTTTTGCTATCATTCTCAGACAGACAGGACAAGTAGGCGATCCCACCAGTGGTAAAAGAAGATGCTAGTTTTCAATGTTGTTTTAATCGGTCATATTTACTGATCATCATCACTGCAGTTTGTACAGATTAATTCACCACTGAGTGACAAAATGATCCAGCTAAGTTTGCCACCAACACGAAGTCAAAGCTTTCATTTAAAATATCTTAACCGTTATTACTCATAAAAGCAGCAGGAAAGAGCCGCCGACACCTTTTAAAAACATAATTACAAAAAAACAAATATGGTTGGTGAGTTTCCCTAAAATTTTCACTTTACAAATTACAGACATGGTAATTTGCATGTGATGTAAAACATAGACATCCTTCACAGCTATTACAAATGATCAGGGGTCCACATGTAAGACCAATCTGGTGCAAATACAGCTGTGGTCTGGAGAGCTGCTCCTTGTTAAAAATTTTGAGAAATTTTTCAGACTCGGGATGTTTTTTTCCGAATATTTCCCAAAAGCTAAGACCTTTCTTTTTTGTAGGAAACAGAGCATCTTAGCCTTTTAGAAATGAAGACTGATAGAAGAAACAGTTTCAACCATGATCTGGTACATGTATGAAAAACTAAGAGAGTTCAGAATAACATGGATAGCAAACGAGCTGCACAAATTAAACTCACATATTGACCATCAGACAGCAGCAACATGGTTAACGTTAAGACAAGTGATTAGCATAGATGTGAATGTAAATAACTTCTCTAGTAATTCTGCTTCTTCCTTCACTGGTGTGGTTTTGTGTTACTGTGGGTTGAGATGACAAACCAGAGGACCAAAGAAAACTGCAGCTGCTTCTTTTTTCTGAGGAAAAATTTGTGTTTGCACTTCACCACTTCACCTCAGACTGTTTTAACAATGAGGTTTGGTATAAAGACAGGTTTACTTGGACTCTGACTCCCACTAGCCAATAGTCTGTGACCCAGTAACAACAGACGTGTCCAGTGTCTCCACTCTGAGATGATATTTAGTTCTCCTGGAACACTCAATGTGTTATATTGTGTGTGTGTATGTGTGCATGCGTGTGTGCATGTGTGTGTGTGTGTGTGTGTGTGTGTGTGTGTGTGTGTGTGTGTGTGTGTGTGTGTGTGTGTGTGTGTGTGTGTGTTTTGCAGCGCCTCTTAATCGCCAAAATTAGAATTGAGAGGCAGCAGAGTTTGCTTCATTGCTGCTTAAGCCTAAACCTTTCTCCTTGCTGAAAGATATTTGTGCTCTCCTTGTCTCTGGGTTAGATGCCTGTCACTCCCTCCTCTCTGCTATCACCCACAAATCTCTCTCTCACCTCCATCTTCTCCAGAACGCAGCAGCTCAGCTACTTACTGGTTTGAGCCAAAGCCATCACACTTCTCTCCTTGCCTCATGCCACTGGCTCCCTGAATTTATTTGAAGATTTAACTGATCACTTTTAAAGCTCTTTTGGGTGTTGCCCTGAAAGAAATGCTGACTCCAGATGAACCGTCCCGCAGTCTGAGATCCTCAGGTGACGTCCTGCTTGTGGTTCCAAAGTCAAGGCTTAAACCTGAAGGAGGTCAAGCTGAGGAGATAAGGGCCCTCATTTATCAAGCTTGCGTAAGGCAGAAAACTTGTGTACACCTTGTGTACGACAATTTTGATATGAGGATCGGCATTTATCAATCTGCACGTGAGCGTACGCTACGACCAAATCTCACGACAGGTCTGACTCCGTGTACACAAGTTTGAGTCAGTGTGAATCTGTGGTGCAGCAAATGTCTGTCTCAAAATCATTGATAAACAAACCTCAAACCTGTCACTAAGCACAATCAGCCAGATTTCATTAAAGATTAAGACGTAAATAAAATGAAATAAATTTGTTTTGTCCTTAGTGAAAAGGCCTATTTGATAACTCTGCCCAGACACACTGCCATAGAGCAGGAGCGCCATTTCAACATTATGCAAACATGCACACGCACCACTGTGGAGCACTGCGTTTGACTCCTAAAAGGCAGGTGTCTCTGTCTTGGCCCAGCAGTGGGGACGATGTCGTACACTCCTGAAAGGGTGTGGGACATCATTTGGGCCAGTACAGTTTTGCACAATGTCACTCTGGTGAATGGAGTGCCGTTGGCTGTGCCGGTCCAACGTGAGGACCCGATGCCCGGGGAACAATAACGAGGAGAGACTGCACAAAGATCCTGTACAGAGGAGATAGGACCTTATCAATGGATTCTGATGTTAAGTATAAGTTTGGAAAGTGCTCTTGCTATTTAATCAGTGATAAAAAAAAATCCAATAGAAATCCATAAAATTGTGCCTCAGGGGCAGCGACACACCGTTTGGTGAGGTTAATAATTATTTTTGTTCAGCCTCTGTCAGACTCTCCAGTCTGCTCTACATTACAAAGATGCAACAAATTAAAACTAAATACTTTCAATAATAGGAGCAACGTACCCTGTCATGGCAATACAAAATATGAGGCATGTATGAGATATTAATTTATCATCATGAGCAACTTATTGATTAATGATTTATTCAGACTTCAGCTACTGTCCGCTATTCCGCGGCAGCGCTGTTCACCGCCTCCATAGTCCTGCTCCAGACAAGAGTTTTCTGGACTGTGTGTCCTATCGTACGATGAATCCTGCACTCAGATCTGCGCAAGCTTGATAAATGAGGGCCAAGATGTGCAGAATCAGAGAAATCTTTGAAATCACTTCTGAAAACTCCATTTTACAGACTCACTTTTATGAGAATTTACTCGACGGACTTTTCAACTTTAACTTTCTGGCTTCATTTATTAAAAAACTCAAATTTTAATAGTTTTTTTTTTTTCTAGCTATTTGTTTAAGAGTTTTCCTCTTATCCCCTACTGTATGGTCTCGGATTGGTTTACTTTGACCTCACTGCCCCTCGTCTTTCAATCTTTTTATTCTGATGTGAATGTCGTCAGACTGTATACCTTTCTTTTGCTATTCTTTTTTTTCTCCTCTTCTGAGAATCTTCGTTGACTGTTATTTCTCCTCTGTAGCCATTGTTATTGTTGGCTATATAAATAAAGTCATTTTTAGATGTTGTTCCCAGTAAATCAGACAGTAGTACCTATGTGTCTTCTTGAATTGATGTCTTCATTCTCTCAGTCTGAGTTCTACTTGGATAACAGTCCTGCCCATCCGTCACCATAACTTTGGAGGCTCCTATATGGCATTATACCTTAGTTTTTAAAAGGTAGCACTTCAAAAAGTTTGGGATATTGGATGATCTTGATCCATGTCGATGATTTATGCAAGTGTTAGACAGGTTTTCATGTAATCTTTATTCAGGTCTTTTTTTTTCAGACAAACTTCAAATACAGAAAATAAAAGCTGGTTTGAAGTTATTAATCTGAGTCATCGCCCACAGGACAAAGACTCGTCCTGTCATGTTAAATCTCTGAATAAACAGTACAAGTTTACCTGTAGTCACTCTGACCCTGAAGTATTTGTTTAATGTCAAAAGAGGAACAATTGGTTTTCTTTATTACCATAACTTTGTCTTCAAACACTAAATGCATAAAATGCGAACTTCTTTCAGTGTGTAACAGAAAAATCCACAATATAAAAATGTATTCAAAGAAGCAGAGGACAGACGCAGGAGTGTAGAAACAGGTGGATCTTCATCTGATCTTCTTGGGTCTACCCCTCTTGGCAGGTCCTGGTGAGACTGAGGTCGCCATCTCCCCATCTGTGGATTTAGGGCTACTCCGTTTTTTGGTATGAGCAGCCCTCTTCTGTCCTTTTCGGGGGCTTTTCTCCACTCCATTAGCTTCTGCAGAAGATATTCAGACAGATTAACAAAAAACACTCTAACCCTCCAAACCACCGACCATCCCTGATGTTTTAGACTTAAGTAATTTTTTTTTAGAACTTTAAAAAAAAACAAAAACAAAGATTACTAGTTTAAAAAGCAATTACACTACAGGCCAAAAGTTTGGAAGCAAGGCCATTACAGGCTAAACAATCAGGAGTAACTTCAAATTTTTTTTAAAATGCTTTTTTTTTTTAATCCAGCATGATTTGTTTGTATTTTGGGATGTATTTACTCCATGATCAGATGTTGCTTTCATGGAAATGCACCATTTTACTCCATTTACCTTTAGATATACATTAATGTTAACAGACCATTGCTAAATATATGTCAGCAAAAGAAAATAAGGGCTTAGTTGTAGGGTCGAAAACATTTGCACGAGTCACAACTTCAGTGCAAAAGCAAAAAAACAAATCTCAATTGGATTATTCACGTCAACCTTTTTGGCTTTTGAGAGTCTGCAAACAAAAATCCTAAAAAATTTAACTGCGTTCAGACTACCGCAAAAATGGCTAGAGAGAGGCAACTGAGTAAAGAAACAAAAGTACAGATTAGTACATTGAGGAAAGAAGGATACACAACAAAGGAGTCCACTACACTCTGAAGAGACTAGAGGAACTTGAAAGTTATGATGATAGAAAAAGACCTGGATGAAAGAGAGTTACTACAAAAGCAGAGGATAAACATATCATTGTCACCAGTAAGAGAGATTGGCGAAAGACAGCACCACAAATAAGGGAGAAAATCAACATGATAAGGTCGAAACCCATATCTCTGACAACTGTGAAAAGACGTTTGAGAAAGGCTGGTCTGAAGGGTTGTGTATCTGCAAAAAAACACTACTTCGTCCACAGAATAAGAAAAAGAGATATGAGTGGGCAAAAGCTCACAAAAATTTGACCTATGATGACTAGAAACAAGTTCTCTAGACCGATGAAAGCAAGTTTGAACTGTTTAGTTCAAAACGCAGAGTGTATGTCCGCAGACAAACTGGTGAAAGTCTGAAAGCATCATGTGTTACACCCACAATTAAGCAAGGAGGTGGTAGTTCCATGGTATGGGGATGTTTTGCAGATGATGGAGTAGAAGATTTTTCGAAGTGAAGGGTATCATGAAGAAGGAACAGTACCACTCCATCCTCCAGCACCATGCTGCTCCATCTGGACTCAGACTTGTGGCTCATAAGTTTGTTTTGCAGCAAGACAATGACCCTAAGTATTCTGCCAAGCTCTGTCAGGGTTATCTAGACAAAAAAGAAGAGGGAGGTGTTCTTCAAAAGATGGTTTGGCCCTCTCAGTCTCCTGACCTTTCTCCAATTGAGCTTGTGTGGGATGAATTGGATCTATCAGTCAGAAAAGTGCGTCCCACGAATTAATGAACTTCAGAAAGCTTGGAATGCAATCCCTGGAACATACCTTAAAAAACTTGTGGAACGAATGCCTGGTATATTCCAAGCTGTTGTTAAAGCCAGAGGAGGTTACTTTAAAGAAAGCAAAGTCTAAGCAACAATAACTCAAATACCTAATAATTATAGTCAAAGTGTCTTCTGATAAGTTACTCTTTACACAATAGTCATGTTTATTGTGTTGCAAAGTATATTAATGAAACTATGATCTTTTTTTGTACAAATCTGATCTTGCTTCCAAACTTTTGGCCTGTAGTGTATATTCAAACAAAAGGAAACTATTCAAAAAAAAAGTTTTAGAAAAGTAATATATAAACATTTGTGAACAAACAAAAACAAACTTTAACGAGCTTAAATACTTTACAAAGAGCATAGAAAAAATCACAAACTGTAAAAATGTGTCATTGAAAACATTCAAGCATGTCCACTCTTCTCTGTCTTTAATCTTTTTGAGGTAGTGACATTTTCTCAGTTTTATCAGATGTTTTTTTTTTTTCTCTGTATGATTACTGCACACCTTCACAGTTTTGACAAAATGATTGGATTTTAGAAAACATATGTCTTTTTTTGTGGTCTTAAATAAGGAAAGTCCACCTTCAGTGCCACCTTAGAGAAAGTCTGCGCTGAGAAAAAATTATGTAAATGAACAAATTAATTTTAAAAAAACAAAACAAAACAGGAAATGTACCTTTTTTGGTCGGCACTCTCTTTTTCTTGATGGGACTCCCGCCAGTCCCACTCTCTGCTTCCTCTGCTGCTACCTTTCTCTTGAGGGTTTTCTGGAGGGAAAGAGTGGAGAGGACAAACACAGACTCACTGAGGTGGGGAACTTCATTCACATCTGTTAAGGAAGTGATCAAAGGCATTGAGATGGATCATGGTCCAAGCTGAAAGTTCAGGGTCTCCTTTGTGAGCCATAGCAGTGAGGTCCTGCCATCGTGCACCTGAACACAGCACCCATATAAAAAATCCCCTTTCTTATGGAGCCAGATCAGGCTCAAAAGTATTGAAAAGTAGTGTAAGTGAAAAAATAAGATTTGAACCTGAAAAAAATAAAATGGTACCTGAAAGTCTTGAATTTTGAAATTGAGCTTTGAAAAATCCCAGAATGCATGAAAAAAATCTGTTCAAATGTAACTTTGATTCTGTTTTTTAATACTTTTGAATAAATTACTTATTTCTATTTTTCACTTCAATGTATATTTCGATCTTGGAGTACTTTTTTTTTCGATTGAATTTTATTTATTTATTTCAGATTCAGATCTTATTTTTACGGATTCGAAACGTTTTTTTTCGGTTTCAGATTTTTTTTTTCAGATTCAGATCTTTTTTCGGATTCAACTTGAAAAGTTTCAGGTTCACTTTTGACCCTGTTTTTCCATGGGGGCGGGCCTCGACTGAGAGGGGCGCGGTCTGCCATGAGTGACAGGCCTCCCCCTCCTTCCCCACCCCATCACCCTGCATTCAGGAAGTGGCATGAATACACATTAGCTTAGCCTACAATTAGGCTCTATTGGCTGAATGAGATTGTGTTGGTTCGTTCCACTTTAGTGCGGCAATATAAACTGTGATCCGCGGCTGCATCACGTTCTTGTTTCTCAAACCCCTTTTGCAAATAAATCGCAAATAAGTAATAGTTGATATCAACGCAAAGTTTATAAGTTTCTGCAAGGTCCTTTGTCTCACCCTGTAGAGAAAGCCACTTTCTAATACTAGTTCTGTAAATTTCGCAACATGTCCTTGTAAAGTCGAGAACGTCTTCACTCTGGACAGATGACAGATGCATACAGCATCGTTTCGCTCCTTTTTCTATGCACTTTTGAAGGCTGTTTTCTTTTGTTCCTTTTCTTTTCTTCCTCTTCGCTTGTCTCGCTGCGAGATGCGGTCGTCGCCATGTTTGTGTATTTCTGATACTATGGCAACGAGACTCGGCTCCTATTGGTCCACGTGACAAAAATCGCTTCACCCCCTGCATATTCGATTGGGCGTGTGCAAGTATCACTACGCTGCAGAAGGGAAATAGTTCGACACCGAAACACTGATTACTAAAAATCGACTGGATGAGTAGATATTTTTTTTAGTACTTACTATCAATAGAGCTTTTTTATGAATCACAGTTTATATTGCCCCACTAAAGTGGAACGAACCAACACGATCTCATTCAGCCAATAGAGCCTAATTGTAGGCTAAGCTAATGTGTATTCATGCCACTTCCTGAACGCAGGGTGATGGGGTGGGGAAGGAGGGGGAGGCCTGTCACTCATGGCAGACCGCGCCCCTATCAGTCGAGGCCCGCCCCCACGGAAAAACAGGGTCAAAAGTGAACCTGAAACTTTTCAAGTTGAATCCGAAAAAAGATCTGAATCTGAAAAAAAAAAATCTGAAACCGAACAAAAATCGTTTTGAATCCGTAAAAATAAGATCTGAATCTGAAATAAATAAATAAAATTCAATCGAAAAAAAAAAGTACTCCAAGATCGAAATATACATTGAAGTGAAAAATAGAAATAAGTAATTTATTCAAAAGTATTAAAAAACAGAATCAAAGTTACATTTGAACAGATTTTTTTCATGCATTCCGGGATTTTTCAAAGTTCAATTTCGAAATTCAAGACTTTCAGGTACCATTTTATTTTTTTCAGGTTCAAATCTTATTTTTTCACTTACACTACTTTTCAATACTTTTGAGCCTGATCTGGCTCCATACTTTCTCTGCCCGTCCTCCTTCCCAAACCTCCATAATGCACGTTTATTCCTCCATTGTGGAAATATCTACCTCATGATCACCCACAGCCCCTGCTGAGCTGAACAGATTGTTGGGATAATTACATACAATAACCAGCGTTGAGGCCCAGTAACCCCTTGGCTGGCAATGCCATGTCCCTGGTGGCTTTTTCCACGTGCACAGGGGTGAGAGAGCAAGGGAGAGAGAGAGTGAGAGAAGAGAGGGACAGAGAAGAGAGAGACAGAGAGAGTAAGAGAGAAGACAGAGAGACAAGAGGGCATGAGAGAAGGAGGTAGGTAAGTTGCATAAGTGGAGGATGATGGGAAGTAGGAATCAAAGAGTCTGAATTTGGAGTAGGTCTGTGGACTCTGTCTAACTTTATATCCATTTAAAAAACAGCCTTAGACTCTATGGAACCTTTATCAGTCTGCACGCTGAACTCTGATAATAACTCTAGGGAGACCCTACAGGGAGCCCCTTTGTCTCAGCATGTCTCAGTGTGTGTCTGTGTGCGTCAGTGTGTGTCTGTGTGTGTCAGTGTGCGTCAGTGTCAGTCTGCTCACCTTTGGAGGTTTAGGTGCAGCTGTGTCTACAGCACTGAACTCCAGTTTCCCATCGTCTTTGGCCTGGATGGACTTCAGCCCAGCCTGCAGGATGGAGCGCAGTTTCTCATACTCAGGTTTGTCCTGATAATCCATCGATTTCACTTCCTCCATGAACTTCTGGATTTCATCTGAAACACAGCAGAACATCCTTTCAAAATAAAAGCCTGAGACCAGCTCTATAGCCAGTGTAGGCAGCAGCTAGAAATGAAAGCAGGTGAAATGCATTTTCTATATCAGCTTAAATAATGTGAACTAAAGTTTGTCTTTGTCTTGTAATGTTTGTATGCTAAATTGGTTTAGTTACATGTTCAGCTGTCCTGTTTGATAAAGTTTCACTAATACAGATGGTAAAAATGACCCTGGCCCCACTGTAGTGTCTCTATACTGTCCCACAGCCTGTCTTTTTCCCATCTCAACACAGTGTCTACTGAAGTGTTCCTCTTTGATGACAGTGTCCTACTGTACTCTGTTTTAGCTGATACAAAGTACAGCCTCTGCTTGCAGCATTGAATAGAGTCAAACTTGTCCTGTCAGAGAGTTTATGTTCAGACTAACATGGTGTTCAATAACCCCAAAGTGATCAGCTTCAAGTGCTTCTTTAGTCCAGCCAAGAGCTTAGACCCTACAGACTTTTCACCTGCTGGGACTAGTAACCAAAAAAGAAAGACAGCTTTCACATTAAAAAGGACCAAACTGATTCACCAATGAACCACAGTTGAAAATGTATTACTCCAATATTTACCTTTTTTCAGTCTGCAGAGCTTCAGATGGCTGACCAAAAATCAAAAGTACCTCATGGTCATACTAAATGAGCCAAATATTTCTGTCTGAGAAAACTTCAGTCCCTCTCTTTCTTATTTGTTTGTAAAATTAATGAAAAGGTTATATTTGTCAAATGCAAAGAAAAAGAAGTGATATCTGCCACATGCTGACCTGCTGCCGTGTTGCCAGCTGTCGAAAAACTGTTTTTAGGTGACCACTCGTAAGTCCTGATGATATAGTCTGTTTAATATGAATAATTATTATTATTATGATGATTTTACTATTAAAGATGGGGCCATCATATAAACTTAGACAGAAAGGCCTTTATTTTTTATGTAAATGCTCATTGTTTTCAAACATCAGTTTTTAGCATCATGTGTGCGTGCGTGCATGTTTCTTACCTGGCTTGTCTTGGGAGGAGAAACACTTGCTCATAAATTCAGAGATGTTTTCCCGGCTTCTGCAGGGGGACAATCAAGTTCCTCCGTTTGATATCTGACGCCCATATTTTGGTTTTGTGCATCATAACTGATGTCAGAACACTGTGTGAGCAGTGAGTGCAGTTTCTCACCTGATCTTGGATTCCTTGACGTAGAGAGGGTCCTGAAGTTTGTCCTCCCAGGGCAGACGTCCACACAGCCACTGAGCCATGCAGTAACTCAGGATCTCCAGGTCACTGCGTCTGCATGGAGCTGGAGGAAAAGATCAAATCACTCTGAGCAGCAACGGCAGAAAATCAGGAATGTGGGTAATTTACTCCAACTTCTGTTCCTCTAATCATTTAGTGGCATAACTGTTTATAGCAAATCTGTTAAAACTATGGTATGACCACAAAGAAAACAAAAGCATGAACCAAAGGTGAAGACAGCAGCAGTGTGTTTGTGGACTCATGTACCTGCTCCTTTGTGAGCATCAATGCTTGTGAGCTCGATGGTGCCATCATGACATCTCTTTGGGTCTTCTTTGTACTCCTTTTGGACACCGTCAGGAGCATATCTGTAAGCCAGCCCGTAATCTACCAAATAAATCTTTAACACACAAATAAAAACACAATCAGTGCTGCACAGGGATCAGACTTCAGAGTTATAGATATTGAGTTTTTTACAGCATAGATAAAGACAGGGCGGTGATGTGAGCACAGGGGGCAGGTCAGTCCACCGTCTCAGATTTGAATGTTAATTTCTGCTGTTACACGCTCTAATAAAGAGACACTCTGCAAAAAAAAAACACACAGCTTCATCTAAACAACTCCAGGGGGATTATTTGAATTATTTAGCAAGTAAAAAACAAAACAACCTCACCTAGCATTAAACTCCTGAGGGGCCCATTTTTAAATTATCATTTATAAATAGCTCTTTAATAACAGCACCAATGATACATTATTAATCTTCAAATTAAATATTTGCCCCTGCCTTGTTTGCTGCAGAAGGCTCTTAGCTGCTGCCATCTAATCTCCCTGTTTGAAACACACACACACACACACACACACACACACACACACACACACACACACACACACACACACACACACACACACACTGGCGGCTACCCTCCTCTGCAGGCCTTAATTGAATCTAATGAAGCAGCACGAGTGTGTTATGATGAAAAAACAATCATTTCCTGCTCTTAGGAGCAGATCTGAGGTCAGAGCAGCACCTTCATCACAAAAACTCTTATTAAAGAAGCAGAACTGGATCAGTCCTGGATGTGGGATAGCTTTTGACAAAAAGACAACATTGTGTTTTTCAGGGTGACGCTGCAGCTCATACTAACCTGGTTGGGGTCACTGTAGCCCAGCATGACGTTTGACGCCTTAATGTCAGCGTGGACATACTCATGTTCATGGATGTACTCCAGAATGTCCAACTGAACAAGACAAAACACAGAGAACAGTTCATACCAGAGTTAGACTTCACACTGCACGCTCTGATATATCTCATGAGGACATAACCAACCAGTCGAAGTCCGAGCTGCAGCACCAGTTTTCTAGGAAACTGTTTTCCGTTTTCTTCAAACTTCTTCTGCAGGTCTGTGCTGAATCTGTCCATAACCATGAACCTGTAACTGCACAGAGCAGAGAAAAAAGACTTGTAATCACCTCTTCAGTTTGACCAAATGTTTGTTGTTGTTGTTATTGTGTTGTATCAGCCTCATACACTGATAAGGTTGTAGTATCTACATCTCTTCAGATAGCCAGAGAGAAAAGCAAGAACTCATATTTTCCAAGAACATTTTTACTTCATTTATTTATAATGTAGTAAGATCACTAAAGTCCTGAACCAGATCGTTTCATCAGCAATAGCAAAATTAGGGAAATGTATCAGTTGCCTTTCACTGTATTGTATATTAAAGCCTTGTATGAAAACAGGGGCTCATTGACAAAGATACAAATATCCAGATCAGGGCTGCTGTTGTCTTTTGTGAGATTTTAAAGCACAAAATGATAGATAAAAAAAGAGCTCTTTGGACCTGTATTCTTAGATATGACTCATGCTGAGTGTAACTCCAGTGAGCAGTCCTGATCCTGGTCTTACCTTTTCTCTCCTCTCACATGCAGACCCGAGCCCCAGTACCTCGGAACCCCAAGACTCTTCAGCTTCTGACTCTTCATCCAGTTCCGAACTGCAGAAAGATGTAGATGCAGAAAAAAGTAATAAGGGACATCTGAAGAACTTTTTCTTGGGTATAAATATGTGAAATTCACAGCATACATCTCAGGGGCAGGTATAAATGTCTGATGGCTGTGATGCTCAAAGTAATAAGAGGAGAGATGGGGGTAAGGGGGGGGGGGGGGGACAAGCTAATCTACTGCTGAGACAAATATTTACCAACATGGTGAGGTTCCAGCATGAATAAAATATGAGCCTTTGGTTCTTTAGTAATATAACAGTTAATTGTCAGGGGAGATTGACATTTGGAGTGTTATTATATAAAATGCAAAGCTGTGGCCTGGGGGCAAAAAAACAGCCCCCCTATTCCTGCCCCCACCACCACCCCATCCTCCAACAGGGCCCCTCCATGCTTCAGATACAAGAGAGTGTCTTTTTAATTAAGGAAGTTGTCTTTCTTTTGTTTGTTTGCACTGAGAAACTAAGTCATGATGGAAAGGCTAACTTAAGCTCTGTGTGTGTGTGTGTGTGTGTGTGTGTGTGTGTGTGTGTGTGTGTGTGTGTGTGTGTGTGTGTGTGTGTGTGTGTGTGTGTGTGTGTGTGTAATAAGGTGGCCTCCATACTCTGATCTGGCTTAGCAGCTCTCATGTAGAATTTGAGCTCAGAGAACAGAGGGCCGCTGTCACTGGGCTCCTGTAGAACAAACACATTCAAACGATCAGCTGTTTATAGAGTCACAGACTTTGAAATACAACCCAAACAGTGGAATTTTGAAAGATGGACAGTTTTATAATTTATGTTTGGAGTTTGTTGAGTCTCACCACTTTGACCACGTATCTAGCATCTGCACCCACAGGTTTGGCAGAGTTCTCTTCAGCTGAGGAGCAACAGCAGAGATAATTTTACTGCAGAAGATTTCACCATAGCTTTTACATGCTGACATGTTAAACTTTCAAAATCAAAAACCTGCACTGTGAGAAAACTGTTCATGTCATGTGACAAGGCCTTTCAGATTTACCCAGATATATGAGACCAAAGCCCCCCTGTCCGACAGGAGCCCCCAGCTTCCAGGACTTCTTTGCCATGTCAGTGAGGACCTCACCAGGGGAGAACTTTTCTGCGAGTTTCCTTTTAGCTGGAGCTCTGACTCTCCCTGCAGCCTTGGCTTTAGGAGGCATCTGAAACACACAGATATTCAGTGATAATTTTTTACAGGCATTACAGTCAGGTAGTGAGGCTGTTATCTGATACTTTTGAAGTTTTGATGCTTATGAAATGGCTAAATTTACAGCCACTTTCGCAGTGAGCAGTGATGGTCTGGTGATACAGAGATGAGCTGAAGTAAGCAGGTGCTGCAAATTAAAATTGAGTTGTTCAACAAAAACTAAAAAAGGACATAATCTTTAGTAGTTCAGTTAAATAATTTAAAGAAAAACTGCCAAAATTTAAATTTCTTCTCCAGGAAAGACAGCAAAAGCATCATAACAACAAACAAAACTTCAATATACAGGAAATGTTTAGATAGCTTTGTGGCCCTGTATGAGTTCAAACACTGGTCAAGGGTTATCAGAACAGGTTTCTCTCTTCTCATCAGGTTAGCACTGAGATGTTTCCCTCAGAGCATCATCAGTTATATATCTAAGAACTTGAATTCCATTTTTGGGGTTACAGTTAGGCCTGCACGATATATCGTTTGAGCATCGTCATCGCGATGTACGTGTGTGCGATAGTCACATCGCAGAGCCTGCGATGTTGGAGGTGAATGAACTCGGTTAATTTCAAGGGTAACTGAGCGACAAACAGAGAAAACACCGAAGATGAAGACTTGTTGCCAAACAGAAAAGAAAAGTCAGTTAGGAAAGTCAAGGTTTTTGACCTCATGTTGTAGTTCATTTGTTTCCACAATAAGTCCCAGAACAATAGCTAAATATATCTCTGAGACAGACAAAAGCCACTCTACTAACATTCACAAAAAGAGGTAAGATCAGTGCAGGTTAACTGTCCTCAAGATTTCAGCAGTGAACTACTATTATGAATTTATTGTCCCGTTTAAACCCCATCATGACACCAATTTGTTGAAAAATAACTTTGTTTGTTGGAAGATGTTCCACAAGCTCTTTTATATCATTACACAACCTGTTTTACTGTTTTGCTCAAATTCTACATGACAGCTGTTAACTTCCTGCAAAAACAGACTTCAAACTCTGTATCAACATTTTACAAAGTTGTTATGGAATCTGGGTATGAAATGATGAATGATTTGTCAGAGGGGGTATGCTGTCCTCAGTCTAACTACCTTTAGGACAATCCTGTTCACTGCACCCTTTGTCACTCTACAGTGTAACTAAAGTTAGTATAAGGTTTATTTTCACATCATCTCTGTTAACTGTGTGAGGTATTGAAAATAGGTACATTTCAGTGATGGGTGATTATTTCAGTGATCATGGATCACCCACTTCACAACACCTTGATGGACCAAAGGGCAAATGGTGGTGGACGGCTCCTTCTCTTCGCTGCTGGACAGAAAGATTTAGAAGATGTTTTGTACCAACAGCCTTCAGGCTTTATAACTCTTATTTAAATAATAGATAACTTTTATAGACATATTACGTGAGACAACAGACAACTGAATTTCCTTTCGGGGATCAATAAAGTTCTTCTCATTCTTCTTCTTTCTTTTGTTGCCAGGGTAAAACAGCAGGCGATCAGGGATGGGTGTCTATTTGTGTTGCCATGATAGCAAAGCAGGTACTCTACCTGTTTGGTTTTTACAGGTGTCATATCATAAATGAGTCACTAAACTTAGTCTCGCAAAGATCCACTGGGAGAGTTTTACTTTTTGTTGACTTATTGAAGCATGAATAACTCTGGATTCATCCTTCTGTGTGCTCTCTGTCACTGTTAGCTCCCTCTGAGACAAACCTCGAACCCTGTCACCAACATGAAGAGTCACTTACTGTCTCTGCGTTCATCACTCACAGACTGGGATTAAAGAAGAAACCTTGATCCTGTCTTAAGAAAAGAGATCAGACCCTCAGAGCGGGTTGATGGATCCTTCAAGCTAACGCTAAAGAGCGTTCACATGGACGTCAACTAGCTTTTATGCTAACGCGAACGCGTTACATCATTAAACGCTACATGACGACGTTTAACAGCAAACGCTCTTCGATCAACAATAACATCGCCAGCTACACCGACATTTACTCATGTTTGAAGACAACAGGATCCATACAAACCGTGACTTTGTTGTTACTCGCTGAGTATAACAGGAACTGTGAGAGGACCAAACTTCCCGCAAACTACCGGTCAGGAAGTCGCGTCATCACTCTCTGCTATCCTATTGGTCGACAACGCTGCGTCAGTGACAACGTAACTTAATCGTCGGGATATTTCGGTTGGTTTGAAGCGTCTTTTCTCGTCGGAAAGATCAGCAATTGAAATCGACACATTTCAGATTTTAAACTCGAAGAGTTTAAAGTCCCAAACTGAAAGGGACGCTTTCAATCCTTCTAAAAGCTGTGTGTGTAATTACTTTTCTTCTGTCTTTATCATAAGGTGATATTTATAGGCTAATGAAAATGTGGAAACAGCTCATTTAAAACACTACTGCCTGAACATGTACAGAACCAGCTCCCCTAAATAGTAAAATAATGTCAATAATCAAACTATGAAGGTTGTCTAAAGCTTATATCTAACTGAAAATATTTTAAATATTCTTGGATATTGAAACTGAAAAGTTTGACTATTTACTGAAAAACGTACATGCTTATTTTTTTATTTAAAACTTCACAAAAGTTAGGACAAAGATAACAAAATAACAAAAATATTAGAGTATGTCAAAAAGAAAGAGAAGAAGAACACAGGGGAGAGAAAAAAAGACAAATATTTCCAAATTGATGATGTCAATTTGCAGACGGGCACAACAGACACACAGAGTGCCAGGGTTAGAGTTGTAAGAGACTCTTTAGCTTAACATGCAAAGAACTTGTGGATTTCAGCATCTTCATTATAGTATTTCAGAACTCAGAAAATCTGGAGAAATCTTTTTACTAAAGGCCAAACACCAACAGCAGGTGGTGGTAATCTTTAGTTTAATTAACTTCCCTCACTTATTATTTCGTTGACATGTCCTTCATGGTTTTAGAGTTTCTGATAAATGTGATCATAGCTGCAGGGTCTTTTCCCCTCATGGTGAGAGCTAGAAAAAAAGAAGAAATAGAGTAATATTAATTAAGAAACAGGGTTGCTTTGCAGCTTTGTGTGTGGCCTTAAAAACTCTGACAAAAATTCCCCCAACACAAACCTTGAGGGAACAATCAAAAACTTTATCTTACCAGTAACAGGTATCAGGGTGCAAAAGACTAATTAAGTCATGTCAATAACAGAAACCCACTAAGACTGACTAAGAAACTCAAGGAAAACCAAATACTCTCCTTGAGTATGACTCAAAAATCACAATACCATTTGTTGATATGGTATCACGCTAAATGCACGCTTTATTGTGGCGCCAAGAGTAGCGCCCCCTCCTTCTTTTGCCCGGTGTTCCAACTGTTGGCATTTGTAGGCACCATGCTCTCCCCATCTTTTGGTCAGTAGGAACAATAATCTTGTCAGTGACAACTTCCAGTAATCCAAAACAAATATATGGGTCATTTTTCGATTTGTGTCTTGTGAGATATTCTATTTTCTTTTTAGAAATAAAAATTGAAAATCAACCCATTATGTGACTTTTCCTTACTCGTTCCAGACAAAAAAAAAAGAAAATCATGCTGTATTTCAATTAGTTTTTTCTATTTTAAAACAAAAATCAAATAACCAGTCGTTTTTCTGATATCGATTTCCAAACGTTATATCCAATTACCAAAAGAGACACGAACCATTTACTCCTACTGTGCAATGAATGTTTATAATAATACATCAGGTTTTATCGCAACTTATCAGAGACCCTCAAAACACTTTACATTGGATACATTATTCACTTGCACACACAGTCACACCCTGGTGGTGGTAAACTACCTTGGTAGTCACAACTGCTTTGGGGAAGACTGACGGAAACGTAGCTGCCAGTTTGCACCTACAGCCTCTCTTCCACCATCACACAACACTCACAATCATACACCAGTGGAGGACACACACTGGAGGCAAGGTGGGTTAAGTGTCTTGTCCAAGGACACAACAGACAGACTTGGGATAGTGGGGAATTGAGCCCCCAACCTTCCAATTGGTAGACAACCACTCTACCTCCTGAGATACAGCCGCCCACTGTCCACTGTTCCACTGTCATATGACAAATTGCCAGTCAGATGATGTTGTGGGAGGACATTAGGTAAAATCAAGCTGTGATTACTGCAGCCTCTCATGTCTGTCTGTCCCTCAGCTTTTCAGATACACACTCCTGCCTGCCTCCTTCTGCTCCTTTCCCTGCTCTCCTCTCTCCGCTTGCTGCCAGCAAAAGAAGTCGGCGGCAGATGGCGCCCTCTGTTGGTTAAGAAAGATACCAGTATTCATTTTTAATTATATAAACTGTCAGAGTATATTTACTAATTTTGACTGACCGGTGAGGTATTGTTACGTCAAAAACAAAATAATGAATTGCAAGGAGCTAAAAAGCATAAAGCTCCTGTAAAAGTTAGGTTACAATTAAGTTTGTCTGTGCCCAAAAATGAACACTGCCATGTTGAACAACAGTTGTTTGAAATAGAGATAAAACCAAAACCAGAAATACTTTAGATCTGCAAAATAATTCACTCTTACTTCCACTTTTAGCCTGTGACTCTGCACAAGATCAACCTCATTTAAACCAGGATGAAACTCTTTTATAGATAAATGTACTGTCCTCAAAAATACCTGCTGCTCTCATTGAGTATGTGCTCTGAATGTGTGTGAATGCTGGATTTGAATGGGTATGTAAATGTACAGACCTGTTTTGAGTGAGTCATCTGATACAAACATATTGAGTTTCACTTGCAGCTCTGTGTTCAGTTCATGAATAAGATATTGTTTCTTTAGAGTGAGTCCAGGTGATCACAGAGAGCCACTGATAGAGCTTCTGTTTGTACATCAGCTGTCCGACATATTCCCCTCTCTCATAATATTATCTCTCGCTAATATTATTTCTCTCTGCTCCTGAGGCATTCGTAGGTTGTTGTCAGATCAGGTGTTTCTTGCCTGATGGTGGAGCGGTGAGCTGAGGAATGATGGGCTGTAGTGATGAAGAGGAGCAGAGTGATGAGACCAACAACAAGAAGCAGCACAAGAAGAAAAGTAAAGGGGAGAAGCATGTGTCATTCCCTCCCGATGAACTCATCGTATCAGGATTTGCTGAGCACAGAGACAATGACAGAAAAGGTGAGCTAGATTAATGCAAAGTTAATCCTATTCTACTCACTTTAGGTTCTTTTTGGTGGTCCCTGTTGTATGTTTGTGGTTTAAAAAAGTCTCTGAATGTTTCCCTCTGTTCCAGAAGACTGCTGCGTCACCTTGGCAGAGGTGATTTGGGCCTACAAGCAGAGCTGCAGCAAACATCGGGTGGAGCCCAAAGAGTGCATCCTACAGCAGCTACAGGTTAGCAGACCTCAGCTATCAGAGTCTGTTTCCAATTCAGTCGGCCACACAGCACGAACAGTGAAGGTTTAAGTTTGTGTGTGGTTTGTGCACTTCTTATTCTGCAGCTATTGAACTTCCCTGGATCCAGATCATTCTTTCTGGCATTGTTTGCAAGAGTGTGACAGCAGAATTAGATATGTTTTACCATTGTGGTTGGACTAAAAATCTGAGTCTTAGTTCTCCTGTGACTAGTTATTCAAAAAAGGTCTGCAAAAATCTGTCAGCTATCTGTCAGGATAACAGCTTTTAAAATGCTTGTTTCATTAATGGATGGGGTTTCTCATTTCTAATTTGACATCAGAAGAATCTTGATACTAGATGACTTTCAACACATAGTGTCGCACATATTCCTTGTTGTCACCTTTATCGATAGTCTGGTTTTACCTGATAAGAGTGGATTTTTATGTGATGAGATCTTGGGCTCTATTTTCGTGCGCGCCGGTGAGGCGGCGGAGGGCGGCGAGCCCCGCGCAGTTGTATTTTCGTCTGGCGGAGCCCAGCGTAAGGCCAGTTTGGTATTTTCGTGGCATGAGCCGCACGGAGGCGAGCCGAGATCCGCCAAGCTGGGCGTGGTGGCGTGGCAGGGGGAGGTTTCGACAGAATCAGCTGGCGCAGTGACATTTTCGTGCTCGCCAACGGCGTGTAAAGTGCGCTGAAAGCTCGCCGATTCAAACCTGGTCAGCTTTCAGCGCAAGGCGGAACGCAGCTGGTCTTGTAGTATTTTGGTAGACCGGCGGCGTATCGACATACGTAACTGATGCCTCACCGGTAGGTTTCTACAGTGTCAGGCACATTTCAGCGCAATGAATAATCATCATCAACTATTAATCTGAGTCAGCACATACATTTAGATCTATATCGATATATTCTGATCTATATCTGATCTGATGAGCGCGTTTGGCACGCGTTTGGACACACAACCTGACCGAATCAACACAGCTGAAACCGCATCAAATTAAATTAAATATCTAGTAAATATACACACATGATGAAGTTAACAAGATATGTAATTCATCTCCCTCCTTTTCTTTCTTCCTCTTCCTCTTATTTCTCGCACAGCTCGACCTGGACTCGTCTCCGTGTCCTCTGTCCGTCTTGCTGCTGCTGCTGCTGCTGAACAGATGATTTGTTTCAGTGCTCAGATGCGTTATCTACTTTAAGCAGACATACGGATATTATAATATTCAGTTTTGTGAGCCAAATTTATTTTATATGCCAACATCTATGAAAGAAAGAGCCAGGCCACGGAGCGCGATGGGTCATTTACGCACAGATGGTTCCGATTTTAATGCCATTTTTGGAGTTTATGTTGTGATCTGTGCGCTCAACCCACCTTTGTCACGTGAGGTTTGAATATGAGCAACTTTATGTGAGTGTCTTTATTTGTGGAAACGGGTGTTTGTCTTACCAGTGGGTCCAACATTACGCACACTAAATCCATCTGTGCTCATATGAGAGAGTGTGGAGGACACTTGTTGAGGAGCTGCCCTCTGTCACCATCTTGTGGCATTACTGTCTTCAGACATCTCTTGATCTCTTTGACTACTCCATGAAAATAGTAATACGCCTCGCCTGTGGCGGATTTAAAGGCAAGTAGAGGAGCCTATGTGATTGGTTAAAACAGGTCTCGGCTGTGTTAAACCAACTATACGCCCTTTCTCCTCCCCGTCTACGACTTATGCTGCTGGGAGGAGCTGAGTTAGGGAGGGGGGATACTTACGCCGGGCTGCGCGGCTCACCAAAATACCAAAATGTGCTTGGGAACGCCTTGTCAGCGCGGCGGATCTGACTGACGCTGCGCTTGCGGCACGTCTCCGGCGAGGCACCAAAATAGAGCCCATTGTCTCAAGTAGTGCTTGCATTAGAGAGTGGACAGTAATCTATTCACAGTTACCGCTGGTCCACCATAATGACATCCTCCAGTTTGTGGACAACATTTTTTAAGTGTTAAGTTGGGCTTTATGGGCATCACCAGCTGTTTAAAATCAGGAACCATACCTGTTAAACATCACTGAAATTGTAATAAAATGTGGGCTTTGTCCTTTTTCCTCTCCATAAGTTATATAAGTAAAAGAGAATTCAATAGGAGTAACTAGGACTGGGCAATATGGGAAAAAGTTTATCACAATATATTTTGTCTTTTGCAATACAATAAGCTACTGCATTTGTGAGGTCTTCGTGTCTCTTCAACGTTTTGTCGTAAGGCGTTGTGCTAGAGAGAGCAGACTGAATGGTAGGCTGTTATGACTGCACAGGCCAAAACAGGCTCTGCTCGGGGTTTGTAACCCTTTGCATAGCGCGTGGCGCTGCTTCAGGTGATGAAAAAAATTTGAGGTATTCCCCGACTTTGCAGAACATGTACTCAACATAATTTGCAGTGCACATTACTCTGCGTCATGTCCTTAAAAAAACAAAATACCTCCACACCACCAACGTTTTTGTGCCAGTGTTGTTGACAATGTCATCATTGGTTGAGTCTTCATCTGCATTTCTGCCAGGGATAGCACTCATGTTCTTTTTTTCTCACGGACAGTGCTGTTGGCTTCACGTGTTTAAGTGCTATGGTTGCGTGTAGCTGCAGCCTGCTACCAGGCAGTTGTTTGCTACTTGGTTCTAATTCAGCACATGGTTGATTCAGCAGGAAGCAGACCCGGAGCAACCCCCCTTTTCATTGGCCATTCGTATAGTCTACCAAAACATGGTAGAATGCGGGTTATTGAAAAGCTTATTGACCATGTTTTATATTGATATTGAGGGAAATTAATTTTCAATATATATTTTTATCATTTAATCCCCCAGTCCTGAGAATAAAAAAATCTCCATGGTGTTACCCTGTGCTGAATCTGAATATATATTGTAGTGTTGTGTTGTATTGCATTGCAACACATGGCTTTGTAAGTATCACCTCATTGTATCATATCTCATCCCTTCATATGGTTAAAGGTCTTCTATTAATGGGATTTTTCATTAAGTTTAAATCGGTCCCAAAGGTCCCACAATAGTAAATTTGAAGTTTGTTGTCTAAAACACCAGTTTATTTGTGGATATCAGCCAGCCTGTACCCCCCTCTTTTTGAGCTCCACTGAAAACGGGCTGATTCTGTGCCTGTACCTTTAAATGATATTGAGCTGTGTGTAAACATCTACCTTCCTAGGGCCACCCTTAGCTGCCGGCACCACCACGGTGGTCCAGGAGTGATGGTCTGGAGATCTTCTGAGGACCTCTTCAGAGGACCTCCAGACCACCGCAGCTGGAAGCACCACCTTGCCTCTGTGCCCCCGAAGAACCTCCGGTGCTCACGGGAATAAAAGTAAAGAGAAGCGAGTCCGAAGACAAATACCAACAATGGTAAACACACGCCACTGCAGCCAAAGCACTCGTCATATGGGCGGCAGTAAAGCAACACAAAATGGTAAAACTTATAGCTTCCACCTTTTAAGTTAGGTCTCTGACACAGACAGTCGGTACGGATCCAGGTTTTATCTTCAGCGTCTTAGCAAATCCTGCTTTGAACTGCCCCTTATTGGTAAAACAGTCCATGGTGATATGGTTAGTGTACACAAACAACATTTTCGGATTTGTTGTAGGTACATTTCCATCATAAATAAAGTTAATCCACTGGGTCCTTAAATCTTCAGATGAAGGAGGCAGAAATAGACTCCTGTCTCTGTTTGTGCAGCCAAGAACCAAGCAGCGGCTGGGTTGTAGCTTCGATATGGTTGTTGTACTGGAGCAGCGTATGCGAAAGGAAAAATGGTGGGCACTACCTCAGCGAAGAAGTTTTAGAGGGCTGGGTTCACGGTTATTGGGGGCGCTGCCACCAAAATGTAGGAGGGGCTTATGCGGTGATGTCGTCATAACTGCAAACCTTTTCCATCCGCCTGTTTGCACTCATGTTTTCAGAGAGGAGGGGAAAGCAAGAGAGGGAGAGGAGGGCATGTTTTCATGTCGGGGGGGGGGGGGGGGGGGGTGCATATTATTGGTAGAAAACCACCCAAAAGTGGATTTTTCATAATAGGGGACCTTTAAGTATGGTATATCATATTTTGTATCTTATTGTCCTGGTTCGGATTAAGTGTTTTTTTTTATTATTATTATTATTATTATGTTTAAAAAAGGAAAAAAAAAAAAAAAGCCCAGTGTTTGTTAGATCTGGATATGACCGGTAGAGGGCAGCATTACACTGGATAGCGTACAGCCTGCCGGAGAAGAAAAAGAAGAAGCACCGGCGAATGGCAAATTTAAAATGATCAATGCCAGGTACATCAAATCAAGAGAAGACACTATGATATTGGAAACAGGGGTGAAAAACAAGTGGCACTGGGCTTGGGTGGAGGAGGCTGGAGAAGATGGAAAGCTTCATGGTAGCCAGTGTCAAAAACTGAAAGAGCCAGGTGCTTGTTTTTGTGTGCCGTGTGGCAGAAAGCTTATGAATGGCAGCAGTGGGAAAAAGTTCAGTAAAGTTGGAAATGTACTCACAGATTCAGACTTCTGGGATCAATAACTCTGAGATGAAATGTTGTCCAAAAACAAATTCTCCTTTCACGTCATAATAGCACAGACTACTAGCTACAAATATCAAAAAACATTTTTTTTATTTTTATTTTTAACAAAAACAAGCCGTTCTTTGAGCTGGATGAATAACATTGATTTCTATGCGCAGCCAGTAGCTGGGCGAGTGCGCAAGGACAGTCTGCAAATATCAATACAAGAGCAAGATGCTGCAAACAAATTACGAGACAGGGTAACAAGGTATTTTGGTAGAGAAGTGTGCTTGCTACCTACAGCAACTGCAAAGCAATGCTTGTTAGTGCTGTGTCGTTCATGAACGATTTGTTAAAACAGTGCATTATAGTGCCTTTACACTGATACATGTCTATAAACTTTCCTGCAACAAGGATTTAATTTCAGCCACTTCAAAGCAGTACACTATTTGATATCTTTAAAAGTATCAGAATCCCTGCTACAGCTGCGATGTTAATTTATTTTTAAAGAGGACATGAAACACTGACCCAAGTTATCATTATTTTTGAGAATGCCTCTCGACTTCACAAATCACTGTATTCATGACTCTCAAAATGTAATACATTCCGATTAAACTGTGACAGAAGTTCCACTTTAGCAACACTGCTACTTTATGGGGAACCGTAAAGTTGTGCCAGCTTGCGTGACGTCATCAGTTGTGTAGCCCATGTATTGACTGAATTGATTTTAATTGAATGAGAGCAGATTAGGATGGCTGAAATTGCAAACGAGAACCAAAGACAAGTAAACTCACTAGAGGAGGGGTATTTTGTTTTGCGGCAGGCTGCTCCAACTAATTTTACAATGTAAGGAATAAAAAAATGTTGAATTTTCATCATTTGCCGCTGAAACGGCCGGTGATTCTCTGCAGCTCACACATGCAGCAGCAGCAGCAGTGATAAGATGTAAACATCGGTATTCAGTGTAATAAACTTCACAACTGTCATAAACTCAAGATGGCGCTGTGCGCATATCGTAAATACACTCTTGAAAGCAGTTTCCCTAGCATGTGAGGATGCCAATGTGGTGTGTTTCATGTCCTCTTTAATCTCTCCACTTTTCCACAATATAAAAGAACGATGACTTGCGCTCATTTAGTGGGTGTGCTACTTGCTGCTGCTTTGTTTCCGCCAATGGCGATACACAGAGAGGTGAGTTTTTCAGGGCAGGGGAGTGATTCTTCCTTCAGGACTTGGGGAATGAACGGCATGAGTCACCTAGTGAACGGATATTATAATATTCAGTTTTGTGGGCCAAACTTATTTTATATGCCAACATCTATGAAAGAAAGAGCCAGGCCACGGAGCGCGATGCGTCATTTACGCACAGATGGTTCCGATTTTAATGCCATTATTGGAATTTATGTTGTGATCTGTGCGCTCAACCCACCTTTGTCACGTGAGGTTTGAATATATGCAACTTTATGTGAGTGTCTTTATTTGTGGAAAAGGGTGTTTGTCTTACTAGTGGGTCCAACATTACACACACCAAATCCATCTGTGCTCATATGAGAGAGTGTGGAGGACGCCCAATGCGACAATGACACTTGTTGAGGAGCTGCCCTCTGTCGCCATCTTGTGGCATTACTGTCTTAAGACATCTCTTGATCTCTGACTACTTCATGAAAATAGTAATACGCCTCGCTGGTGGCGGATTTAAAGGCAAGGAGAGGAGCTTATGTGATTGGTGAAAACAGGTCTCGGCCGTGTTTAATCCACTACACGCCCTCTCTCCTCCCCGTCTACGACTTATGCTGCTGGGAGGAGCTGAGTTAGGGAGGGGGGATACTTACGCCGGGCTGCGCGGCTCACCAAAATACCAAAATGTGCTTGGGAACGCCTTGTCGGCGCGGCGGATCTGATTGACGCTGCGCTTGCGGCACGTCTCCGGCGAGGCACCAAAATAGAGCCCTATGACTTCAGCGGAGGGGGAGGGGCTCATTCAATGAATGAACTCTCGATCAATGCAGCTGTGTCACTCACTTGTGTACTGCACCCAGCAGGACGGGGGCAGGGTGAGATTTGAAGGCATCTGACTGGATCTTTGCCTTCAGCCCGAATACTATGATTGGTCAAAGTTTTTACAGTATTGCAGCTGCCACAGATCTTGGATTCTTTTTGTTTCTCTTTCTGAATACATAATGAATTGACTCAGGGTGGAAGGGCCATTTCATCCACTCTTACAAAAAAGTTTCTGAACATCACTGCCTACCCCACCTTTAATATCTTTCAATACTAATCAATAGCTCCACTGTTATACAGTACAGAGGCTCCAAAATTGCCCCACACACCAAGGGTCTACTCATAGTCATACTCCAACAGCTGTTTTGGGGAAATGTGCCTTTTTACAGTTTTGGTGAATTTTCATGAATCTATTTTTTTATGGTGTCATATTTTGTCACATTGTATCGAACCTTGAATTGCACCCTGTAGGATTGTATGGTATCTTATGGTATGGTATTGTATCACATCATATTTCATCATACTTTATCATATCATTATGTATCATAGAATTACATCATGTTTGATTTAATCACATTATGAAATGTATTATATCATATCATAATATGTTGTTTAGTACACGACAGTATAGTTTGGAGTAATATGTTATCATGCAGTATTACATTGTGTCATATCCTGTTGTTTGATATCGTGTCTAGCTGATTCTTGAGAAAGCATACAGACACAGGGCTGAAGGTCAGGCTCACAGACTGATGAGGCTGAGGTGAGACCTGTTTGCGTCTGCATTTCTGAGATTACTGTAAACAACAGTTTGATGAGTTTTGTTTGTGAGTTTTTTCAACTAAATTGCACTGTCTTGATGTTATTATCCACATCTTGCCTTGCAGATAGGATTTGTTAGTTTGATATATATATGTATATATATATTTTTTTATGATGATTTGATTCAGGCTGTGACCTCTGAACCTCCTGTGCAGTCTGAACTCCAGCCTGTCAAAACCTGCAGACAGAATACTGCTTTTAAAAAAGCGTGTGTGTCCATGATTTTTTTTTTCTTTTTATGCAACATCAGCAGCTCTGCTCATGCACCTCCTGTACAAGCAGTTTTTTTTACAGCAGTGCAGAAAGGATCAATATCAACAATAAAACCCATTACAAGTCTGAGCTCACACACTGTCGGAGCATGTCAGACTTCATAGCTTCATAGAACAGCACCTGATTTTGAACAGCACTACATTCTAGAGAAGCAACACTCACCCTGTGTTCACACACACACACACACACACACACACACACACACACACACACACACACACACACACACACACACACACACACACACATACACAGTGTGAGTATGTACACTGTGAACTCCCTGAGATAATTTGGTTCCATCAGTCTCAATCAGGCTCATTGCTGCAGAGCTTAAACAGGAGGCTAAGAGCAGGTTAACTACAGAGCTCTGCTTAGTGTGAATGCAAATACTCACAGCAGAAAATAGCACACACACACACATGCATACAGGCTGGGGTTAAATGCTGTGGTACAGTGAATATGAACACACTGTATAGTTTATGCTGTACAGTCTGATTGTCAAAGACAACCTTAGTGCTCATCTGTTCTGTGTTTTTCTGGAGCTGGTCAGCTTATTTAATATTTGATGTAGGCCTCACTCCTTATGAATTTTAATATTTTGCATCTTAGAAAGAATCAGAAATTGAATAACTCAATTGTACCAATTGTAATTTGAATAGTTCACTTTAACTTCATTCAGCTAACCTTTGCAAACCTTCCCTGGTTCAATTCCTGGCCACAGCCTGTTGCTGCATGTCTTCCCCCGCTCTTCAGTCCCCACATTTGGGAGACATTATAGTGTAGGATATGGTGCATCCCTGGGAATCATCACTTTTGGGGCTCTATTTTCATGTCCGCCGGTGAGGCAGCGGAGGGTGGCGAACCCTGCGCAGTTGTATTATGTGAGTGTCTTTATTTGTTGAAAAGGGTCTTTGACTTACCAGTGGGTCTAAACTTACACACACCAAATCCATCTGTGCTCATATGAGAGAGTGTGGAGGACGCCCAATGCAGCGTTTACAGTGACACTTGTTGCGGAGCTGCTTTATGTTGCCATCTTGTGGCATTACTGTCTTCAGCCATCTCTTGATCTCTTTGACTACTTCACGAAAATAGTAATACGCCTCGCCGGTGGCGGATTTAAAGGCAAGGAGAGGAGCTTATGTGATTGGTGAAAACAGGTCTCGGCTGTGTTAAACCCACTCCACGCCCTCTCTCCTCCCTCTCTACGACTTACGCCGCTGGGAGGAGCTGAGTTAGGGAGGGGGTATAATTACGCTGGGCTGCGCCGCTCACCAAAATACCAAATTGTGCTTGGGAACGCCTTGTAGGCGCGGCGGACCTGATTTATGCCGCTTGCGGCATGTCTCCGGCGAGGCACGAAAATAGAGCCCTCGATCTTAAATAAACTGAGAAATATAGCTTAAGCAAAATAAGTGGTCTTGTGGTACAACTTGCTTACAAATCTTACAAACAGTAATGCATGTAGACGCTGAACGTAAACTCTGTATGTAGTCTAAAAACATGGACAATCACTTGATCACGTTTCTAGTCAGCTTTGACTGCAGCAGCATAGCAACTCCTGTGCATGCTTACCTGTGAAAGTTTCAGTCAGCCCCCCTGTGGACACAGCAGTCTTTGGTTGTCTTGTCCTCCACATCTTTGAGTCTTGAGTCTGATGACGTTTGATCGTCATTTGGAAATATTGTAAAGCTCATCACTTGTTTTTTCTTTTGGCTTTCAGGCTATCTCATAAACATGAAAAACAATCATCACACGAGCTTTAAACCACAGTAAATGCTGTAAAAGATAAAGTCTATTCATTTTGAGATCTAACATTCTAACCTGATAAATTGTTCTATTATCATACTGCTCTGTAATCTTGCATGTACAGTTAATACATTCGTACAAACACTGTGTGGTGAAAGCATGGAAAACCACACACACACACACACACATTTCCTTCCTCTGTAATAAACTAAACTCACTTATTCTCTCTGCTCCTCTTGCAGCATACAGCGTCACATTTATAATTCATTTCATGTACATACTTCCTTTACTTGGACCGGCCATGTTAAAGCCCCCCCCCCCGCATAAATTGGAGTGGAGATCAAGGGGAATTATTTGTGGAAAATTAGGGTGTTAGCAGTGCTTACATTAAGCATACAGCCGCTGTATTATCTCTGAGGTGCTAATGAAGCCAGTTACAGAGCAGACGAATGTAGGTGGTCCTCCTGAAGAGTAAAATATGTATGGTTAAGCATTAGCTAAGAGGGGCAATATTTAGACCAAAAGGGCTGCCTGTGAATGAATCAGTAATAAGACGAACGCCTAAAGAGCGAATTTATTAAATTAGGTCTGTTCATGCACGGGGCGATTCCCCTGAGGAGCAGCAATGAAGACTATTTAAAGCTTTTTTTATTGCACCCTGGGGCCCACTGCACTCCTTTGAAATGTAGTAAGTGGATGAAACAGTGTTGCTGTTGGTGACATCTTCATAGGAGTAGTAAACAATAACACGCCACAGCCAGTGGGGTCTGAAGGCCGCACAGCTCCAGCTCTCTGAGTACACTAAGCAGAACAAGCAGGAGGCTTTTCCCTCCAACTATCTGTGATTAAAACTCATGGTGGAGACAATCCAAACTTTTTCTTCTTCTTCAACAGTTGATCAGCCTGACTCTCAGATTGTTTCTGAGTAACTCCTCAGCTGGACTCAAAGTTCTGAGGCTCAGTCAGGAGAGGATCCATTTATGTTTGTTAGACAGGCACACGTCTGTCCCCTTACCACAGGATGAGTTATGCCTTTATTCCTTTTTTACCACGACTCAATTCAAACAATGACACTACAAACTTTACAATATTATGCCTTTCTTTGCTAAATTATGACTACATTTTTGCAGTATTAAGACTTTGTTCTTCTTATGTAACAACTTTAATCTTGCAATAGTAAACCTTTATGATTACAATATTACAACTTCATACTTGCTAAATAACAGCTTTATCATTCCAATATTTTGACTTTATGTCTGCATAAAACTGACTTTATTATTGTTTTATCTATTACCACTTCTTTCTAGTGATATTATGACTTTATTCTTGAAATCTTCATATTTCCCTCTTAAAATTGCTTTAATCTAATCTAATCTACTCTAATCTTTTGTTGAAACACACACACACACACACATACACACATATATATACACTGGAGATCAAAATTAGAGAACAACCCACAATTTCCTAAATGTCAAGAACAACCCACAATTTCCTAAATTCAAGTTCACTGCATTGTTCTATTATAAAATAATCCAAATTCAAATAAAAAAGAAGAATTTTATGCATATATACTCATGCATAATGCATGAGATACATATATTATGAAGCACCGTATGAAAAGCTTAAATGAGATGTTTTTAAAACGCACTGATCAAAATTAGAGAACACTTTAAGAAACCTCCCAGTTATGAGTGTTGGTCTGGCACCTGGGGCTTATTTATTTAATTATCTGACCAACCAATTATCTGACTAAACTGGCAGCCTAACTTCCAGTTTTCACTGACTTTACAAGATGGTGAGCCATTCTAAATTTACTGAAACGCTCTGGCAACAGGTGGTCTGGATGAAGGCCAAAGGGATGACCCTGTCAGCAATAGCAAGAGTGATTGGTCTTTCCAAATCTGTGATTTCCAGAATATTACATCTTTACAAAGTCAAACACTCATTCAAGTCCACCAAGAAGGCCAATCGTCTACAAAAGACAAATGAAAGAGAGGACAGAATAATACAGAAAACCTAAATGGACAATCAGTTCAACACTGGAGCTGGAATTGCTAGCCAGTTCAGTGCTGAATAAGGTTAGACTCTGTCTCATCATACAGTGTCTTGACGTGAAGGAGTATTAAGACTGAAAGCCACTCTGCAGTGACCAAACCTCTCATTAGTAGAAAGAATCAAAAGGGTAGAGTAACCTTTGCTGTGGAACATGTTGTGTAGACAGAGGAAAACTGATCCAAAGTTCATTTTCATGATGAAAACAAGTTTAATTTACTTTGGTCCAATGGAAAACACTATGTTTATCGTCAAACTGGAGAAAGACAGCACCCAAAGTGTGTAATGAAGTCAGTGAAAGGTGGAGGAGGAAGTGTCATTGTAAGGATGCCTAGCCCATGGTCACACATTATAAAAATGGAAGGTCCACACAAATGATCATTTTGACAAGCTTTACTGGTTACAGATCTGGATTACAGCTTCATCATGCCACAAGTGTAACAAAGTGTAGCAAAGTGTAACAGAAGCATAACAGAAGCGTAATAAAGATTGGTCTGAGACCGTTCAAGTATATATAGTCGTCCACATTTCTAAACATACTGCTGACATTTAGTTGACCCTAAGAAAAATCCATGTACGGTAAGAACAAAGGACAACATATTTTAAGGAGCTTTAGGTGAACATATGGAGGGTCCATAGAAGGAAATACCATGACAGAACATATTTTGGGGACCTGTGTGATGTAAAACATGGGTACAAGGTAGATGTTGAGGATGGTTGTCGGAGGCCCCCGGCTCCAGCAACCTAACACAGAAGTATCTGAGGTATTTGAGTGACACAGCTCCACCACTCTAAAGGCTGACATGACTGGATAAAGAAACTCATCCTCAACAGTCATAGCTTGGGAAATATTTTCTGCAGCAGCAGGAGTTGGGCCTCTTATACAGCTACGTAGCAGAGTGAATGCAAATGTTTATCAGAACCTTCTTCAACAACATATGATTTCATCCCGTGTTCATCACCCAATCAGCCGGCCATTTTTATGCAGGACAAAGTCCCCCTATCACACAGCAAAACAAATAAAGCAGTTCATTGAAACTACAAACACTGAAATAATGAAACAACCAGCCCAGAGTCCTGATCTAAACTCGATAGAAAACCTCTGAAAAATCCTTGGTGACAAAGTTATGGCCAAGAAACCCACAACGGTCACCTAACTGTGGAAGAGACTGAAACAAGAGTGGAAAAAAATCACACCACAGCAGTGTGAGAGATTGGTGATGTCTTGTGGCCGTAGATGTGCCCAAGTCATTTAAAACAAAGACCTGTACACTTCCTACTAATTTGTGACTGTCCTAACCTTCAGATAATTTTGTTGTAATCTTTCTTTGTGCAACTGGCATTGCTGTTCTTTAATTTTGATCATTGTGTTTTCTGCAACCTTTTTTTTTTTAAATTTAATAACCAAACAGATCATCCAGCTGATTAGGAAAATGATAAACCAACCAGCTGAAAGAAATCCAACCGCAGGTCGTGAATCGGGATTAAATGTTTGATGACTTCCAGTGTAAAGATCTCATCACACTCTCATCTCAGCGATGCATTAATTATGCTAATTTAAACTCAAATCCTGACTGTGTTTACACAGATTCCTCTTGACTATTCTTTGTACTGCTTGAATCAAGAACAGCAGTTTTAGGGGGTTATGGAAGGTTTATTTCAGTTTACTGGAACAAAAGCTGTTCATATTTTATTTTTCAATCCTCTAAACACAAAAGGGTTGAGAGTGTAACACCCGCTGACACTGAGTCTGTGCTCTTTGTATTCTGAGTCTGATGTTTGCAGAATAATCTGAGAATGAGTTGCATGTTGGCAAATCTTCTAATGAAGAGCTTAGCGCCGGTTTCTGTGCAGATTATTCAGCTGAGTGGACTGAAGAGAAATCAATTACACAAACTTCACTTTCATTATTTATTATCCCACTGCTGCACAACAGTATGACTCTATGCAGTTCGTTCACAGGGTTAAACTCAGCCCACACTGATGCTGCTCCACTGGAGAAACGTTTGAGAGGGTAGGAGGGGGAGGAAGGAGGAAGTGGTGGTGGTGGGTTTGGGGGGGGGGGGGGGGGGGGCAAAGACAAAAGAAAAAATCTGTTTTTACAGACCACCGCTGCTTTCTCAGCTCCTTTGATTAGCATTAGCGTAGCACTGTCTGCAGCACACACATACACACAGATACACACAGGCTAACACACACTCTCCTGTCTTTTAAATTAAATGCATGCTGATTGTTTTTGCCCACCCTTCTCTACACACACACACTGCAGAGAGGTAAATGTCACTAAGCAAAGTGTCTCACTTTCTCCATAGTGGTTGTGAGCAGGTTTGCATGCAAAATAAAAGCAGAGGGGAGGAGGAGGAGGAGGAGAGGTGTTTCGAGGGTTTATCAGAGAACAGCAGGAGCACTGGACAAGTGTTGCTCCTCTTGTTACAGGCAGACACAGTGATAAGAGGACATTTAGTGAGAGAGCAGGGAGCACAGTCGGGTCGAGGATTACTATAGTCAAAAAATACAAACACACAATCCTCACACACTTTTTTTACAGGTTTATCCTTTACCTTCTTTTGTAGGGCTGAAACAAGAGTAACGCTGGTCTCTTTCACCTTCTCTGCTTCTGAATAGATGCAGAGAATTTAGAGTATAAGCTTGTGAGATGCACTACTGGTGGTGCACCATTGGTCTGAAATGGATTTACACACTCAGGAGGCTGCACAAGTAGCAGGAGAGCCCCTGTGAGCAGGATGGTGTTAAACTGCAGAACTTGAAGACACATGTTCTTCTGACAAAAACACAGATACACACAAACACACTTAGCTATATCTTAAACATGTGACTTTTCCATCTCCTGTCTCCACTAAAAATTGGAAGTTTGTGTCATTCATGCGCCTTATCAGAAAATGTCTGCAGCTTTCCTCACATACCTTCAATCTAAACTTCCATACATATCCTTTTGAGGAGGTATTTTCGCTCTTCTGGAACACTGATGGAGATCAGCTCTTGTCAGTTTTGGAGTTTTCATCATGCTAATATGCACAGTAAAACAAAGTAAACCTTTAAACCTTTTCTTTAAAAAATTACAAATTGAAAAGGATCTCTAAGTTGTATTTTTTTTTCTGGGAGAGACATTTGGAGTTTGGTCAGTATCTGATCCTTGTCACAAATGTTTATATCCCAAAGAGAGCATCAAAATATTGCAGACTTTCCTAAAGATAGACATTTCAGAGCGTATAACAGAGCCATAGATGTAAGAGCTCCAGAGTGCTCCAGACTCATGAGGAGTGATTTAATTAAAAGGGGCCATCTCACTTCAGGTTGTATCTGTTGATTATCTGATGCTGTTTTAGAAGCTTTTAAAGGAATTTTATCTCCAGTTTTAAGTCAAGCTGAAAAATGAAATAAACCATCACTGCGTGTGCGTGAGCAACAGCTTCATCACACTGAGATGCAACTATTCATCATAATAGTTCACAACAACGACAGAATGAGAGTATGGGCTCTATTTTCGTGTCCGCCAGTGAGGTGGCGGAGGGTGGCGAACCCTGTGCAGTTGTATTTTCGTCTGGCGGAGCCCGGCGTACAGCTAGTTTGGTATTTTCGTGGACTGAGGCGCACGGAGGCGAACCGAGATCCGCCAAGCTGGGCGTGGTGGCGTGGCAGGGGGAGGTGTCGACAGAATCAGCGGGCGCAGTGACATTTTCGTGCTCGCCAGTGGCGTGTAAAGTGCGCTGAAAGCGCGCCGATTCAAACCTGGTCAGCTTTCAGCGCAGGCGGAGCACAACTTGTCTAGAGGTATTTTGGTAGACCGGCGGTGTATCGGCATGCGTCACCGCATCCTCACAGGCAGGTTTCCACAGTGTCAGGCACATTTCAGTGCAATAAATAATCATCAACAACTAATAATCTGAGTCAGCACATACATTTAGATCTATATCAATATATTCTGATCTATATCTGATCTGATGAGCGCGTTTGGCACGCGTTTGGACACACAACCTGACCGAATCAACACAGCTGAAACCGCATTAAATTAAATTAAATATCTAGTAAATAGACACACATCATGAATTAACAAGATATTTAATTTGTGTCCCTCCTTTTCTTTCTTCCTCTTCCTCTTATTTCTCGCGCAGCTCGACCTGGACATGTCTCCGTGTCCTGTCCCCGTCCTGCAGCAGCTGCTGCTGCGGTGGCTGAACAGGTGATTTGTTTAAGTGATCAGATGAGTTATTTACTTTACGCCTACATACAGATATTATAATATTCAGTTTTGTGAGCCAAATTTATTTTATATGCCAACATCTATGAAAGAAAGAGCCAGGCCACGGAGCGCGATGCGTCATTTACGCACAGGTGGTTCTGATTTTAATGCCATTTGTGGAGTTTATGTTGTGATCTGTGCGCTCAACCCACCTTTGTCACGTAAGGTTTAAATATATGCAACTTTATGTGAGTGTCTTTATTTGCGGCGCTGCTTTATGTCACCATCTTGTAGCATTACTGTCTTCAGACATCACTTGATCTTTTTGACTACTTCATGAAAATAGTAATACGCCTCGCCTGTGGCGGATTTAAAGGCAAGGAGAGGAGCTTATGTGATTGGTGAAAACAGGTCTCGGCTGTGTTAAACCCACTCCACGCCCTCTCTCCTCCCTCTCTACGACTTACGCCGCTGGGAGGAGCTGAGTTAGGGAGGGGGTATACTTACGCCGGGCTGCGCCGCTCACCAAAATACCAAACTGTGCTCTGGAATGCCTTGTAGGCGCGGCAAACCTGACTTACGCCGTGCCTGCGGCACGTCTCCGGCGAGGCGCGAAAATAGAGCCCTATGTGTTAGCAGATTAGTTTTTTTACTCTTTGACCCTGAACTGTCAAGTCTTCTCACATATGACTCCAACACCATGCTGCTGTTTTAGTGCTGAATGGAAGAATCAAACTTCACTTCTTTATCATTTATATTTGATATATACTGTATGGTCTGTCACCTTTTCTATAGTCTGTCTAATCACCTTTCACCAAGGGTTTATCTGTATTTCTCGATTCCCTTCCCTCTATACACACACACACACACATATATATATATATATATATATATATATATATATATATATATTTATATATATATGTACAAAAAGATAGATGTTGGGTAGAAAGATTTAGCCTTATTTCTCCTCTAAATTTTGTCCTAACCTGAACTCAAAGCAGCAGTCTGAGTTTTATCCTTTTATTTACATGTGCAAAATGTTCTTTTTACTCAGTCAGAATTTCTGAGATAAAGAACCTGGATTTGATGTTACGTGTGATTTTCTGATTAAAGGTTTTCATGTTAAATTTATCATACAAATAAAAGGAACATGTTTTTTAAAGACTGAATATTTTATACTGGTAAACCGTCCAATGTGCTGAATCAGCTGCAGACGGCATCAGGATTTAAAATCACCTCAGAGGAATAAGATGTGAAACTTATTTATATTTGAGGTCATGGTTTGATTACTTTGATCCCATCTTTAGTTTATTTCTTTTTAGACCCTGATGATATAGATCAGGTCAGATGTGTGTGAGCCCATGAGCTGATGCTGGTGATATAAAGATTTGAAATGTCCTGAATCATACTGACCTCAGACCAGCTTCATTTTTGACTGAAACAGCATCACAGATCAGATCAAACTAAGGAGTGGATTTTACAGATTTTTTCAGTCTAATGTGACACATCTTGATAGATCCTGACATGATAATCCTGCAGATTATAATTTAATTTAAATATCCACAGAAATACACATACACAAGGCTGCTGGAGCTGTGTGACATTCACACAAACACACATACACTCTTTGCCTGAGCTTTGCATGTGTACATTATTTGTGACAGCCTGTATTTAAGGGGACGGTGCATTGTACACAAAGTGTGGTTAATTAATCTGTAAACGCTCGTCGCTCAGATTTCAGATGAACAAAAGCAGCCAAAGAAAAACTGAAAGTCAATTATAATTTCATGTATGTTTTTAGATCTCTCTTTTTAAATCATAAATGAAGTTACTAATTTTGTCGGCGCTCTTTCTAGACACTGCAGCTTTAATTGCTAATTGTTAACAGCCTACGAATACATTTGCATATTAATTAGCTGCCAATTTACATTTTTAATTTGCTGCCTTCAAAGGGTGTGAGATGAAAGGTCGTGTTATTTTAAATAATTTATCCTTTAGAACAGGAAAGATGCTGAAAGGCAAAGGGGGGGGGGGGGGGTTAACCCCTCTGAAAATGCATGTTAAAAATACATACAGACATTTATATTTATTTATATTTTCTGTCAGTTAATTAAAGGTGCAGAGGAGGAAAACGTAGCTGCACGCTGTTTTTATCTCCAAGAGAAACAGTGAAAATAGAGGAGATCACTTCTTCACAGACAAGTTTAGAGAGTCCCCCACTCTCTATCTTTGTGTGTGTGTGTGTGTGTGTGTGTGTGTGTGTGTGTGTGTGTGTGTGTGTGTGTGTGAGGCTCTCTTTTCATCACTCCATTTTGTCCTCTCCTGACACATCATAGATCTGGCAGACGGCGTCTTTGCTGTATGTCCTTACTACGCTGCTGCGGCAAGCAGAGCGGGAACGCACGAGTTCAGAAATTCATTAGGATTAAAAAAAAAGGGAAAAAAAAAAACAGCCGCTAGAGTTCTACTGAGGAGGAGGAGGAGGAAGAAGATCTGTGCATCTCCTTCCTTCTCTTCCTTTGTGTGTTTGTGAGTGTGATACGGTTCTTACAGAGTGGCGCTCTCTGGCTCGCTGCCACAAACAAACCGCTCTCACTAACTGCCGGACGCCAGCACACATTCACACTTTTCTTTTTGTCTTATTTTTATTGTTGTGTCAGACCATACAAAAAAGTGAGGTGACAGAAAAACAGGCACAGCAAAGAGAAAGAATAGATGAATGAAGCAGGCTGGACATACACAGATAAAATATGCTCTCTGCACAATATGCAAACTTTTATTCTTCCAAAAGCTCCTGATTTTTTTTTATTGCAAAAAAGAGCAATACATTTTTAACTCAGGTGCCAAAAGCTGCTGCAGAAAAAAAAAATAATAATAAAAGAAAAAACAACAACTCTTCAGTTAAAATAAAACAACGTCTGATCCGCACAGTAAAGCAGGCTGTACAGAGGCACCAAAACATGCTCCTTGCAAAATGTAGAAAGTTTTCTTGGAATCTTCACTGCGCAGCTCTGAAATCCTCTGACGCTCTTAGCTTTGCTAAAAAAATAGAGTCTGACTAAATTTCTTACATAAAGATTTGCAGCTCTGATGCTTGATGTCTCACTGAAAAAATATTATACTTGTGAATCTCAGAGAAATCTTAGGTGTTTGATCACATTCAAATGACATACTTCAACCTCTGATTTTTATTTGCAAAGGACTCTCCTCTATTTCAAATCCTTACATGAGGACTGCCGGAGCTGGCTCTGTGCTAATCTTGCAGCTCCTTGATGAGTGCGTGTGATGTTGTATGATGAGAATCAAAGCCAGGTATCAATAATACAGCTGACGACACAGCATGATCATTTCCAGGGTTTGTGATTTATTTCAATTTAACAGTTTTTAGAGCGACTGTGAGGGCAAAATTGTGCAACAATGACCATGCCAGATTATGTCAAATAAATGAAAATGTCAGAATTTCCCGAAACCCTGTAGACCAGAAAAACTTTAGTGAGACTGAATCTTCCTCTCATAAGAGTTTCCTGACCATGATCATCAGCAGCACATTCAACAAAAATCCAGACACAACGCAAAACAGTGAGTAACGCCTGAGAAAATATCGGATTGTATAACTGAAAGTTAACAGTCAAGGCATCTACAGCCTGATGCATCTTTCTCTAATGTCTTAAATCTGCATTTAAAAATCTTTTAAGAGACCTAAGGATCAAAGTCCTCCTGCAGCAGATCAAGTCTTCTTTCTCATTTCACTCATCCTTGAAACCCAATGCAAAAATATGTCCTGTGACTAGATCGCAGAGTGAAAACTTCGACTACCACCATTTTTTCGAATTTTTAAAATCACATAAGAGGGAGGCAAGTGAAGAATCATCTTTCTAATAAAGACATGTCAGTGAATTAGTTGCATGCTAAATCATTGACATGGGAATACAAACTCAAAATCAGAATTCCTCTACTATCTAGATTAAATGAGAAAAACCTAAGGAGACTTGAGAAGCTGACACATATAGTCAGAGCAAAAACAGAGAAAGATCTGTCAATAAGATCAGTCACATTCACATGATAAGTAACTGTTAATGGAATCAAAAAGAGCAGTTGTAGTTTTTACAAACTGAGTGCCGAATGCATTAAAGCAGCTAAAGTGGCAATAAAATAATAATATTGGAACAAAAAACAAACAAACAAACAAAAAAAAAAAGTTTAAGGATAAAGGGGTCCAGCTGATGTTTGTGAGACCTAGTTATTTGACATAATTCTTCCTCACACAGAGCATTCTCTGTCTCTGTCCTCTGAGTTTTCAGCTGTAACCCTCGTTTCTTAAATGTTTCCACGATGAGGGTAAAAGATCCTGATGTATCCTGGTTCTGGTTCTTAGCTTCTCCTGCAGGGATCCAGTATCAGGTTTAAGGAGGGAGTTTTAGGAGTCAAGGAAAAAAGAATAAATAATTAAGATATTTTACAGAGTTATCCCGGTGCATGCAGGCAAGCACAGAGGGGAGGAAGAAAATGATGAAAATGGTGCTATACTCTGACTTCTAAACATTGAACAGAATGATGAAGAGCAAAGTGCATCTCAAAATCACTGCACTGCTTTATTCATTCTCAAAAAAATAGATGCCTGTTTTCTTCATGCGTATGTCCCCTATTTTAATTTCAAAATTATAAAGCAATCCAGGTTTTTTCACCTTTATGGCATACTTATGTCAGATTATAGGTGGACGCCGACATTTTACAGACTACATATTCAATCTGGATTTATGCAGACTAAAGAGTCACCAGGCCCAGCAGTAAATGTGATTTTTGGAGTATGAATAAATAAAATATTTAACAAACTAAAAAGCTGCTGAGACGTCACTCCCAGTCCCGCTCTAACCTAATGTGAAACAAACACACAAATACCATCAGTGGATGCATATGTGCATGTTTGTGTGTGTGGGTTCAGATGATTACCATGGAAATTCAGCCACCTCTTCTTATTACCCAGCAGCCACTTGTTCACATAAACAGAGTGATTATTGTCCCATTGATCCGTCTGATTCTTCACAGGAGCACATTATGGCTGCCGTCTTTTTGTCTGCAGCTTCTTTTGTGCTCTGCTCGTCCCTTTGAACAATGAATCATATTTAGCTACAAGAGGAAACAAGGAGCCGCTCGCAAAATAAGGAGGTGGCGAGTTAGAGAGGCAGCCAGGACGAGTTAATGCAGCGAGGGGGAGGCGAGGGAGTAGGATGGGGACAAGAGTTTATCGGGTCCTGAGCTGAACTGCGCTCCCCAAATCCTGATTATCTTTTGTTCACTGCCTGTTTTAAATGTAAAGAAGTGAAATAGGCAGTTGAAAATGTGCAGCGGTACAACAAACCTGCAGAAAAAGCTTCAGAGAAAACCTGCTTCAACACTGCTGCTTTTCACAGATTGAATCAGATTTCTTATAACTCTGCTGAAATCAAAACCCTGCCAGCTTGAGTTTCCCATCACACAAACAAGTTTTACAGATTTCAGGAATAGAATACATTTTTTAAAACCATCACAAAAAGCGTACACATACACATGCAGGTGTAATTTTGCTGTTGGTAAAACTATTATTACACCTGTAAAAGCTGTTCAGCAATTTTTTATTTTAAATGCATATATGTTATGTTTAAATTCAGCATAAATGATCCAAATAAAAAATTATTCTCTATTCTTTTCTCCTCTTTGCATTAGGGTGCTCAGATTTCGAGTGTGTAATCCATGAAAGGAGTTTTAGGGATTTAGGAAAATGAATATGTATTCCTAGAGCAAAGTTTAAGCTGTTTCGAGTCCTGAATTTGTGTGTGTGTGTGTGTGTGTGTGTGTGTGTGTGTGTGTGTGTGTGTGTGTGTGTGTGTGTGTGTGTGTTTGTGTGTGTATGTGTGTGTTTGTGTGTGTGTTTTTGTGTGTGTTTGTGTTTGTGTGTGTGCATGCGTGCGTGCTTGTGTGTGTGTATGTGTGTTTGTGTGTGTGTATGTGTTTTTAAGAAAACAGAAGCACAGAACCTCACAATTGTTGTCTTGTCAGGATTTAAAGTCCTGATCGGTAAACAGCTATGTGTCACCTTTTCTCTGCCCCGCCCACTTTATAGCAGTGTGACAAAAACGCATAAATGTTCTGCAACTTTTGAACTTTAAACTCATGTCAAAACCATCAATGAGAAGAAAATGAGGAAAAGAGAGCAGCTTTCCTCACTCTGTTCTTCAAAATTTGAAGATGAATGCACGTCTTTAAATGTGCATTTTTACAAGAAAGTGAAATAAGAATAATGTTGAACTTTATTTTAGTGAAATTTCATCCTTCAGAAAACTACATGACCCTCATGCAGGGAGGTTTCATATATTTTGAATTTGCTCATGTTTGAGGCCCCCTGCTGGATGTGTGTGGTCCTTAATTGATGCCTCCTCAGTTTGAAATTTCAAATCATCTTAAATCTTCAAATTTCTCCTTGTTTAAGAAATTAATTTTAAATCTTTACTGGACACACAATTCACCTGGTAAAGATCAGTTTTTTGCCACTATCAGCAATGAAGGAACTTAAAGACACACAGCTGACTAAAATCTGGTCATTTCACCCATAATATGTCAAAATAAGACCTGGTTTTATTTAAAGGAGGCACAGTGGTCTCATATCCTCCAATCTAATCTCGCTCTTGTGTCTAAAAACAGTCAAACCTGCAGTTTTTTTTTCTCTCATAAGCAGACCAAAAATAACGTCAGCATCCTCTCTGCCTCCTCCTGCTCTGATTGATGCAGTCAGATTAGATGTATGTGGAACACCGACTCTGGCAAATGAACACATCAACTGATGACCAGCTGTTTCTAATTATTATACACTGGTTAATTAGGACGCCGTGTCACCATCAGCAGCGGCGGTAAATTGTGTGAAATTCATAATTCATGCTCTGGCGTCCAATGAGCCTCCATCCACACTGCAGCCTGGATGGAGGCTCATTGGACGCCAGAGCATGCCAAGTATCTGTGTGTGTGTGTGTGTGTGTGTGTGTGTGTGTGTGTGTGTGTGTGTGTGTGTGTGTGTTTGTGTTCACGCCTCTCCCTCACACCTCTTTCTCTCTCTCTCCCTCCCTCTCCCTCTCTCTTTTTCTCTCTCAGCAGGGTGTGTTTGTAGGTGGCGGTGTGAAATGTCTGGATCTCAAAGGTAAGCTCTCCTCTGTTATTATTAAACATGATGGAGGACTTTATGATGTTCTGAGTGATTCTATAACATGCTCAATTATTAAAAATATGTAACAGCAGATCAGTCATATCTCCATAATAATCATTAATGTCATAAATATTTAAGCGTTAACTAGAATAAAGTGGGACATCAGTTAATGACGGACCTGTCGGACTGATTTCTCTCATGCTTTGTCTCAATAAAGTCATGTTTACATTCAGTAAATGATTAAGTTAGCAGGGTTTATCATAAAACTTGGTTATAAAAACAAAACACAAAACTTTGGTTATAAATCTGCCATAAAAGGGCCTGAGTAAAATTTCGGAACGACTCCATCACTTCTTCTACCTCATGATGTTTTATATTATTTCAATGATTTCTAAAAATTGATCAGAATCAAACAAAAAGAAATCACTGCAAAATAAAGCCAGATTATCGTCAAGCACAAAATAAGGCTCTAAAAATCACAAGATTAAACAGGGTTGGTGTATCAAATGCTGGTGGTGCAGTTCCCACTGGGGTTGTGTTAATTAGGAATAATGTTTTCCAAGTGTTGTTGCATTGTCCATTTTTCATGGGTGGTGCATTTCACCCAGAAATGATGCATAGTGTATGTCAGGGGTGGTGTCTATCACAGGATTGGTACATAGGACTCAGTGCGATGCTTCAAGGTGGTGGTGCATATTGCAGAGATGTTTCATTACAGGGTTTTACATCACACAGGATAGGTGCATTACACCCTAGGGTGGTGGATTTCGCCAAGAAATTATGCATTACACAGTGTCAGTGCATCACACACACAGGTGTGGTGTGTTACAGCCAAAGGTGGTGCGTTACACAAAGTTAGTAACTTTGACAGGTGCCATCCAGATTCTGGGTTGGTGCATTACAGAACTAGCGTGTTACCCTAAGGACTGGTTCATTAAACAGGGGTGATATACCACATAAAGCTGATGCACCACACCTATCATAAAGTCTTACACTAAGCCGCGGTGCATGTTTCAGAGCAGGTGCACCACACCACAGTGTTGGTGCAATACTGAGTGTTGGTGCATTATACAGGGCTGTGTTTCACCAAAAGGTTATAAATTACACAGCGGCTCTTAACACTCTGATGTTCCAGACTAGGTGAGAGGCGAGGAGGTTCAGAACGCCAAAATCATCAAAGTTAAAGGTCTCCGTATTTGGCTAACTGCAAAGTTGACCTGATAGAATGAGAATGAGTGTAAACATGTTTATTTTGGCTGTAAAGTCTAACATTTTAACACAGGGCTCTGCGGGGATTGACTTACTGCAGGACACAGCCTCTAGTGGACAGGAGGGAAACTGCACTTAACAAAACTTTATCACTGACTCCATTTATCAGTTTTTAAATCATATTTTTACTCTTAATACAGACATGTAAAACTTAGATTTAAAGTGATTCAACCCCCAGCACTTGTTAAGACCTGAATCAGACTCCAATCTTGATTAAACTGTTAAAAGCTTCCAGATCTGTTATTTCTAAACCAGATTTAATCACACTGGTCTCTACTCTCAGTCTCTTCTACAGAGTTCACTTCCTAGGTCTTCAAATTGTTCTAGTCCTCACAGATATAGATAACCTCAGCAGCAGCAGAGACGTGCACATACAGCAGCAGTATGAAGTCGTGCATTCGATGCCGTGATGGGCGTCACTGTTGTCACACACTGATGACTCTGACTGCGGGTGTCGCTGCCTTATTATCTCACAGACGCAGGGCGGATTATAAAAATGGGATTTCAGATTACCCCTCTGCTCCTCTCAGCTAAGTGATTATTGTTAAAAGAGGGAAAATCATTTTCTAAATAATTATGATACTAATTATCATCCCCCCTCCCTGTCTGAGGAGATAAGACATAGACCAGGAGAGTCACGTGTTTGATTGGTCACAGTTTGATCAGAGTCAGACTCCTGATCAGGTTTACAGAGAGAGGAACAAAAAAAACTCACTGATCTAATGAACAGGCTGACAAAATATAGAAGGAATTGATAAAGAAACGTTGAAGCAATCAGATTATAGATTATTTCTAAAAGTTCTCTTTAGTGGAACAAGGCTTTGCCAACATATGCAAGGACAATAATGTACCTGCATGATTGTACAGTTAATGTAACATGTCTGCAGATAATTTTTAAAAATTGTAAATCAACTTTTAAACAAACAAATGGGTCAAAAGTTGTTGTAAGAAGGAAGTAACTAAGTAAGAAAAGTTGTTTTGATATACCACCTTTCACAGAGCACAGTCAAAGTGTTTCACAAAATAGCAATAGTAAAAACAATAACAATAAATAGATACAAAACAAATTAAAAATAACAACGGAAACAAATATAATACAATCAGTCAACAATTACAGCAGATAGTCGAAAGCCAATTTAAAGAGATGTGTCTCAAACTGCTTTTTTAAAGCGTCAGAAGAGACAGCGCAGCATATTTGGACAGGAAGACAGTTCCAGAGAGTGGGGGCCACAAGTTCAAAGGCACGATCTTGTTAGAGTTGTTAGAGAGGAACAACCAAACAGGTAAAAGTTAGGTGATGCTAAAAAACAGTTGGAGGAACATATTCAATTAATGAGGTGAATTTCCAACAGGTTAGTAACATGACTGTGTATAAAAAGGACATTCAGAGAGGCTGAGTCTGTCAGAAGGAAAGATGGAAGAGGTTCACCACTCTGTGGGAGACTGTGTGAGCTAATAGTTGAACAGTTTCAGAATAATGTTCCTGAGTGTCAAATGTGAAAGAATGAGCGGATTTAATCATCTACAGGCCATCATATCATTCAAAGATTCAGAGAATCTGAGGATCTCTGTACTAAAGGGACAAGGAGCAAAAACCAAGACTGGATGGTCCTGATCATCAGGCCCTTAGGCAGCACCGCATTAAAAACATACAGCACTCTGTAGTGGAAATCACTGCATGGGCTCAAAATCACTTCAAAACCAACACAGTTTATCACTGCATCTCCCAATGTAGGGTATTGTCACCCTTTTGACATAAAGGGTGTAACATGTAAGGTTAATGAGGGTTTCTTAACACTTAAACACCCTCACCCACTCTAGTGGACACTTGTTGAACTGCAGTCTTTTGCAATCCAACACAATCTTGTTTTTTTCAACTCTGGAGGTTGTTGCTTGAGCAAAATAAGTACGTGTGAGTAAATGTGATATCAATTTAAGTCTTACAGTAGGTTTCAATGGTACAATACACTGGCATAAAAATGGTATCGCAAAGTGGGTCATAATGATCATAAAAAACGGTACAATTTCTAATATCTAGGCTTATAAATTAGGCTTTTTACTGTTTAATACACTTTACTTTTGTGAAATATTTTAGCACATTTGTACTATTTTACAGTCTTTTTCAAATTCCGCAAGTAAAGGTATCACATGGGGGTGTAAGGGTAAATGAGCTGTCTTTAAGACCATACAGATGAGTCAAGATGCTCCTAAAGTTCTTGAAATTCAGCGCCTAAATATACACAAAGCTCAAACAATTTCATTCAGTCCTGGGTCTGTTTGTGCAGGTGGAATAATCAGACTATATTTAGATGTTTTTGGAGGTTCACTTTGTGTTTTTTCATTGATTTGTTTTTTCTGCTGCAGTCAGTAATCAATGAGACACTCGAGCATTCACAGAAAACCGTTCCTCCTGCCATCATTATTTTTGTTTCTGTGTTTCTGATTGCATCTCAGAACTTTATTAAAGAAAACACACAAGCACACGCACAGAGGGATAAAGTTTGCTCATGAAGGAAGTTGTTTTGTCCTGATTTCTGCTGAAACCTTCATTTGAGAAAGAAAAGGATGGAGCACATTTACAGTGGTGTAATTTTGCCTGTTAGCAAACAGCCTCCAATTATCTCCTGTTTGATTGCTTTCCTCCATCAAGGTGAGCGATTAGACCAGCGCTCCTGTGAAGCTCTGGAAGCCGTCCTCAAATCGCTGCACTTTGATTTCATCAATCTGCAGGCGGCACAACTGGAAGAAAATGTGAGTTTTATGAGCAAAACCTATTTTCCTCATCTTCGTCTTCCAATTCCAACACAGTTTCATATTCAGGCCTCGCCTGGATCAGATTAGGGCCAATTTTTTTTTTTTTACCTCAGAAAGAACTTCATAACATTCCTGTCAAATTTGGGGCCTGGCTTTCTTCATTTCTTCTTCTTCACTGTGTTCCTCTTGCAGGGAGCATCGTCCTTGCTGGATATGATTTTGTACTATGAATCTACAACCCATCTTGACATGTCTGACAGCAGCAGTATGGGAACATCGTGTTGGAGGGCGCTGGCTCATTTGATAAAGCAGGTCGGCTGAACTGCTGGAATAGTAATCTGTGCGTGTAGGGGGAATAATGTATGTCCTGAAAGTGAGTTTGTTTCACATTACACCAGCTGAAAATGCAGGGCCGAGCAAACAGGGACTGAGGTTTACCCCTTACGCATCAACTACACAAGCATGTCTGCACAACCACATCCACAAAGCTTTACAGATAGCATTTGCAGCAGAGCTGATCAGCTGAGAGTCAACATATTTGGTAATGAGTGATAAAAAGTTGGAGGAAGTTTGAAGTTTCTATACGAAGATCCTTTCAGACAAACTGTTATCAAAGCAGCTGTATATAAAAAACTGTTTTTGTAAGTAGGCTACATCTGAGAAAAATATGTTTTGTACTGAATGTGGCCAACACTGTCATAAAGAAGATAATATTGTTAGGATTACAAAATCAACTCTTAAAAGGGTTTTTCCTGTGTTTTTGAGGGGAGGCTGCATGAGTGACATGTCACTAATCAGTGTTTTCACCACTCAGCGTAATGAAAACAGCTGAGAGAACCAGCACACAAGCTAGGCTACAGTTTTCTGTAGACTGGGTGCCTCTGCCACACGATTTAGTTCATTTAGAGACTCTGACATTAATTTCAGTTTTAGTGTTTACCATCAGAAAGATCATTTGTGTTTGCTGTACTTGCAGACGCAACACACATACATGCTCTTCTGCAGCAGCATAATCAGTTTATATTGTCACTGATATATGATCAATTTTGATATGTTTGCATCTCAGTTTTGCAGAGAGTCAAGCACCAGATTACCTGAAGCACACATTTTGCAACATTCAAAACATAGCTGCTCCTCTACCTGAAGTGCCCAGATCATCTGTTAGGTCTGTGGACTTCAAACAGACAAAAATAAATCAAAAAATAACAGATAAATTAAAAAAAACTGTGATTCTGTTAGTGTTTAGAACAGGCCATTTGTTTGGGGCACACGTGGACTCCTCGATGAACCGGGATTCAGAGAGAAAATAAAACGCAACACGAGTTAGCTGCTGAAGCTCGAATAAACTCGACACACATCCCTGTGTCCAAAGGCTGATCTGAGTCATTTAGTGTTGAACATCGTGAAAAACCGAGATTCAACATTTTAAAAACTCACCATATATCCACAAAACACTGAAACTGAGACAAGTGTTTGTGTCAGAGTCTCTAACTTGGTTAAATGACATGACAGAGTTGACTCCATTTCAGAAAACTGTAGCCTGGCTTGTTTCACAACTAGATGATGTATGAAGATGAGGACACCCTCACAGGAACATACAGGGAAGAACTGAGCTTAGGTTTTCAATTTATTTCATTTATAATGACTGTAATCTTAACTACTGACCATACTCCATCTTTTCCCTCACACCCTCCGCCTCTTTACTTCTCATCTTTCACACTAATGAACACTTGCATGTATATTAACTGTGGTTCTGCACTGTGTGTGTTTCAGAGTGTGCATCTGTCCAGACTAGATGTGTGTAACCTTCCTCTGGTTGACTATCCGGCTCAGAGTCTGTCTAAAGCTCTGCTGACCAGCCGGCTCACTGTGCTATACCTCCACAACGCCCAGCTCAGTGGGGTGCCTTTGTATGCTCTGGGTAAGACACACACAGACACACACTCACACCGACACACCAATGAACACACACTGACAAAGAAAGACACAGGCTGAGCACTACAAAGCCTCATGAAGAGTCGTTCATGATTCAGTGACGTCATGTTTGTTTGTTTAGCCGTGTGTGTGTGTGTGTGTGTGTGTGTGTGTGTGTGTGTGTATCGTGGCCAGCAGGACCAGATTTTGACCCCTGACCCTCTCTGTGGGTCTGGACCCGGATTAGAGGCCTAATCTCTTACCTGTCACTTTACACACCGCTGCACACATCTATACAGGCTCTGTCAGCCAGGAACCACACACACACACACACACACATACACACACACACACACACACACACACACACACACACACACACACACACACACACACACACACATACACAAATATACATATATTTTATTTCAGGAGTAGCCTCTGAAACACAAATATGACCTCAGATAAATACACTAGTCTTGACAGGGCTCAGAGTAAACAGAGAAGCTGCACACACTGAAACTGCAGCGCTCTCAGTTGACCAAAAAACACATACTAACCTTTATGATAATGAAACAACACACACTGCAAACCCATGCATCTAAAATGTACAATCTTTCAGTGAAGACATCATTAGAAGCTCCTGCTGATGCTGAACTCGCTTCAGTCTGAGGTTTATGTTTAAGAGTGGTCTGATCTTTGTTAGTGACTGGGACATCCTGGAGGACACCTCTACAGCTGCAGCTGCAGTCTTACACGTATATTTAAAAACAGATGATTTTATCAATGTTTAGAAGAAATCCTATCGGCAGCTGAGCTATTTGTGAATATTTCTGTTTGCACAAGAGCCCAGGAATGGTGGAAACATTCACATAAGCATTACAGAGCAGTAGAAGGTGTAGATTTATATATTTTTATGTGTGTGTATTTAGAATATGATACAATAATAAAGTACAAGAACTTCATTTACCTTCATATATAGCAGAATATTGGTTTGTTTTGAATAGTAAAATCTACTATTTAAAAAAGAATTAAACAGTCTGATGGCTGTGGGTACAAAAGATCTTCTGAATCTCTCCGTCCTACAGCTAGGATAGAGAAGCCGTCCACCACCATTGTTGTTTTTTTTTTAAACAGGATGTTTGTATCTTTGCTATTGTTCCACAGGGTATGTTTAAGTGCATCTGTAACTGGGAATCTTGTCAAGGTTGAAGGAATAACGAAGAAAGAAGGATACGTGAAGATTTTGAAAGAAAACCTCAAGAAGTCAGCAGCAAAACTGGGTCTGGGTCGTCACTTTGTCTTCCAAAATGACAACGACCCAAAACATACAGCGCTCCTGGTGAGGAGCTACCACCAGGAAACCAAAGTGAATGTTATTGACTGGCCTGCACAAAGCCCTGACTTAAATCCCATTGAAAATCTGTGGGCTGCACTAAAGACCAGGGTACATGCTAGAAGACCATCAAATCTGGAGATGCTTGAAAGATTCACCAAAGAGGAATTGGCTGATAATTTTGACCCTGGTAGTTTTTGGTTTTTGTGAATTTTTTTTTTTTCTGTGTGCAAAGTAAAATAATGTAAGGATCCAAAATAAAACTAGGATGTTTGGAAAAGCTGTGTAAAAAAACATGAATCTGTTGAACAGCACTTACGAAATTTTGGAAAAAAAGTTAAAATTTCATGGGGGGGGGGGGGGGCTAATAATTTTGGCCTCAACTGTACATCTGCTGCTTCATCTACCCTCTGTTTAGACAACAAGAAAGAACCACTACTGCCCCCTACTGTGAACGAATTAGTTACATGGTGTTACTCTGGCTATGCTTATTTTTAGCATATATTTTTGCATTTTAATAGACGTTCTCCTCAAAGGTGTATACAGTCATGGTTGGTACCACAAATGTTGAAACAGAGCATGGTCTGAAATAATGAAAGAAATCACTGCCTCCTCTCTGGCATCTGAGCTCCTCTGTGTTTCCTGACTGACAGCTGTGATATCTGTCACAGCTTCTCTGGCATCAACACACACATATAGAGTCAATGAATGAGCACACACACATATAAATGCACTCACCACGGGGGACACAACACTCAGAGGGGGGTTAAGTGCTGGACGTGGACGGACAGGATGCAAACAGAGACAAACACACACCAGTGCACACACAGTCACATGTTCAGTAGTTGATCAGAACAAGAAAGACAAGCTTTGATAGGACGAGGTGAAGCAGGTATGATGAGAAGTTTGAACAAAGAAATTATCTAAATAACCTTTGTGGTCATTTTCTCATCAATAGGACCAAAGAAATCCCTGAAAACTGTCCCTGTTTCTGACATGTCCTTGGGACAGAAAATCCAAACCTGCTCTCACTGTCTCAGTGTCTCCTCTCAGCTGGTGGGGACAAAGACCCAAATGGACGCAGTATGAAGTCCACTCTTCACAACAGAAACTTGCTCTTCTCACATTTTCTACTGTTTCCTGGATCTCTTTGATATTTTAGGGTCTCACAGCCTCCCTCCTCCCCCCTCACCCTGTCCTTCCTGCCTTCACCGAGCCCACCAACATTTCCCTTCCTCCCCTCTCGGCAGGGGTCCCAACTGAGGATCATTGCCTTCGATCGGAGGGGCCTGTGATTGCGGGATTGGGCGCTGGTGGTGGAGTCAACCGGATCAATCCTGCCGATTCCAACATTTGGTTCCCACTGTGCCTGATGACAATGTTGGCATTCCACATGCAGCCCGACCGGTCTGATCAAATCTGCAGCATCGATCTGGACGCCAGGGCAGGGAGGGCCCACAAACACGGACACACAAGTTGCAGTACAGTGTACATGAAACATAATACACAAGGACGGTCTGCAGAACGGCAAACAAACACATCTCTTAGTCTGAAGATAAAGAACTGCAAAGAAAAGTTTCAAACATGCTGATATTTGGAGGACGTGTCTTGAGATTTGGCAGCTGTTTTTTAAAGTCTGCAGCCCGGACTCCAACAATAGCTCCTCCGTGTTTCTGAGGGAGTGCCACTTGATCTTTAGCGCAGTAATTTGCAGGAGGCTGAGTACCTGCTGTGCTCTCGTTTTCATGCTCAAGTTCACTCGCCTTCAATCAGCCTGCTGCCGCTGCAACCTGCAGGTCCACATTTGGCACCATGGATCATATCTAATACCAATTTAAAGAAATCCATACGTCTCAATCTAGGGAGGTGGGGTTAGGGGGAAGTTCTATCGAAAGTTTGGACTGAAAATTCAATGTCAAACTCCAGTCCTCTTTCTGCTGGTTTCTCTGTGCTTTTTATAAACAGATGAGGAGGATACGAGTACAAACTCTGAAAGAAAGAGACTTTTGTTGTCAGAAAATAAGAGTTTCTATATTTTTGTCGGACTTGAATATCATTCAAGCTAGATCTCCATCAAATCTGATGTGTCTTGTCACAGAAACATATTCTTCATATGCCAGGACTGACCTTCCAGAGGTATCTTTGGGCTGTACTGGTAACTGCTAAACTGAGTCACCACAGTATTAACAAGCTAGCCATGGAGCATGGTGGACTATTGTTACAACCCAAACCTGCACTGGAAACCCGAAAGTCGGTTCTGTTCTGAGAGCTACTTGTCCATGCTTACGTCAAACCCAAAGCCTGCAGCAGGGAGAGCACACCTGCCTTCTATGTTATATGCAGTACATGAAAAGCCAAGGCAGGGAGAGAACAAAGCAGCACCAAAGACAATCCACATCACTGGTAAAATCAGACACAGCATTAAAATGAAGAGGTGGGCTAGAGGCAGGGAGAGCGGCAGCAAAGACCCACTGGTACTGAACAAAGAAGACATCAGGGATTATCCATGTGACACTAGTGATATCAGACACAGTAAACACAGCATAAAAAGGAGGAGCTGTGCTGGAGGCAGGCAGAGCAGCAGCAAAACCAAGGAAAGAACAAAGCAGGCTTTAAGACAGTCTCTACCACATGAGTGAAAACAAAGCGAAGTAATGCTAGTAGTTGGACTAAGATCTGAAGCTGCTTTTGCTCAAAATCTTGCACATTAGCTTTTGGTTTTGATAGTGTTTTTGTAGTCTGGACCACTGTTCTGGATTTGGACTTGTAGACAGGTAGAGACACCAAGTCTATGAGGAATTTCTCAGGCCTATCTTGGACTTGATCTTCAGGCATTCTTACAAAGCTATCATTGGAGTAAGTGGAGATGAGTTGGTTTTGATGGCCATCTCCAAAAACTTGTGAAAAGCTACGAAGCAAAAGAAAAAAAGATTTTTTGTGATCTCTGTGTTTCTATTTTTTCATATATTTGTGCTCTTACAGTAAATTTTAGGGCCTTTTCCTGATCTTTTGAATTCTCTTCTTCTGTTGATGTTTTCAGTCAGTGCTCTGAAGTCTAACAGAGCTTTGAAGGAGCTGCACCTCTCTAACAACCAGCTGAACAGCTACCAGGACGCCCTGCAGCTGGGAGACCTGCTGCGGTACAACCAGACCTTACAGACCCTGCAGCTTAGTGACAACGCTGTGGCAGATGCTGGTAAGAGCTTCATCTCTTTCTTTCCAGAGTAAATCACATGAATCTACTCAAAGGTCCAAAGTGTTTCATGAAAATTACATTTACACGTTAGTTTAACAGTGTGCCCCTGCAAGTCAAACTGTGATGATACCTGCACTCTGGTAGCTTCTCATTTCATACTGTTGTTTCTGCTCAATTCAACTCAAAAAGTCCAAACAGTCTTTGTGTTTCTGCTGGATTTCCCTCTTTAGGTCTGGAGGAGCTGTGTGATGGTCTGAGGTGGCAGACTGCAGGTCTGAAGGTCTTACTGCTCAGGAACAACCAGATCACTGCAGACGGCATGGTGCACCTGGCCAAGGCTCTGGTGAGGGTCCGATACCTGGCAAAAGCTGTTACATCATAGTCTAAAGAATTTGAACCAAGGTGAATCAGGACATGTTCAACTGCTGTCTGGTAGGCAGATGAAACAATTTGAATGACAAAGGATGCAAAGAGCTTGGAGTAAATCCCTTGACCTTTAGATAAAGGTGTATTTTTGGTGTAACATGAATCAAACCAATCAGAGCACCTGCTCCGGTTTCCTTTAAGAGACAAGTGAACTTTTTAACAGGTGCATTATTGTTGACACAGTCAGCTTTTTCACTTCAATATTTCCAGTTGAAATCAGTATGTTGAACTTCTCTCTGTCTACTGTCCCTCTAAACACACTTGGATATATGGAGTTCTGAGTCTGACGGATCACATGGAAACCTTTTGCTGATGGAGTCTCTCTAGTGTCACTCACCCCTCTAAAAACACTTAAAAAAGAGGAAAATTTTTGATGCCATAAAGTATATGTAGGACTGGGAGACTGTCTTTTGACCAGGGTGATCAGAGCTGCTGATCTCAGACTCGTACCTGCTCTCTTTATTCTGACTTTAGGAACTGAGCCGCGTTCAGCCTCAAACAGAGAAGTCCCTTTCTCAAATGTCCCGCCTCCACCCTGTACTCTGTTAATAACATGCATTCCTTCTGCCTGATTGGCAACATAACTGCACCGTCCTGTCATGTGAGTGGCGATTGTAGAAGTCAAAAGGCTTGGAATTAACAGCCTGTGTCGCACATACACACTTACACAAACTTACCCTGTCTCCTCCAGTGCTCCCAAAAGAAGAAACACTTTGATTAAATAATAGATGTGTGTTGAAGAAACACTCATGTGGTCTGCCAGTCAGCAGGCTGAGTAGATGTCCTTGCAGGCCGTAATGATGATAATTAGACCAGAAGCTGGTTGTGTTAAATATGATGGTGAGGAGAGCTGTTATTAACCTTTCTGATGGTGCTGCTGCTCTCTGTCCTCATGAAGGACTCAGTTAGGAGCAAAGACATGGGACCAGGTCCTCGTGATTCCCCAGTTTAAATACTGGCAGCCATATTGTCTCTGAAAATAACTGCCAATGAGTAAAAAAGTCCCCACACCCTTTTTTCCTTACTTGTTGTACTCTTGCTGTAGTGTTGTCACACTCAATATATGCTCAAAACAGTTAACGGCATAATTGAAAAACCCTCACGGTTAAGGTCAGCTCTCACTCACATCCACAGCACCAGGGGGAGGAAACACAGAGAGACACAGTGTTTGTTTTTCAACAAATGAAGCACGGCCATGGTCCTGATTGAAGGTTAGCAATACAACGGCGACTTTAAGAAGTGTGATAAAGCAGTGTCATTGATGACACTGCTCTGTCACACATGATGAGTTGTTTCATGTCAAAATAAAACGTCAAAAAAGACCTTTGTGCAGCTTTAACAGGCCGTTACTCTACTCTAATTCAAAGATTCTGTGCTCAGCACATATTATTCTCAACCCATCCTTTTGGCTTTTACTCTGAAAATTTGACGTAATCACTTCCTCCTGCCGCCTATCCACTCTTTGTCCGTCTGGACTAAATGAGAAATGCAAGAAAGAATATGAAAACAAATAAATCAACCTTTCCCCCTTCGTGTTAGGAACCAGAAAAAAAAAATTGTTACATGGCTTTAATTCGTTAAATTTCATCTTACAACAATTTAAAGAGATGACGTGACTCCTTTTCAGTATTCATATTTAAAACAATATAAAGAGATGGAAACAAAAGTGCTTTGGTTTAGAGTTCTTTGAATCAGACAGTGAAACAGTTTTTTTGTTTCTGGATGACTGATGAATTAAATATTATCCATCTCTGATTCTGGGCTTATGATACATTTCTTCTCATAAATAGAATTATGAACAGAATGTATTTATATCACTTCATCACTTTGCAACATTACTTGCCCAGTTTAACAACATTTGTGACATTTGGCTCCTGACCATTCGACTTTTTTGAAAACACGGGAAAATTTACAATTTACAATTTACAAATTTAAAAAGGACAAAACCAATTTTCTGACATCTGTCCCTTGACATCTGGTATCCTGCTTTAAAACCAATGGATTTCATCACACTCACAGTTACAATGCTAGAACAAAAAAGAACCTCTGGTTTTTCTGACCTTTGTGACTCAGCTGCTGCCCCAGAGTCCTTTTAAATGAGGGGTGACTGCTGCATGATGGTCCATGTGTAGCTTTAATCTGCTGGTCTCATACGGTCATTGTTTTCAGACACAACAGAAGCACGTCGGGGAACCACAACTCTAAGTGTCATTTACCATGATTTTCCCTCTTCGTAGCATTTCAGCTGTGTTATGGATGTTAAACTGGACAGTCTTTAAGTCTGCAGGCTCGCTGTCACTTACCTGTGGAGCTGTGGGGGACAGGGATGTGTGGAGGTAACCAGGAACATGGAGCTGCAGATCCTGAAACTGAGAAACAAGTTTGCTTTGTGATAGTGAGCTCCAGGAGAAACAGGAGGAAAAGCAAACCCAAACATACTTACAAAACAAGCCCTAAAATGAGGTTTGAAGCTCACGTCTTCTTGGTGAGAGCTGTAAATCGAGGCCTAGTGTCCACGTTTCCATCCAGACTGTCTGAACAGAAAATAATCAGACTCTGAGCTGAGGAGCAGAGCTGTTTTTAACCACTTTTAGTTTCCTCTTCGTCATGGCAGCTTGTTGAGGGAGGCAATGGATGTCTTGGAGGGCCAGAATCCTGGTCCAGGTTTAGTCCTCTCTCGTTTGAGAGAATAGATAAAGAGATGACTTGGGGAAATGTCGGACAGACTTCTTGTTTTTCGACATTTTGTGCTTCTGGTGTTTGGTGTTTTTTTGTTAGACGCCAGCATGTCATGTGTGAAAGCATACTGTGTTTTTGGTGGTTTCACACTCCCACCCCCCTCAAACTTCTCACTCCAACCCCCCCGTGGTTTACGTTTGACAGGCTTCAACCATGCTTGACTCTCACACACTCTCAACCACGCACTCGCCTCTTTAATTGTCTGCCATTATCCCTGGTGCATATCCATTGGAGCTGCTCGTCCTCCCTCCCCTCCACCCCTCTTCACCGGAGAAGCTTCTCGCCATGCGTTGGATGGAAAAAAAAGGGGAGGGGGGGGCTCTCAAGTGTGTTTGTTGTCACAGTGGTGCAAATTAACTCAGAAGAAGACGCTCTGTGGGTCTGTCGCTCGCCTTCCTGGCTTCCTTTCCACCCCCGCGCTCCGGCTCTCTTCAGAGCAGTGACCAGAGGAATTTAACAAGGGTGGCGAGGCGAGGGGGCATGGAGGAGTGGGTGGCACGCTCCTCTTCAAGCTGTTGGGCAGCATGGGCCTCTTGTGCCCCAGACACCCCCAGCTTTGTGCAGCAGCTAATCAACCTTCAATGCTAATGTGGCTCTGGAGAGAGGAAACAGAAGTTCTGAGCGTTGAACATGAGAGGAAACCGTTTGAAAAGGAATAATAATCACCGCATAATAATAATGATAATTAAAACTTCCCCGGCTTTTACACACTCACTTGCTGTTTCACCAAAGCAGCGCCAACTCTGGGCCTGATTGTTGGCAAAGTTTGGGGACATACTTTACAAAACAGTTATTAAAAATCTGCAGAAAATCCTTGAATCCAGCCCACACATTCATCTGAGTTTATTTTTCTGCATGGACTCTGTTTTACAGCCGGTGCTGAAGGTCCTGCAGGTTCTGGATCTGAGTGAGAACCTCATTGGGAACAAAGGGATCCAGGTGATCCGAGAGCCTCTGATGCAGAATGTCTCAGTGCTGCAGCTCAGCCTGCAGCAAACCAACATCACCTGTGAAGGTACAGACATGTCTTTCAATGCAACAACACAGTTAAGGTTGAATTCTGCAGCTGATGGACAGACAGACGAAAAATTATAATGAGATTATTTTTTGATTCCAGTCCTTTTGGTGAGTTTGGTCACAGTTTAAGACTTAATTTCAAAACTTGATCGAAATGATAGTTTCTCAGATATGTGCTGTATCTTCAGTGTTGGATCGGACTGCAGGTCCACAGAGTTATCAATAAGCTCTTCATTTCCATAATCTCATGATCTTCACTGGTTACCACATTTTTATCTGTTCTCTAAAACTGCAAACAAGTCTAAATCAAATGTCAGGTTTGTTCTGTATTGATCATTTATTTTCATACAGCTTTCATGAAAATGTTGAGTAAACTAAATATTTGTAGCATGGCTGTCCTTTTTAACAGTTCTCTGTAATGTTAAAGCTGAAGGAGAGCAGAAACTTTATATCTTTTTATTAGTACAAATAGAAATTACATCTCTGATTATTGCATGAAAGATGCATGAAGCATCCAACACCAGCAAGAAGCTTGGTGAGACAAACATGTTTTAAAGTGAACATGCATCAGCAGAAGTGTTCAACAGAAGTGTCTCAGGACAGATGTATCCGATGTTATGTCACAGAATTTAACAACATTGTACAAAGTGGAGCGCCATGCAGACCGAGCAGAGCCAATCATAAAACAGATAACTCACATGAAGCAGCAGAGACACACAAAGTGAGCTACAGCAGAGACACACACTCTTTTAATGCCAACATCCACACTTCCTGTTAGATTTGATCATCTCACCTTCTCTGTGGCTCCAAGAGTCACTCGCTCTCATTGTGAGAGACCAGCCAAGTTCTACAAGGAGCAAGACCAGGTTTCCTAAACCAGGACAACAACTTCACTAGGTTCCTGAAGTCAGGATGTGATCTTTACAGACACCAAAAGCTAAAAACCTGATCCAGTCCAAAATACTCCAGTCCATGCTAACACTCTCATAGAGGTTTTCAAAGAGGGTTATGTAGTCCCATCAGGTCTGAAGGCCTCATTTTAAAAGCTGGAGATCAAAGTCTCCCTTCACTGTCTCTTGCTGTATTTTTCTCTGAAGGTGTGGTGGCATTGGCCGAATTCCTGGCAGAAAGTCGTCAGATCCAGCAGCTGGATCTCCGTCAGAATGAGGTAAAGGTTGGAGGTCTGATGGCTCTGAGTCTTGCTATGAGGATAAACCTATCCCTGACTGGACTGGATGTAGATCACAGACTCCCACAGGAGCAGGTAAGTCCAGACCTGGTGTGTGTGTTTGCAGTTTGGAGTGACCTTTTGCTTTTTTTCTACAGCTATGAGGTCTCTAAGTTCTGGATCATGCAGTCCCTGACAAAAGTCTTGTCGCTTGGGTACAAGTTGACCTTAAGTGCCCCTCAAATATATGTGCAATAAATTTTTTTTTACAAGAAATGTCTAATTTCAATCCCAACAGTGTTTGAAATAATGTCTTGGTGCCAAATGAAACTGCTGAAAAGCATTCTAATGTTCACAGCTTGGTAAAGCCTACTAAGTCAGTTTTTGCACAGACAAAAGTCTTGTCGCCTTGTCATATGATGCACCCAATCCAAGATTACAGCCTCACCTGTGATCAATTATTGACCAATCAATTAGTGGGTGTATAGAAAGAACCACAGCACACCAGACCTTCACATCAACTGCAACTTAACCTCTGACAACATGCCTAAGATTCACCCTGAGACCAAAGCTTTGATCATCAAGAGGCTGAAGACCAGATCCACTGCTGAGGTGGCTGACACCTTCAATGTGTCTCAGCGTCAAGTACAAAGGATAAGAAAAAGATTTGAAGAGACTGGAGATGTTCATGACAAGCCCAGGCCCAGCAGACCCCGAAAGACAACTGCTCGGGAGGACCACTTGTTGGCTTGAAAATCCAAGGCCAGTCCCTTTTCCACTGCAGCAGAGCTCCACCAGGTCTGGTCACCTCAAGTCCCTGTGTCAACCAGAACAATTTGTCGAATTCTGTCTCGACATGGCCTCCATGGTCGAATCAGTGCCCAGAAACCAGCACTAAACAAAAAGAAATTAAAAAAACTTGTGGCATTTGCCAAGGCCCACAGCCTGCTAAAAGGATGCACTCTGGAAAAGTGGCAGAAGGTGGATTTTTCTGATGAATCTTCGGTTGAATTACATCACAACCGCTGCAAATATTGCAGGAGACCTACTGGAGTCTGCATGGATCCGAGATTCACCCAGAAAACAATTAAGTTTGGTGGTGGAAAAATCATGGTCTGGGGTTGCATCCAGCATGGAGGTGTGCGAGAGATTTGCAGGGTGAAAGGCAATATCAATAGCCTAAAATATCAAGAAGTATTAGCTACCTCTTACATTCCCAACCATAAAAGGGGTCAAATTTTGCAGCAGGATGGTGCTCCATCGCATACTCAGATCTCTACAGCAAAGTTCCTCAAGGCGGAGATCAAGGTGCTCCAGGACTGGCCAACCCAGTCACCAGACATGAACATCATCGAGCATGTCTGGGGTAAAATGAAAGAGGAAGCATGGAAGACGAAACCAAAGAATCTTGATGAACTCTGGGAGGCATGTAAGACTGCGTTCTTTGCTATTTCTGATGACTTCATCAATAAATTGAATGAATCGTTGCTGAACTGCATGGATGCAGTTCTTCAGGCTCATGGAAGTCATACAAGATATTAAATATGGATCTCACAGCACCACTACTTGATTCACTGATGTTGTGCAACATATTTTGTATTTGAAGTAAATTATTTGTTCAATTTTCACATTACTCTATGTAGGCGACAAAACTTTTGTCTTGCCAAAATCTGACCTTTCTGTGTTCATTAAATGATCAATCTTTCTTCGGTGAAGGAAATTTATTTTAGATTTTAAACATAATTTGGGAGGGTTTTAGCTTTCATATGAGCCATTTCTAAAACCAATGGATTAATGACAAGTCAGGCACTGTACAAGACCAGAGAAGTTGTTTTAATTTTCATTTTCTCAGGCATCAGAGAAAAGTCATCATTGTGTTTGTAGTAATTAAGAAAAAATGAACAAACTTTGAAACCACGAAGACCTTTCCTATCTTTGCAGGTTTAACTACTGATGATATATAGAAAACACACTTTAGTCGAACCAGCTCCTGTGATGATACTCTTTAAACATATATATATATATATATATATATATATATATATATATATATATATATATATATATATATATAAATATACATACAGTACAGGCCAAAAGTTTGGACACACCCTCTCATTCAATGTCTTTTCTTGATTTTTTTATATGAATATTTACATTGTAGATTATCACTGAAGGCATTAAAACTATGAATGAACACATGTAGAATTTTGTACTTATAAAAAAAGTGTGAAATAACTGAAAACATGTTTTATATTCTAGTTTCTTTTAAATAGCCACCCTTTGCTCTTGATGACAGAAGTACCTTGTCAGGGTTACTTCAGGCACTCCTGTGAAGTAAAAACCATTTCAGGTGACTACCTCATGAAGCTCATTGAGAGAACAGCTAAAGTTTGCAGCGCTATCAAAAAAGCAAAGGGTGGCTACTTTGAGAAATCTAAAATATAAAACATGTTTTCAGTTATTTCACACTTTTTTCTTAAGCACATGTTTCCACATGTGTTCATTCATAGTTTTGAGAATCTATAATTTAAATAGTAATGAAAACAAAGAAAATGCATTGAATGAGAAGGTGTGTCCAAACTTTTGGCCTGTACTGTATATATATATATATATATATATATATATATATATATATATATATATATATATATATATATATATATATATATATATATATTTTATATATATATATATGTATGTATATAGTTCACATTAATACAAAGGCAGAGATGTTTTTGTTGGAGTATTTGCTGAATTTAAAGACCAGTACTTCCTAATCTCTGTCTTTAAAGGACCACGGGATGTTTTCAACAAAGGAAGATAAAAACGATCAGCCTGTGTAGTTTGTTAATTACAGTCTGTGAATTATAACAAATGATAAATGAAATTACACAGGAAATCTGTTTTACTGTTTTACCTGAAGACTGAGCTAAGGACCGGTCATGAATTAAAGGAGTAAAAGTCAGAGAGCCTGTAGTGACCATAGTAACCTCTTATAGATTGAATCGACCATTCAACCTGAAGAATAAACTGTCTCTCTCTGTGTTTTTTGTCTGAACCTGTTCAGGCCTTTACAACAACTCTCTTTAGAGCTCTCCCTCTTATTTGGACTGAATTGGTGACTCGAGGATGACTTCTCCTTCACAGGGTGTGTGTGTGTGTGTGTGTGTGTGTGTGTGTGTGTGTGTGTGTGTGTGTGTGTGTGTGTGTGTGTGTGTGTGTGTGTGTGTGTGTGTGTGTGTGTTGTGAAACATTCAGACTGGCTGTGGTCACAGATTTGTCACTTTTAAACACAGGGAAGTCATTTGTGTCTCATTTCACCAGAGCTTCTTGTTTTTTTTCCTCCCGTCGTGGCAGCAGAGGCCCGAGGAAAATGATGCCATAACTTTAATACATGCCCCTGCTGGATTCACAAAATAATTACCCACACTTGCCATCTGTTTGTCATGATTTTATCTCTGCTAACTTATTTGCATATTAAAGCATTAATTAAAATCTCTGAGGAGCGTGATGCTTACTTTAAAATTAACTCTGAAGGCGATCCTTGCACAGCTTCCAGAGTTGTTTTATTTTTGTTTGCAGTGGTTTTCTGTTTGTCTGTGCGTTGTTTACACGATTAAGTCTGATTTTTATGAAATGTCTCCTCTGGCTAAAGTCAGCTGGCAAGATGTGCCAGATTTCAGAGAGGCAGCTTTTAAGAGCTTCTGTGAATGTGTGTCATTATAGCTGGGACTTCTCCTTCTTCTCCTTCTTCCTCCTCGTCTTTCTCACTCCAAAGCCTCCATATTGGCGGCTCTGTTTTCATGCTCTTTCTAAGCCGCCCAGAGACGTGATTAGCATTCCCGCCATTGGTGGGAGTTAGTGCGGCTGGTATTTTAAGGGAATGGTAATAAGGGAATTTTTAAGCTCTGTCAGGTTTTGGAGTCACACAGCTGGGATTTGTCTTGGCGTGACACATCCAGGTGGGAGGAGTGACGATTGTATTAAAAAGCAAATCTTTCCATCAGGAAACAGCGGGCGGCCAGATCAAGTGTTCTCGCTCAGTCATATCCCGGCCGCTCAGGAATAGTGAAAATTTCATTCTTGTGAAGGAAAATAAGTGATGGTTTGGACGGGAGTCAGTGATGGAGGGGGTTACGGCAGCACTTTGTGTGTGTTCGAACGTGTGTGTGCTTTTAGGAGCATGCGGGGGGGTGATTGAAGATGCGCATATTTAAAAGGCGGGAGGAGAAGGTGCGAGAGGGGAGGAAATGTGGGCTCGCTTGTCTTTGTTTACAAGAGTCTGATTTTTCATGTCTGTTGCCACATTGCTGCTGCATTTGATCACTGGCCTGTCTGCTATTAATTATTAATTATTTACCCTCCTGAAATATTCATGCACCCGGCTGGCCGGGTGGGAAGCTGCCTCTTCCAGGGGGCAGCATCTCCAAGGTGGAGCTGTTTATTCATCCTGATCAGGGGCACTAGCAGCTCCACCATGAACCAAGCTTCCTCTATCATGGCGGCCCGGACGAGGTAGACTCATGGCCTGTTTACCTGCTCCGCGCTCAATATTTGTCTTTGGATTTGTCCGCGGTGAGTCTGTCAGGGGGTTCACACAGAGATAACGCCACTCTGCATCTTCGACTCAATGTCGCATGTCAGCGAGGTGGAGCTGAGACAGACCGTCCTCCGCTCAGTGATAATTACAGTGTGTGAGTGTGTTTGGGTGAGTGTGTGTGTAGACGGCATTTCAGGATCATGTGAGGCAGGTTCAGTTTGTTTTAGAGCACCTGAGGAGGAAACAGCAGCAGCAGACCAGGATCTCTAAGCGGAGGCCGGTCTGACAGAGTATTGTAAAGCTTTATATGGCTGTACAAACAAATCTTCACCTGAACCTGTCACACATTTTGAACACCTGTTTGTAGTTTTAAAACTGTTTTTACTGACCTCATCCAAAAGGCCCTCAAAAAAGGTCATCGTAACACTATCATCATAGCAGCACTCATACTTTTGCGTGTCCTTTAGATTATCATTAACAAAAAGTGAAACATCAGCTCAAGGGTGCTGCTGAGAACAATGATGTGATGCAGTAACTCAGACACACAGAGCTGTCCTATCAGCTCTTTATAATATTGTTGTGTTTGCAATATCAGCTCTACTCATAAAATGGTACAGCGTGCTGACTTTGTGAGACCGGCAGCTTTAAACTCTGTGTTTCTGTGACATCCAGGAGCTTTTCTGTCCCATAGAGAGGATGCGGTACATGTTCAGACACTAACCTCTGATGATTTATTTATACATTTTAGTGAAATAATGCCATTTATGTTCCTACCTGCCAATTCTACATAGAGGCCATTGTCTTTTTTGTGGTCTGTCGACCAATCAGAGATCTTTAGGGGTGACATACCCCAAAATTGTGGCCAGTTTGGGTCATGCGTCATCTAATAGACAGCTAGTAGCTTCAATCTGTCACTCAAAGAGGCCACACCCTGAATGGATTATCACCTTAATCTAATGTAAACCGGTGAGCTCAGCATGAATTCAGTCTGTACAGTTCTTATGAATAAAGGAATGATCCACAAAGACCCAAAATGTTTTTAAGTCAGCCTGTAAACATTTTTATAGTTTTAATCTGAGGCTCTATGGGGGCTGACTCATTTTAAGACACAGTCTCTAGTGGACACTGGGGGAACTGCAGTTTTTATTTTATTTTTTACCTTTCTGTCAGGAGGTTCAGGAGTGACATTTGAGACCAGCTACACGTGTTTTTGCCTTTGTCTGTGTGAACATCTCTGAGGGAAATCTTGTGCACACAAAGCAGTCTGTGATGGATTCTTATTTTAGGAGCAGCATGAAACAGAGAGGTCTCTGGCGTGTTTTTTGGGCTTCTCTCTGTCACGGTCAGTCCCTGCAGGGTGGCTGGGTGATACAACGGCCTGACCATGCATGTAGCCACCGCTCAGGTTTCAGAGGCATCATGATGACACGGCTGCTCCAGGGACCCGAGGACGTGGGCAGACACCAGCAACCAGGCAGAACAAACCTCCCAGCATGCCTCACAGGGCAGTGGGGTGTGTGTGTGTGTGTGTGTGTGTGTGTGTGGGGGGGGGGATCAACCACTCACCTACTGGAACCACAGCACACAGAGCAGCTCACCCAGACGCAGACTGTTTTTTTTTTTTCTTTTTTTTTTTTACAGCATTTTTTCCAGGAATCAGCTTCAGTGAAAAAATGGAGAAAGAGGACGTTTCTCAAAGACAACATGTCTGATATTTCCCCCAGAGTTAAAAATGCGTCTTTCAAAGAGAAGCAAACATCCTCAGATGGAAAGGAAATGCCACAATCAATGATTTGACATCTTTGAATCAAACTGGAGCTGAAATAATGACCAAAGAACAGATGTGGTGACTGCTGTATGCACACAATCATCGTATATGACCGTCTGATATTAATCCAAAGGCATTCATTGTTAAAGCATACTATATCAGAGCCTCACATAAGGCGTCATTGTCAGTAAAGTTGGCATTTCAGATGATTCATCAAAAAGGCTCATGCTGGCTGGTCAATACATCCTCAGTACAAACTTTTCAGAGACACTGGTGAAGTCAGAGGATGTTAGAGTCATGAAGATGTATAGTAGGTACTAGTGAACTGTAAGTGATGCTGCTGCAGAGCTCTGAGATCCAGTAATAATGAACACTGAGGCTTAACAGCTCTCTCACAGTGCATGGAAGGTCCAATATTAGTGTTCTTTTGAACACTTGGTTTTTTTTTTTTTTACACATTGACTGAAACAAACAATCAATGCTAGAAACTTCAACTGCTATTGTTCAGGTTAGGCTTGAGTCATATTGAAGGCTGATGCATCTGCTTCCACAAATTATTTGTACAGCTGAAAATGGTTCTTTGGGGGATTTAAACGTCTTTGAGTGAATTGCAGAAACGTACTCACTCACCCAGAAAATTCCTGATTTATCCAGTATGAGGAAATCTCAGAAGGATTCATGAGTAAGGTGATGGGATGGGTATGGGAGGCTTCAGGCTGTAGCCATATACCATTGGTGTTGTAGCTGAAATGTTCCTTCAGTATTCTTCTGACACTGTTGCTACAGACAAGTAGCTCAAACAAACCTGCTTCAAAACATCTGAACTATCCCTTTAACTGCTAAAGGGGTCATAACTCCAGGTCAATCAACACAGTCAGTACGTTTACATGACACTTGAGAAAACTGAATTATTACCTTACTCTGATTAAGACCAGGCAACTGAGGTTCATGTTAACACCTTGGTCCGACTATAATCAGAGTTTGAGAACTCCGCTTGGAGTATGATCGGACAATGCATATGCGTGTGTGCCAAGCCTCTGTAACCCCGGAACAACAACACCAAAGAAGAAGTGGCAATATCAATGAAAGAATTTTTGACTCAGAAGCAACTGCAACATGGCTGAAGCACAAAAGAATGTCCACCTTTAGAACAACGAAAAAAGTGCCATTATGCTTTCCGTCCTGACAGAAACTGACATTTTAAAGTATATGGACGGTCGCAAAACGAGGAACGGAGACATCTTTAAAAAAGGTCTGGAAACAGTGCAGCAGAAAAGATCCATATTGCCCCCTAGTTTTGGGGAGGAGGACACGTTTATGTTAATAATTTGATTTTCTCAGCTGCATGTATACGCAGACAAGGAGAGAAGTCTGATTTGGCAAAAAAAATTATGAGCTTAGTCTGATTAAGCTGTTTATGTAAACGCACTGGGTGAAAGACTTGCAATCAAGCAATGTCCTCAAGTGGGCAGTTCAGAACAGCTATGTCCTCTGGCACTAAGACAGTAGAGTCTGCACTGAGACAGTAGAGTCTCTTTAACACAGAACAATAGGACTGGAACTCCTGAAGAGTGTAAACGCAGTCCGAAAACTAGCAATCCCTGGATGTTGATGAGTCATCCAAATTATTTTCAAATAACTGCATGCAGTACTGACAATGGACATGTTGTACATGCAGTCCTGGCAGTTTAGCATTTATTTGAATAGTAAATATAAAAAAAAAAAAAAACAGAAGTGTGGGGTACAGTGAGTGGAAATGTTAAGTTTGAGTGATATCTCGCTCCCTTGCTCAAAATCAAAAAAGCTCATGTAAAGCGTTCCAAGTATAATCCTCAATTTGTTAAGTTTTTCCATCAAAAACCAACATCAGGTCTAAAGCGCATAATACCTCTGCTCTTTCTTCCACCTGTTTTTTTTATGTATAGCTGTTTACTAAATACAAAAATGCAAAGGTTACTTATTTGTCTGTGTTCGACAATGGTAGGCCTGTCGCGATAATCAATAAATCGCCTTATTGCTCGATAAATAAAAACGAGGTCGGTCATTTTGCCAGCCTCGATAATTGACGTGCGTTTGTTTTCCTCCTCTCTCGCTACCAAACACGCTGGATGAGAGAAGAGGTCTCACTCTGCGCATTTTTCTCGGCACCTGGGGGCGTTGGCTCTATAGCGGAATGAACGGAGTTAGTGAACCCTCCTATCAGTCATTCAGTGTCTTTGTCACGAGGGGGCTGGCGCGCACAGGCACACAGACACAGACTTTTGGATACAGTGCTGCAAGTGAGCGTCGTGAGTGAAAAGCAAGCAAACAGAATGAACACGACAGCTTTGGTGTCTAAACCGAACGCAACAGCCCAAGTGTGGGAATATTTCAGTTTTAAACCAGTTTTGTTTTCGTCAACCACAAAACTCCACGTGTGTGCGCGCGCGCACGTGTGTCTGTGTGTTGGAGGAGCACAGCAGGCTGATGAGAGCTGTCAGAGCGGATTGAAGCTGCTTCTATATGTTTAGCGTTTAACTGACTGAGTTTTGCAACTCTGTTTGTCATTTTCGTCTCGCCCCATCAACTTAAACGCACTTTCGTCTCGTCACATTTTAGTCATCTCCGACTTATGTTTAGCTCGTCAACGTTACGTCTTCGTCGTGGGTGAAATTAAAGTTTATCACTTTTGACACGGTGTACTCACATTATTATGCCATTTAATATCATTATCTATAATTTAAAAAACGGTGTCAATAATATCGTTTATCGGCGATAATTTGTAGCACAATTATCGTCCAGCAAAATTTGTTATCGTGACAGGCCTAGACAATGGTATAGAAATTATGCAAAGTGGCTGCCTCCATGAATAAATCCTACCCTTAGAGGCCTGAATGATCTGTATGGAGGGGTGAGAACAGAGTCATCTTTTGTGATAATTTAGCCTTACTGGAATATTTCTGATCACATAGTGACCTTCAGAGTTACAGAGGAATAGGCTATCCTTCCCTCAAAGAGGACTGCACTTCTTCAAAACCCTCTCAGACAGATGAATTCAACATGGCAGGAGTAAGAAGCATAATGTCGGGCAGTTCTCAGAGAGTCTGTCATCAAATAAAATCTGGTCTGGTCCAGCTGGATCGCTAAACTCCTGTTCTGTCTCTCTTAAATGCTCCATTAGAGAGTCGACTTCTCTTCCTGATACTCAGAGAGGGACAGAGCTGGATGAGTCACTCTGCAGACGAGAGGGGGCTCGGGTTGCTGAGGGGGAGATGTTGGCGGTGGGGGAGGTGGGGGTTGGAGAGTGTGTGTTGGGGAGGGGGGCAATCCCCTGTCCCCCTGCAAACACAAAAACAACAGCAGCAACACACTCCTCGCTGCACTCCTGATGTATTTTCAGGCAAAAACAGGCATATTTGCCAGCTGTGTAATTTACTGCGACTCTCATTTGCATATTAAAACCTTAATTAGCCCCTTTGAGCGTGTGTGTGTGTGTGTGTGTGTGTGTGTGTGTGTGTGTGTGTGTGTGTGTGTGTGTGTGTGTGTGTGTGTGTGTGTGTGTGTGTTTGAGGTGTTGGGGGGTGTAGTCTAATCACTTGGACGTATAGTCAGGGGAAGGTCTGGATGTGGGCTGGAGGGGAGCAGAGTCCCTTTCAGTGCTGGATCCCCCCCTGTGGACCGGCTGGTTCTGATACAGAGTGAGAAGGAGGAGGAGGAACTGTGAGATGAAGAACACTCAACATGTCTGTGTGTTGTTTGTAGTCTCTCTAACAAACCCCGAGGTAAGACCTGCTCCATCAGGAGGAGAGGCTGCTTTAAATCCTGTTAGAGAGCAGAGGTGGGAATAAGGATTCACCTCACTGTGTGAACAAGTGTCCATTTGAAACCTCTTTACACACCATCACTCCTTAGTCTACCCCTCCGATAGCAGGTTTATTTCCCTGATCATGCAGATTTGATCTCAAACAGGAGCAGGAAAGATATATTTTAAAGTCAGAGGATCGTTAGCTGAGCCTCACACAGGAAACAGTTGAGAGAAGGAAACCCTCACTGTGTCGGAAGCATGTGCAGTATGTGAGCAGTAAGTGTGTGGTTCATGGACTACTATCAAAAGCTCATAAGTTCAGCCATCTTGCATTTTTGGAACCACATGTGACCATATTTGGAGATTAGGGTGGAGCTGGAGAGGAGCCAAGGACTAATGGTGTCTTTGCTAAAACTCCTCCTGTCAGAGCTCGGCAAAAATAAAGACGTCTCTCTGTTAAGTGGGCATGAGAAATGTTATTATAGGAAGTGGAGGTTTGGAAAACGGTGAAGGGGAAGAGTTTTTAGAAAATCTAGATCACATTCCTCTAACTTTAGGGTCTGACTATGGCTACGTTCATACTGCAGGTTATGATGCACAATTCGAATTTTTTGTTAAATCCGATCTTTTTGTGCGGTCGTTCACATTACAACAACGAATGCGGCATCTAATTTGAATGGAATGCGCCCATGAAGTGACCCGCATGTGCACAAAGCACAAATTGCTTTCCGTGCCTGTTTGTGTTGTCGAACAATGGTGACCGTTGTCGCATATTGATGATGTATAGGTCAGATGAATGCACCTGAGTGTCCACACTGCAGTCACATTGGATACATATCAGATTTATATCCACATAAAAAAGAGGCCTGGGTCGGATTTGAAAAAATCAGAATTGCACTGTTCACACTGACATGAAAAAAATCAGATATGTGTCACATATGGTTAAAAAATCGGAATTGACCTGCAGTGTGAACATAGCCTATGATTTAAAGGACTAAAGTAAAGTTGCTAACATGACTATTTCAAGACGGGATATTTGTACCGCTGCTGCACCTTGTCTGTATAGAGTCACAATAAGAGGCAAAGTAGCTCCGCCTCTCATTTTCCTTCAGACATAAGCTGTGTCCCATTTCAGAGACCGCATCGCCGAACGGCGCATTTGAAGCATGCATGATGTCATCACGCGGCGCAAACGGTGTCCCATTTGGCACGAAATGCTAAGAAATGCTAAGCGCGCTATGCACGCTTTTGTGCCGTTGGTATCCCAGAATTCTTTGCGTGCCGCTGCACAGCTGCGCATTTTGGGTGAGAGGCCGGACTCGCTTGGAGACGCAGCGCGTCTTCAAAGAAAATACAAGAAATCCAAAAACAGCAGACAGTCAGCTCAGGCTGTATGAGAGCATGATCTCTGAACTCACTAAAATCTGCAAACCAAACATAGATTTAGAGACAACTGATCTGCTCTGCTACAACAATCAAAAACATTTGAAATAAGAAAGCTGACAAAACTACAGCAGAGGATCAGGACAACATTGAGTTTTTTTTTTCTTTTAAGATTTAGAGATTAAAGTTGTAAATTTAGGAGAATAAAGTCATAAAGCTGCTTTTGTGGAGGGGGAAATGACTGAAGCTGGTCATCTGCAGGGTTATCTGTAGATGTATCAGCGGGTCATTCAGAGAGTTTTTGTGGTTTCTGAAAAAACAATCAAACTGATGATGATCAACATTTGTGATCCAGAGGAAGTCAAGCTCCGACGAGCACCGCGTCTCTGACACCGGCGGTAACCTACACCTGTAGAGACACCAACTCCTTATTATGGCATATGGATTCATATAATAAACTAAAGCTCAATGTCATTCACGGATATTTACGGCTGCATAAACGGATATATTCTCAGCATATTCATTTCTTCTTCATATTTGCTTAAGCGCGCTTATCCCGATGCAGTCGAAATGAAATGAGACACAGCCATAGTATCAGATGCATAATGGGGAAAAAAAGATGGCTGACAGGGCGGAACAGCGCTGTGTGTGTGTGTGTGTGTGTGCTTACAAGCTATGCCTGTTACATTTGTAATGTGATGTGTCATCATGCAAAAAGGTGTAAGACTTGTGGTGATTTGATGTCAGTTTTTCGCTGAAAGATGACCCACAAAACGAGCTGATTACGAATTGCACTACTTTAAGATTGTTTCCCCCTAGTACTCATGGCCGTAGCCAGGTATGAGGACAGCAAGGTCCGGACCCCACCTATTTTTTCCGAGGTTTTTTTTTTTCTTTTTCCGCCAAATATGCCCAACTGAATAAAACATTAACTCATAAAAACTTGAAACCTCCCTGTGAAACGTGCTTGTAAATTGTAAATTGTGGTAAACATCTATGGGCTTTGTGTTCTGTTTGAGCCTGTGTGCGTGTTGCTGTGAACAGCTGTTTGATCAGCTGATGCATGTACCCGCGACTGCGCCCTGTGAAACCCCATTCAAAAACTAAAGAGTTTTTTTTATTAGCACTTTGTAGACGACATCCCCGCCCATCTACAGCTAAGTGACGACAATATATATTTTTTAGATAATTCGGCCCTAGTTCGGCCTGTCAAATCATCTGATCAAAGCCAGTTTATTTACTTTTATCCACAGCGGAGAGCGCGCCCGGCGCTTTTTTTTTTTTGAGCGCCCGGCTCATCAGCTGGCGTGCTTTGTATAGTGCAGTTCAGGCGACATCGAAGTTATTTTTACACGTTTGCATAATAGCGCTCTTCTAAAGCCGCTACAAAATAAACCCAACAGTTTAAAAACCCAGCCCATCAGCAGCCATCGCCCCTTGTGCACCAGGTGTGAGTTCAATTCCTGATCATTTGTTTTGCTTATTCTGGTCTGTGACTTTGCAGTTCGTAGCAACACAAAGGATGGCTGCTATGTAAGTGGGCCCAAGCTGGACAGGAACACACAGTCTACATGCATTATGTGCATAAAAAAGGCATATTCAGCAAGTACACAGGGAAATTATGCCCCACTGTATTCATGTCGAGTTGGCTTTATGTTCACTGAAGCCAATCTGATGATGTTTGTGACACATCTGTTGATCAGGGCTCATAATGTGTCGCCGTGGGATCGAATTCAAAACAGATCTAGAAATCAACCCCAGCAGTGACTCAAACCTTCTTTAAGCTTTGTTTTTTCATCTCATATCTTGGCTGTAATGTTTTTTTTTCTAATTTGACCACTGAAAAGAGAAGACCATCTTACACATGAACCAACAGGCCTAAAGGAAATAAGTTATTTTTTTCACATTTGCAGTCTGTTTTGCTTGTAAGCAGGTTAAATCAGATTTATGTTAAGTATTTTTGCATTCGTTGTTGATTGAAAAACCTGATATTACAGCATGTCAGACAAAACCCACAAACACAGGCTGAGTAACAGAGGTCTGAGTCATGTCTTGGTAGTAGTGATTCATACAGGAGCAGCCTCCTCCAGTGTTTAATAGTGTAGGTAATGTAGAAGTGTAGTTCCTGTAGTGTCTACTTGGGGCATCAAACTGAGTCAGTCGCCATAGAGCCTCATGTTAAAATTATTTGTATTAACCTTTATTTAATCAAATTAGACCCATTGAGATCAAGATCTCTTTCACAAGGATGACCAGGCCAAGAGGTCAGCAGCACACGTCATAAGAAAGGTTACATAGAAGTGACAATCAAAACGTAACTGCATAAATAAATGTGTTTACAACCCAGTCCAAAGAAACATTTTTGTCTTTAAGGCTCATGACTACAGGCTGAATAACACTCAACAGTTTTCATAATTCAGGTTACATATTTGATTTTAAAGAGCTAGTAAAATTTTAAAGGTGGGGTAGGCAGGATTTGAGGAAGTGCCTGTTTTTGGGAGAAATCTTGAATGTAAACTCTACCCCTCCCAACCAGTTTTCCCCTCAGCTTCTCCTCTCCCCTCCCTCTCTGCTCCAGCAAGCCCCGCCCACAAACAGATGTTCCTGCTCGCTCATATCATTTCAATTAAATTCAGATATAATGCAGCTAAATACTTCAGATAATTACAAATGGGACCAGTCAACATGAAAGTAAAAAGCATTGGTGCTACTGTAGATGCCAACTGATTACCAGCAAACACAATGTTTGCAGGACTTCTACAACTAGCTAAAACTAGTCACTAGAAAGTGACATACTCCAGGACCAGAGGTAAACAGTTTAGTGGTGCTACCACATGCATCAGGTCCCGTTAGACAAAGTGGTTTACCTGTCCGGCAGAAAGGCTACAGGGTCCGCAAGATCTGAAGCATCCCCCTCTTTAGCTCTTGTCCAGTCTACCTCCATTTTAAGCATCCGTTATTCCACCAGAGTCTCCGGTATTACTTTGTTTTCTTGCTTGTGTTGGCAGTCGTGGCCAAAAGAGGATTCAGACAATTTTCCGTACTTTTTGGTTGGTTTCTACTGTCGGATATTGTAGCACGCTGACTTTGTGCTTGTGCATGCTATTGGAGGACATGGAGTGTGCCTCACAACACGAGGGTGCAGCGTCTGCCTCACAACCAATCAGCACCAAGGAGCAGCATCCGCCTCACAACTAATCAGGTTGGGGGAGACGGAGAGTGGCTTTTTTCACAGTCGGAATTGATAGAGCAGTCCGCTCAAAAAATGTAAAATGTTGACTACACAGACATAAGAGAACACAGCGATTTCATGATATTACCGAATGTCATCAATAAATAATAGCTATTGACTGATATTAAATATATTTTCTGTATATACTCCAAAAAAAAAGATGCTTCTTTAATGGAATCCTGCTTACCCCACCTTTAAGTAAAGTTCCTGTGGTGAAACTTGGTTGCTTTGTGAAAACTTTCTCCACTGTGCAGCTATGCTGGCACACAGCAGACAGTTCGTTTCCACTTTTTCTGTGGAGCCAGGAGGTGGTTTTATGCAGAAGAGGCTTTTCTCAGTGGTCATAGCCCAGTAAGTCCACATCTCCCATTCAGACATGCAAGACGCTTGCTCAAACAACTCAGCATAATGACCAAAACACTGCGAGCTCTGCAATTGATATTGCCCTCTTCTGCATAAGGGGGCATATGTATATCAGCCCCGTATAAGTGGGGGTATCGGATCGCATCGCCTTTCAGCCGCCATGTCCTGAGGCGCCACGCTCAAACAGTCACCCATCAGCGGCTGGCAGCCTCTCATCTGACTACCATGAAGCCCCATGCGTGTCTTCCCTCCTCGCCCCCTTCATCCAGCAGCCACTTCCCTTTCACTTCTGAATGGCGGGCTGACTGCAGAAATTGCCCCTGTCCACCATGTGCACTGAATATTTAACTATGAATATAAAATTTCTTGGCAAGACTTCAGCCGACTCCAAGTGAGAGCCCTTCAAACTCTCCTGACACAGTCGCACCCTCAAGTATCGTCTCCCTCTTTGCACTGCAGGATCGATCATCCCTTTCTCCCCGTATGGAGGGATATCAGAAGAAGACCGGATGGATGATCTTCTCTGGCTGGGCACCAACGTCAGCAACTCTGCTGCTGAAGCTCTGAAGATAATAAGGTGAAACTCCTGAGCAGAGCAGCGGATTCACGTGAAAGAGAAAAAAAGAAATGCTTTGGCATTTTGCCTCCTTTCCTCTCTTTTACTGTCCTTCCCTCTTTCTTCCCTGCCAGACATGTCCCCTCTCTCCTTCACCTTCATCCTCACAGGGGACAGTTTTTCTGATTGCAGATCAATACTGGCCTGCCATGATCAGCACTTAACATGTTTCCCTCCTGACCATCAGCAGGAGCCAATTTGTTTATGGAGATTTAATTGAGTTAATGTTTAAAAGCAGGGCAGGAAGCAGGTTTATAACTCACCCTGCTGCCTGATATGAGAGTAAAAGAAGAAGCTAAACTGGGTGAAGGATATTTGAGCACGATCAAGGCCGCGGTCAAACCTGCTGTCTGAGCTGAGGGTCAGCCATCCTCACAAAATGGATCCTTAAGGAGGAAAATGCTTTTACTGAAAGTGTCCTGGTGCTGACTTTCAGTGTTTAAACACACCTGAGTGTGAGAGGAGAAGAGTCTGACTTTGTTCAGCAGTGTCGAAATCAGAGAACTTTGTGTTTGATGATTGTCTCCTTTCTTCAGTGTCGTCTGTTACAGACTCGAAAAAAGAGCAAGAGAAGCTGCATTGTCGGAGCTCACATCTACACATTTGATAAAACTGCTGCTTTACTGTGCTACAGTGAGACTCCAGTGACAAATATGTCTGGGGATGACTTTATCACTCTAAATAGTTCATGCTGGTTTAGTACTAAAACATGTTTAATCATCAGACGAGGATTTCAGAAGAAGACCTTCCCCATATCAAGGCCTGATACCTTCAGCAGTAAAGACAAATGAAGGACTCGGCCTGATTTGAGGATTCGCAGTTTTCATCCGCTAACAAATGGCTGCAGACCAACACCTAACAGTTTGTTAGAGGTCAAGGAAAACATGAACAGGGCTTTGTTAATGAGAAGATAATAGCCCAGAGTGAAGTTCAGCAGCACAAAGATCCAGCTCTCAGTGCTCTGAAATCATCTCTTTGGAGTTTTTGTGATTTTGAGCGTAGACGTTTTGACCCATGATTTTATTCTGACCTATCAGCAGTGAAACTACATCTTAGTGTCTTCTGAAGGACAAACTAAAAGTCATTGTGATCTCTGTCTTCCTGTCCTGTCCTGTCCTGTCCTGCATGTCCCTCATCCTCCATTCTTACAGCCCCCTCCTCTGTCCTGTTGCCCCCCCCTTCTGGTCCAGCACCATGGAGGGGAGGTAATTGGATTTGTTGTCACCTCGGCTGGCTGGCAGGCCTGGCCTGTCTGCTCAGCTTAGTGATGAAGATATCAGTGTGACAGGGACCCTGGGAGAGGATCAGCTGGTGTTCTGGACTCGGCTAATAAAGCTGTGGTCATGCCTTGGCCATGCTGCCACGGCTGCAGCCAGCTGTTACCTCTGCCACCTCTCACTGAGTGCTTGAGCCTGTTTCACAGGCCACCATGGAGGACGAGGAATGGGCAGTCTTATCAAAGCAGATGCCGGTCCCCCTTGCTCTGTGGGAGAGGTCAAAGGACCCTCTGCTGTGGTTCCGGGCGATGCTGGCACCACACGTCGCTGTCCTGGCTTTTGCTTTGACGCTCGGTGTCACTCGGCGTCTTATTAAAGTCTGACAGGATGAGAGCCAGTGTCTGGAGTTTAGGCTGCAGTGACGCTGTCCCCTGAATCACCTCATCAGAGATCGTGGGGTCATGTCCTTTGCATCCTGCATGATATCCTCCTCTTCAAACACTCACTAACTCCTGAAGAAAGAAACTGGGGTTGATTTTTTGAAGACAGAAGAACAGTTTTTTTTGAAAGCAGGAAATATTTTCCTCTTGCAGCTCAGAAAAGAAGTGTGTCAGGTAGAAAATTCAGAGTCGCAGTGTGAAACTAAAATGAGGTCTATGAGCAAACCAGTTTGTTATTGTGTAATTAGTGTGTGACATACTGAAGCAAAACTAGATCGGACCTGAGCAGCAGAGTCACAGCAATGAGGACTAAGGTCAGGACAGTGAGACACAGTGAAGACAGTAGTGACGATGTGGCTGTAAAAGCAAATCATTGTCAGACCTGTTAGCAGGCTCTGATTTTAGCAGAAGGACTCTTCTGGTTTGTGTTTGTGGTCTGCTGTCTGAGCTGGATCTACCAGTTGACGCAGGTTTAGGGTCTGCATGGGAAACATAGTCTATTGAGGAAGACTCAGTATCTGTGGGGATGGAGAAAAGAGTCAACTGATAGGAAAATCAGTTGACTGCTGCATTTCCTAATCACAGAGTTGTTAATTTTTTTATTATTTTTTTAAAATAATTTTTCATTACTTAACAATTTTCAACTGGGCAGAAACAATTTTGGGCATCTGCATGATTAACTTGCAAGCTATCTTAGAATCAAGTTATTATGAGTTTGTTGCAGTAATCTCATTTGCACAACACAATGCATCAAGAGTCCATTCAGTTAGGGTCAAATGACTGATAATTATATTCTTGATCTTAGTCCTCTGTGCAGCTGGTTAATCTCTGCTCAGTGTTGCCCTCACACAGGAAGACTCTTCGGGAAGTTTGGACGAGTGTGTGTTTGTGTGAAGTTGACGAGTTTGTCACAGCTGATAGAGAAGCTTAAACTCCTTCGGTTCTTCCACGTATACTTATGGTTAAAGTAAAAAGAAAAATGAGAGCAGCTTGTATTAAAGCGCACAGATGTTTGAGAGATGACGCTGCAGTGATAACAACTTGAAGTCCTACTCTGACCATTTTTTTTTCTTTTTTTACAGCTTGAAGTGTTCTCAGTGGTCTTTAAATTGTGATTATGGAGTTTTTAACCAAAATCATGTTACCTCTGTCATTTTAAGGGCTTTTCTTCTGTAGAGCTCCAGTAGCTCATTAGCAATTCACCTCTGAGTCGTGGCCTCTCTTAACGCTAGCCATAACCTAATATTCGGGTGTAGTAGAAGTGGCAGGTAACATTGGAGCTATTCAGCTCTGCTTTCTTACAAACATTGCAATCCACCACTGCACACGCTTGTTCTGCGATTGTCCTCTCTACTTCACTGAGTCTGGCCTGCAGAGTGGGGCTCCAGTGGTGGAGCTAGGATTTGTGACATAGGAAATCTCACTGTGTCTGAACCTGCTGTTTGGGTCTGGGAGAGGTTCACAGAGCCTTGAATGCAGAAATACTCAGAAATACAATTTTGCTCTTAGTTTTCTCATAATATGTCCTGTAGCATCAGAAAAATGCCATATGAACATGTAGACAACAAGAAAAACATAATTTTTATCGGAGTGGGTCTTTAACTTCTGGTGGTTTGTTGGATTGGTCTATATCGAGAGCAAAAGTAGGCAGAACACAGTACACCAACTCTCATCACTCAATATTGGCATGACTTTTCATGCAATTTCAAAGCTAAAGGAAGATGTTCAAAGTCAGAATAAAATCAGGAGAGTTTTGCTAGTTGGAGTGCTAGTTGGAAAGTAGGAGTGTCCCCCTGGGATCTGGTTCATTTAGTGTCAGGTCTTTCAGCAGACACATTGGCCCTGTTTACATGGGTCCAAAAATCCTATTTACAATCAGATTGAAAGGTCAATCAGATTCAAAATGTCTCATATAAACACCTTAGCCAATCTGATTCACCCGGATCTGATTGTATTTCGGGTCGGATTGTAAAATGTAGTCCACACCGGTTGATAATCCGCTCCATGCTCCATATATACGGCTGAGTGGAGCGGAGTGGGTTTACAGAGAGGCTTGTTCGGTCTGTGCAGGCACTCGGTAGTACGGAAGAGGCACGTAGTGACATACGCAGAGCGCACCCAAACGAAAACAAACATGGCGAACAAACAGAAAAACTGGACGGTGAAGTGTTAAAGTGTGTTGTTTCGTGCGACTGACGAAGCGTACACTTCTTGCTGTGTAACCCGGCTGGATTATACTTTTATTAAACTTCAACACATAGGGTTCCTTTCTCTGCTCAGTCTGGTGACTCTGGCGGTGTCACACACAAACACGTCCGTGCGCAACTCTAAAACAGAACTAAAACAATGGTTCCTATTAACAATTCCCATTGATACGATAACATACAACTGGATTCAGCTGGGGCCATGAAAACACAGACTGAATGTGGATCTCTTTACTTAAAGTTCATGTATACAGATGGAATCAGATTCACTTAATCCGATTGATTTCAATCAGATTGAGGAAAACTACCTAGTAAACGGGGCCAGTTTCATCAGTTGAACTCTTAAGTTTTAGTCGAGAATTTTTTACTCCACACATTTGTAAAGGTCCAAGAAACAGCCCCAGACAGACTCAGCTCTCTGGTCTCTCAGCTGCATCTTCATCTTTGATTATTTAGAGTTGGTCTTAACTACAAATGCCTCCTACATTCACTCTCTAACTTTCCACTGACCCTAAAACACATGGAGGTTTTGACAAAGAGTTGTTAACGATAATTGTGATTCCCTCATATCTAGTTGTGTCTTAGTCACTGACATGCATCGGGAAAACTTTAAGAAGGAAAAAAAAAGCAGATAGAATCTCTGATGGTGAACCTGCTGCAGAGTGTCAAAGGTGTCAAAAGGTGTCTCAAGTAACTCAGGGTGTCAAAGGAATGTATTAGATTGGGTATATATTCTGCACAGAGGATCTGAATGTCCAACAGTCCACCTGAAACATTCTGTCTCATCATCATCCCATCAACAACAAAATCAAGTTTTAAATCATACAGGATCATTTTAGTGTGGAGCCTTTCTCCCAACCTTCAAACTGCACATACACATGGATCAGGCTTTTCACTGTATACATTTCCCACTTTGTGTGTTTGTGGCATGCTCAACTTTCAGGCCCCATTTATACATATTCAATGTTTATAAATGAGTCCCCAGATTTACATGCAAATAAGCTGGTCCTGCAAAATGAGGGGTCACCCACAGGGAGGAGAAAAGGTGTTGTGAAGGATCTCTGGGTTTTGTGATTTGATGTCTGATCATTCAAATTTAATCAGTAAATTATTGATCTAACTCAGTCATAGTAAAAATATACGTCAGATGATACGTTTCTGTAATTTATGTCACATTTTGAACTAAACTTTGCTTCATCTGTGAAAAAAATCACAGACAGAAATATCAACGACAGCGTCTATAAAAACACGAAGAGCTGATGTTCAGTTTTATCTGCTGCAGACAGAAACAACCTCTCCAAGTCTCACCTGTGTGGATTCAGGGACGAATGTAAGAAAGTTTGAAAAGTGTGACGATCAATTAGTGAGAATTAAAGCAGAGCAGAGCATGGCCGGGGGTCTCTACGGTGGTCTCTGCAGATAATCAGCAGCCCCCCAGCCCCCCGTAATCACACCGAGGAGTGTTCGCTTTCACACACCGCTGCTAAAGAGAGGGATTAGAAAGACACACACACAGATAAATACAGGGCAGGCTGTGTGTGTGTGTGTGTGTGTGTGTGTGAGAGAGAGAGAGAGCACTGTGAGGTCAGAAAGTATTGCACTGAAGCAGGAGGGTTTGTGTTCAAGAGAAACAGGAAAAAAGAGAAATTCAGGTTTGGAAATGTGAAGAGATGACAAAAAAAAGAAAATGTCAGTTTGTTAAATTACTGATTTGAAGTTTTCTACAGACATTTTTCCTTATTTTTAATCTGGACTCATGCTTAAGTTTTAACCTAGCAGACAAAAATATGAGTCTTATGTAATTCAGGCATCACTGTAAATTTGATGTCTGATACAAATCAAATTAGTCATGTGAGTGAACTTTGTACATAGTTAATGTAAAGATATGATTAGACATATTTGTCATCTTATGACTGTTTACATGCTGCTCTCTTCATTCACTTATTCTCTAGAATTGAGAAAACTGAACTCCAGTAAAACAAAACAAAAACAAACAAACAAACAAAAACAAAAAACTGTGATGTATATTAAGAATCATCGAGAGGAGAATAATCTAGCTGATAAATGAAGGACAAACTGATGCTGACCGTCAGCACTTTTCCTCCAGGTCTCAGGTCTGCTGTAGAACCTTTTCTGACCTCAGTCAGAGGGAAAACAGACGCAAAAATCTCCCTGTCGAAATTAAACTATCAACTATAAACCAAGGACTGGCTGCTTTGTGGCTACAGGTTTGAAAGAAACAGTTGGGTGAAATTCAGTTCTGAGTAAAAACCAAACCAGTTTGTCTGTGGACATAGACCGTGCGTTTTGAACCAAACAGTGCAAACTTGTTTCTAGTCATTATAAGTCCAATTTTTGTGAGCTTTTGCCCACTCATATCTCTTTTTCTTGTTCTGTGGACGAAGTCGTGTTTTTTTGCAGATACACAACCCTTCAGACCAGCCTTTCTTAAATATCATTTCACGGTTGTCAGAGATATGGGTTTCAACCTTGTCATGTTGATTTCCTCCCTAATTTGTGGTGCTGTCTTTCGCCGATCTCTCTTACTGGTGACAATAATGTGTTTATCCTCTGCTTTTGTAGTAACTCTCTTTCATCCAGGTCTTTTTCCATCACCATAACTTCCAGGTTCCTCTAGTCTCTTCAGAGTGTAGTGGACTCCTTTGTTAAACACCTTTAGGCGTTTTGCAGTTTTCTCTTTCTGTGTATCCTTCTTTCCTCAATGTACAAATCTGTACTTTTGTTTCTTTACTCAGTTGCCTCTTTCTAGCCATTTTTGCGGTAGTTTGAACGCAGTTGAGATTTATTAGGATTTTTGTATGCAGACTCTCAAAAGCCAAAAAGTTGAAGTGAATAATTCAACTGTGATTTGTTTTTTGCTTTTGCTTATATTAAAGGTAAATGGCATAAAATGGTGCATTTCCATGAAAGCAACATCTGATCATGGAGTAAATACATCCCAAAATACATAAAACTCATGCTGGATTTAAAAAAAAAGCATTGTGAACAAAAACTTGAAGTTACTCCCAACTGTTCGGCCTGTAATGGCCTTGCTTCCAAACTTTTTGCCTGTAGTGTATGTTGTGGTTCTGGGGTCTGTTTGGATGGACTTTACTATGGATTGAGTCTGTTGTCTGTGGATTCAGATAAGTTGTGCATTACAGGATGGGGAATGCTTTATAAGAGATCTTTATTTACTTTTATTCCAAATAATTGGGTTTAAAAAAAGACCCTAAACACACCAGAACCAGGTTCAGTTAGTTCACGTTTTACATGTTCAGTTGTTTTTTTGTTTTTTTTTTACCACAAACTGATAATCAGCAGAGATAAACATAAACTAAAATCCTGAAAGATTCCCCCCTAAAGGTCCTTACACACCGGGAGCGTTTTTTTTTTTCATTTTTTTTTTCAAACCCGTATCCTGTCAATACAAGCATTTACATCAGCAATGTTTTCCCGTCCTGCGATATTGTGGCTTTTTTTTTTTCACATCATGGTCGAAAGTTTCACATACTGTGTGTCCACTTCTGACCAATCAGATTGCATGTTGTTGCAACTTCAAATTCACCGGTATATCCAACATGGCCGATCGGCTGATTGTTTATGTATCAGAGAACTGAGTGCTTTTTGCTAAAAAAAGAAACACAAATATTACAAAGATAACAACCTGAAGGACAACTTGTGGAGAGTCATAGCGTCGGATCTCTCATATAACGATAGCATATGTGCTTTAACAGTTTGCTAAACGTCTTTGTTTTAACTTTCATCTGTGCTAACTAACTTTAGCTTGTAAGCTAACTTGTTCAGATACAACATAGCATACGTATTTTCACTGTCTCAAACTCAATCGCGTTGCTGTCACAGCACCATTAGGTCTCGGTTGTTACCTCACGTTTAAGGATTATAGCTTAATGTGCTTATCTGGTACTGGCCCCGTCTCAGTATGCTATCATGACAGACAGCCATCTCAACACTAGTGTCTAATCAGAACTGAAAAACAGTCAGTCTGCTGTTGTGTCAGTCTTCTCGCTTCCACCTGGGATGCGTCTTTTTTCCCCTCAGAAATTTGCAAAATTGCATTGCGCTTGATGTGTATAGTCAGGCGCGTCAAAATTCACCTCTGAATATTATGTACTTTGCGTCGTATATTTGCGTCGTTCCCTGTGTGTAAGGACCTTAAGACCTCCAGGTGGGTTTAGTCTGTGACTGTTTGTTACTTAGTGAAATTTAGAAGCTTCCTTTTTTTCCATGTCAGTGTCCGTTTCTAATGTAACTTCAAAATCACAGTCAGTTGAAGATACATCAATTTATATATTTGAAACTGTTATGTTAACTGGTCAGTATGAAAACTTTGTGTTTCCTGACATATCACACTAGAAACAATTCACAAAATCCAGGAAATCGTCTCTTGGCTCTGGATCTATTTTTAATATGAATCTGAAGTCAAACTCACAGATCTGCAGTCAGCTGCTGTTACTGCAGGACCCTGATGTGTGACCAGGTGATCAGTATTAACCTGATTAATCAATTCTCATTAATATTCAGCGCTTTATTTTAATTTCTAGATGTTCCTCAACATCAGACACTTCAAGTACAGTTGGAAAATTTAGAAAACCTGCAGAAGGAATCTGTCGAGTTCCAAAAGACACCCACCAAACTCCTGCTCAAAAGGAGGCAAATTAATGTGTAACAAAGCACAAAGGCAATTAGTGAAATAATTCCCCCCGCATGAGGGATAAAATGAAATGTTCAGATGATCGTAAATGAAAGTACCTACCTGTGTTTCCGTTTAAGATGCTTTTTGATATTTGATTCGCTCTGTTTTCAGAGCCCGTTGATTTTATTCCAGCAACTTTTGTTTTGACATTTTGTTAACTGACGCTCTCACAGTGAGCCTCAATATAATTATCAAATCATAACTCCCTAAATATGTTGATGCTATAATTATGGAAAAAAACACACAACATTTAGAGAGGGAGAAAAAAACAAAGTGTGTGTACGTTAAAGCAGAAGCTACACCTCCCACCTTTGAAACAGCAGGATGCTTTTCCTTTATTTCTAATAACCTGACAGCTCCAATGCACAACAGATTATTACAGCATCTCATTAATGTCTTTTTATTATTTTTTCTGTGTGACACTTCATTTGGATAAGTTTCAGGATGTTAGGAGGAAAACAGCTGCAAGATTTCTGAAGCGTTCTGGCGAAAGTGACAGTTTCTGCTCCTTCAAATTACACTTTTACAGAATTAACCTCCGTTTGCATGATGATCATTTAACACGATCTGCTTTATTTTGCTTCATATTCACATATTTACATGTTTATACTTATTTTCTGAATGTCACACAGATGTATTCATCCTTATACATTTCTGTATTTACTCTGTGCATCGAAACTTCAGTGTCAAACACCTGAAAATACAACAAAGATTTTTGATGAACATAACATATTCTCTCCTCTGTGACACACACACACACGCACGCACGCACGCACACACGCACACACGCACACACGCACACACGCACACACGCACAAACACACAGAGGCTGCAGATATTTGGTGTACAACAGTGACATCTTCAGTCAGAGTGACGGAGAGCTGCAGACAGATGAACTATAGAGGGGCATTGTGTGTGTGTGTGTGTGTGTGTGTGTGTGTGTGTGTGTGTGTGTGTGTGTGTGTGTGTGTGTAGGTTGATGGGTGGGGGGGTGCAGAAAACACTGATAATTACAGCTGTCTGTAGAAGAAGAAAAGCTATATGTGATCCAGAGAGCATCATTAACATTTGCTCAGTGTTATTTCACCTGAAACTCAGAGTGCAGCATTTGATTTATGTCACGATATACAGTACAGGCCAAAAGTTTGGACACACCTTCTCATTCAATGCATTTTCTTTGTTTTCATTACTATTTAAATTGTAGATTCTCAAAACTATGAATGAACACATGTGGAATCATGTGCTTAAGAAAAAAGTGTGAAATAACTGAAAACATGTTTTATATTTTATATTTCTCAAAGTAGCCACCCTTTGCTTTTTTGATAGCGCTGCAAACTTTAGCTGTTCTCTCAATGAGCTTCATGAGGTAGTCATCTGAAATGGTTTTTACTTCACAGGAGTGCCTGAAGTAACCCTGACAAGGTAATTCTGTCATCAAGAGCAAAGAGTGGCTATTTTAAAGAAACTAGAATATAAAACATGTTTTCGGTTATTTCACACTTTTTTTATAAGTACAAAATTCTACATGTGTAAATTCATAGTTTTAATGCCTTCAGTGACAATCTACAATGTAAATAGTCATATAAAAAAAAAGAAAAGACATTGAATGAGAAAGTGTGTCCAAACTTTTGGCCTGTACTGTATGTCCTGAAACTTCCTGAGAGGATCCAACACCAGGACCCGGATCAGGTCCCGAGGATCCTGCTCCAAAAACCTGAGATCAACGTAAATTTATCACCTATAAATGTTTTCACTGATTGATTTTCTCAAAATCAGTCATCTGATTTTTGTGTCCTTGGCAGGTCATGTATTCATACCTTTACAAACACCAGGATCCTGCAGCGAGAGTCAGTCTGAGTGTTTCTCTGCAGGACTGTAAACATACAAAGATCAACTTTATTGATCAGATACGACTGAAGGATCACTGTTCATAAAGTAACTGCCAAGGAGAAAAAAAACAGGTGCATTAATTTTAAATAGTTATATAGATTCTTTAAAAACACAGCTGTACGCAGGGCTTTGGCCGCAAAAAGAGACATGTATTTGTTGACGTAAAAAAAAGTGGGAGAGAGAACAATGAAAACGGAAGTGCTTCAGTCTGAAGAAATACACAAATCAGGAGTAGCCAATAAAATACTTTATTATTAACATTCATACTGAAGGATTACTGTACTAAAAAAAAAAAAAAAAAAAAAAACGATATAGTGAAACTGAGAGTCTGAAAGAGAGGGAGACATGCAAAGTCAGTGAATGACCTCAAAAGTCGATTGAACTTTAGATATCAACAACCATGAAATGGAGAATAAATCCAAATGGAAAGATTGTTTTAATAGTAAAATGCAGCACAGAGTATCAACAGAAAATCACATGGAGAGGGAGAAGGTTTAATCTGTTCAGCAACTTGGATATAAAATACAAACATGCTGACCTTTGACCCTAAGAAACACGCCTGCAGAGTATACAATCCAGAATAAGTTCATTCATGTACAAGGATGAGGATTTAATGTGACTCTAACACCTGCCACAGTCGACTCTAATCTTACCGTTTCTCTGTGTTTTACTGTCTTGGATATTTCCCAGCCTTTAGTCGAGGGACAGATTTGAAATACACAGGGTGTTTTATAACCCCTGGGATAAACTGGTGCTGACTTCTCTGATTATGTGGGGGGTTTTGTTTCTTTATTTTGAGAGCTTAAGTAAATGTGGGGGAACATGTTGGACCAAATCCTGCAGGGACTGGCAGTGGATCCTTGAACCAGTCTAACTGCAGTCTCCGTCCATGGGGCGTCTCCTCTCCTGTTACTCTGAACTTAACGCCACAGTAAATTCTCACAGAAAACTGTCCTGACATCAGGAGTGAACCAAACCTTCCTCGTCTCCTTATATAGGAAGGTCAAAGGTTGGCGGGCCTCTAGCTCAAACACAGATCAGTTCTTTACTCCTTTGAATTTCCCTTCGGGGATTAATAAAGTTCTTCTTATTCTTAGTTTTTGACTTGTATGAAGACATTTGTAGATAACACCATTTAGATTGATCACAGTAGTTATAACCAATATTTAATGAGCAAAAGGAGAATAAAGGAGTGACTGTTTGTTTCTCCTCTTATTTAATATTCACAAGCAGAAAAGAATCACTGTATAAATGCTTTATTAGCACATTTATCAGCCAATATATCTTATTATATGAAGCATCTGTATGTGGTCTATAAACATAACCAACACTAATATAATCCTTCAACGATGCAGTCCTAATGATCTGTTTCTCATATTTTAGACTGACATGACTGCATGCATAATCAACATCTTTATAAGTTTGATTCAGACTCTGCTCGTGAATGATACTTCACTCTTTAGTCAGACATTCATTCACAGTTAAAACAGGAGGAGCAAACTCTGCAGAGCAACGGACACATTTCAAACACACAAACTCAAGTTTTCTTCAAGTCTTTAAAACACTAAAACTATGATATTTGTCTGATTTACATATGATTTAATAATGACATTAAAGCACTAAACCGTTACATGATTTTATTCAAAGCATTCTGATACTGGAAGTTAAAGTTAAATAGAGTTATTTTAAAATACAGATTGAACCAATCATGACAAAAAAAAAACCACACTGCCCACAGCAGTGCAACAGAAACCACCGCTCTCCTGCTCAGTCTGAGTCTTTACATCCCACTAAAGTCATCTCTTCTTCGTCAAACAAACCTTACACACACATTTGGATTGCAGTTTCACCTGTCTATAAAATCTTCAATGAGACACTGTCTGATGCAGAAGAGAATTTCACATGAAAAATGAAGAGAATAAAAAATAAATAATGACTAAATGCAGCTTCTCTGTCATTGTGCAATCATGCACAACTCAGTTAAGTCCCACAGAAATAAACTCTTTATTTTTTATCTAAATCTGCAGAACTTCTGCTTATTTTCTGTTGTTCAAAAAGATTTTCAGTTGTATTAATTTTTTTAGTTCCTTGTATGAAATGAATCACCAAACGGTCCAGAATATTTTTACACATATAATAATTTAGATAAAAATTCTTTTCCTAGATAAAGTAACATTTCAAATGGTAGATATTATATTATAATATAAATAAATCACGAGCTGCTTATGTTGAACATTTATATAACATTTTTTTAAAGCTCCTCTGCAGAGCCCTCGTTTTCAAACAACACAGCTTACTGCACATTTAGTGCCTGACAGCTTCACTGTGTGCTGTAAGCTGTGTCATGCTAAAAAAGTTCAAGTATTTTCTGAGGCAGATGGAGTAAAAAATTCTGAGGTTAGCCGTTATTATTCTGCAGAATAAGACTTTTAAAGAGTGTATTTCTGCAGGACCTGAATGTGTTCTGAATGAGCTGCACAAAAGAGGACAAAGTGCTCTGCAGAACATGACAGCATGCTTTATCTTTATTTTTCTGCTCTCTACGTTCTGCTTATGTGCAATTATCTTTAGCATCAATTAATATTTCATTAAAGACTTGACAAAACAGTGAAACAGAAATCTTGGCTTCTATTCAGATAGATCTGTGTGTGTGTGAGTAAATGTGATTTTAGGAGTAAAAACACAGAGCTGAAAGCAACATTAATAACTTACACACCTCCAAATCTAAAGCCCCCGCATTGTTGATCAGCCTCAACAATATAAGTTTAAAAAAAGACACAACACAGCGCTCACATAACACTTGAAGCTGGCGTTTGAGGCGTCATTTACATACATTAGCATATAAAGTAATTGGCACAGATGCCAGCGAAGCAGCCGCAAACACATTAATTGTCATCGAGCAGTCGTGGTGACAGAGTTAAAAATGAGCCGCTTTTAAGGCTCCAATTATCAGAGAATTTCCAAAGTAACCTTTTTTCATCAGCATCCTGTCCCTGCAGACACACACACACACACACACACACACACACACACACACATGTAATGTGCATAGTATCAGCATCCTAAATGTATAAATATTGTAAATAGCTGTCTGTCATCATTCATGTGAAGTCTTTGAATTAAGGCCGTGCTGCGTCCTGCTCTGAAAACGAGCACATGTGCCTTTGTTTCACCCGGCGACGATGACAAACGGTAGATTCTCACACACACACACACACTCACACACTGTGTAAATGTGTAATGATTTTTTACAGATAGAAATCAGAATGCCTCTGCTGGGGATCCATATGCTGTTTTTCCTCTCTGCTCAGATTTTTTCAGAGAGCTGTAATAGCGAGGGAGTGTGTGCAGGTATTGTTGTGCTCTGTGCATGTGTGTGTGTGCATGAGTGTGCATTCGTGCAAATATTACAACTGATCCGCTCTAAACCTTTACATTATCCCAGACCCTGTAGTTCTGTCTGATTCCTTCCTAAAAACCCCACAGTCTGGTTCCTCAGATGACCCTGCTGACCCTTCAGGTCATGTTCATGTGTCTGAGCAGGTTCATCTCTGCAGCCACTTTCTCTATCCTCAGTAATATTTCTGCACACTGGCTCCTCTGGTGAGTTTGTTTTCTGGGAATGCGGCGTGAACAAATGAGTGAGTTGAAGCCTCCTGCACCTCAGAGAGCTTTAAACGCTCGCTGTGCAGCCATCTTAACTGATGCTGAGTGTGTGTGTGTGTGTGTGTGTGTGTGTGTGTGTGTGGGGGGGGGGGGGGGGGGGGTTAAAATCACAACCTCCAAAACCCCCAAATGTGTTGTTGTTGAAATGAAAGTTTGAGGTGGAACAGCTGCAGAAAACATAGGCTGACGTGTGGAGATATCCTGATAAATTCACGTCTTTTTGGAC